AGAATAAGTTCATAGAAATATATATGGAGAGAGAGCGAGAGAAATACACTATTATTGTTTGCTTAGATAATTTGCTTATTTTTTTTAAAGTTTCATTATTCATCACATATCATCCGTGCGAAGCATAGAGAAGAATTAAATTGTTTGTTCTTGTTTTGCATTTCTCTTAAAAAGAAAAAAAAACATGAATATCATAAAAAAATATTTTTAAAAATTTAAAACAAATCAACAAACACTATTACCACTTGATAGCATTGAAAATAACTAACTTGATAAGAGATTACAGATAGCGACTGGAATTGAGAAATATATGCGAAAATATGAGAGATCATTTTGGTGAGGTGAACTTTCCAAGAAATCTATTTATTCAACTTTTGTAAAGTGAAAACTTAACATCAATCTGTTCAATACTTCAATTGTTCAATCCAATCCGTCTACAACATTTCAAATCAATAAAAGGTATTTCCAAAGGAAGTAATCGAAGATCTTGTAGCATCTCATCATTCATTCATTCACTGTACTTTCGTTTAGATTATTCGATAATGGTATCGACCATAGTTTTGCATTTGTAATAATTCGATCACTGTATCGATTATTGTATATTTGATTGTGTGTGGATGCTTACTCGCTTATTACATGTTTAGCCGATTATTGCTTGACTATAAATACTTAGTCATTGCTTCAGCTCATGGAGAGTTGGCTCACTCGCCTTCTCCAATTCGCTTCGTTCTGCTTGGTACGCTTCCCTTCCCTTCTCATGTCGGTCTGCATAAATGAATGCACGAAGAAAATTCATCCGCGAAACCGTATTTGGCTTCTTACCAGCGCCGTCGCACAAACGGAGTTAACCTAAGTATAAATAAACGGAAATGGAGAGGAAGATTTATTTCATTGCGCACTTGATCATTCGTTCACATTGAAGTCCAGTAGTGAGCAGCTAAAATCTCTCTGATTATTAGTAGTTCCAGGCTTTAGAACTATACGATTTATAGGTGGCCAAATGATATATTTGTAATATAAATATGTGGCAATTACTTAGCTATAAAAATATTGATTAACATTTCGAAGCGAAACCTGTATTATTATTTAGTATGAATTAGAATTAGAATTCATGATCATTCATGATGAATGATCAGTGGTATACAATGTATGATTCTAAACGTCTACACTTAATGAACAAATAAATCGAATATGGGTTTTAAATCATCACTGATTGATCTTCTCACAAAACCTATTGAACTAAAGTAAAACAGTTTAATTCATTTTGTATATATGTTTTTGACTAGCTAATTCTAATAAGGTTGCCTGCTTAACAGAGTTACCTTCAAGTTTAATGATTGACAATCATCGTACGTTGAGGATTACATGCATTGATTGCATTGGTGCATGTGAAGCCTAAAAGACAGCTGACCAAGATAAACTACAACTGCTTAAGTAAAGAATAAATAAATTAGCATGTGAGTGAATAAACTACTTCCAACTGATACTTACTTACACTAGAGTTATTTTAATTTAACTGAATAAAAATATTTGAAAACAATTACATCTCACAACACACACTGGTTTGTTTGTTTTTTTCTTAACCGATTCACTAATTCTCACTGGATTAAGTTGATTTCATCCTTAGTATTTCGTTAAACAATGTAATTATTATTCATAATTTCATTTTGTCAACAACTACCAGAGAAAATCCCTTATCCATGTTCTAATCAGCTGTATAAGAAAGAGAATGATGAGTGAATGTTCTCAGCATAGTTGGTCATTATTCAATGATCATAATAATAATTTCAATTAGAGTTATGGAGATTAGTGTTTTTACACATTTGAAGTCATCATGGTGGTCTAACAATGATTGCTTGATGATTTCAACTGTGTAAAAACACTAATCACCATAACTCTAATTGAAAATATCGTAAAATGTGCTCACTAGTGACTACTAGCTTCGTGAGGAGATTCTTGGCGTTCTAGTTGAGAAGACGTGATCAGTGGAGTTCAACCCTGTCGGGTGTAGGCAGTAACTACCAAAGGCAAATGGGTGAGGTCGCTCGAAATCCCTAGATCAATCAGAGTTAGACATTAATACTGTTAGGTGCCGGTCCAGTGGTCCAGAGGTTAGGCGTTCGCGCACAAATTCAAGTCAACGAACTACTGTTTACATATATATATTAAATCATTCCGTACTTCAATTGTAACACAAACGAAAACATCAAGCGTACCGATTGCTTTAGAACTCTTTGACAAACAAACAATCAATCTGACAAACTAATGATCGAAGGTCCTGGGTGCAGCCGTCGTGGATGCGCACTGTTTATGAGTCCCATACCAGGACGAAACGGCTGTCCAGTGCTTCCAAATTTCTAATGTTGGTCTAACATTGATCGATTCATGATTTCAAATGTTGTAACTTAACACTCCTTACAACCCCCTAATGTAATGAGTATATGTAAAAAATGCACAAAATAGCAATCAGAACAAGAATCGACTTTTCTCCAGAATTCGGTATTTCTTGATCGATCGATCTGCCTGCCATATAATAAAATTATTCGGAAATCAGTGAAAATTATCAGTGAGGAGAAATAAGCATTGTTTTCATCGGTAAATTCATGTACCATCAAGTGTACCATTTCAGTTTTCACTGCTTCGAAGGATACAGTTCTTTTTTCTTTCTTGTTTCTCTATGATTTCGGTTAAACTAACTGAGTCCCCTGCATTCATTTCATCAAGTTTGAATTCAATGATTCATTAGTGAATTGTGCATTTCGCAAATTTATCATATATATATATATATGCTATGGATGTGATTGATCAGGTTGGCATTTACCTTGTATACACAAACGTAATGATAATCATTGATTCTTGAAAAGTTCAAATGCACACAGACATCAACTAGTGTACAAAAATGGGCATGTGGTATTATTTTACTGTATGAAAACAGTAATTGTAATTGTAAATCTAGCATGCTAGTTAGTATCTATTTATTTATTTTTTTCTCTCTTAAATATCAAAAAGGATCTATATTCAAATAATAATAATAATAATAATAATAATAATAATAATAATAATAATAATAATAATATCAATCAATGTATCAACTGTTAAGCGAGAGGATGACGCCAATCTATATATATCATATATGAAGGTGTGAATCTATGAAGAAGAAAAAATAAACGCGTACCATTCATTGTGTAATCATGTATTTGATCATTGTGCAAAAAAAAAATAGGCGAATATTGTGTATGTATAGACTGCATGAAATGCAAGCAAGTAGTCAGATAGATAGACAGATAGATGATTATGTAACAACATCAATTTGGAATAAAGAAGTAGAAAATAATAATAATTATTATTATTATTACCCGAGAGAGAGAGAAAACAAACCTACTTCTTTTAATGCATCACTAAATAAATAATGTCAAATAATAAAGAAAGACTAACACATCAACTAATAAATGTCTACTAGTAGAATGATTGCGTATTTATTCTCTTGTTGAAGCGTGTGTATAATAATGCTTAATTGAATTAACGCATACACGTGACTTATAGTGTATGGTTATAATTGTAAGGGTGAGGCGATAACGATGTTGGGATGACTTGGTGATTTTATGCCTAGATTTTTTTTAGCTAGTAGTCAAAAACGCTTTTGATTAAAAATCATTCAACAATCGAACTAATAAGATTTGTTAACCATAGGCAATAATTTCTTAAAAAAACGTCTCTGGTGGTTTCTTATAGACAATAATAGTTTTGAAGAAAGCTTCCAAGTTTCCTTATTACAAAATCCTTAGAAGAAAATTCGAGTTTGACAATTTCAACTTGATGGTCATTTGTACACCGACTAACGATCTTTATATACTAAATATAAGATTGTAGAGCATTTGTAGTTTGCTTTACATTTAATAAATCTCACTATTGTTGAACTTCACTCCGTCAACTCTTGGAAAAGTTCACTAACTTTTATGTTGATCATTAAATTCGTAAAACTCTAGCAGCTTCAAAAACAAACGGTATGAATTAGATATACCAGCGATACTCCAAGTGACAATGATCAATTATTTAAGGCATTCGGGAGGCGATCAGTCAATCAACAGCAGCGTAGAACTTCGTGTATACGTACGTTAGTATTAACAAGGCATTTGTATATGTGGTAACATTTCTCAGACTACGTTAATGACTGTAGCGACTATGTTCCACGTTTTGCTTTGGCTAAACTTAGCTTTCTTACAACCTGCATCAACATTAGCAAACGTCATTCGTCAACTGTATAGGTGGATAGGCATGCGATGCAAAGCTAATTGACAATGGTAGCCAGTACAAATACACATGGTTATACAACAAATACTGCTGACTAATGAACATTTGGAGATCACTCACCTCAACCGAAGTAATTGCAGAATAGTATATGCACCTTTGTAAAAAGCAGTTACAGATCCCATTGAAGCATCACTATTATAGCTAACTTACCACACATATTAGCAATCAATTAGATTAATCAAATGCTAACATCGACTGATTTACACTTGTAATGAATAGATTCTGCTCTTATAATAAATTTTTTACCACTATAGAAATTATATAGCTTTGATAGACAGATTTACCAATCCATTCATATTTCAACATAGTGCAAGCGATTCCGTGTCACTCAGAATAGTGGCGAGACAAACCTCATAGATAGAATTCGATCAGCGTTTAAGTACTAAACAAACTAAACATTATGAACAGTTGTAGATATCTTAGTTCAAAAGGTCAGTCTTTATCCAAGTAACTCATATGTAATGTCTATCGGTGACTGTGAAAGTACAACCTGCCGATCAGGGTCAACAAACGTGAAACCTAGATATATGGTTTCGTGCAGACTATTTCTAACTACCCAACATAATATCTAATCGTGTGTTGAACTCATATACAGGATGTAAACGAAAGATCTGTTCAATTTGATTGACAATTCTGACTAAAACAGGGATAATATAACAAGTGGTTATGTTAAACAAAAAAAAAAGAAGTCGGATGAATGTTTATTTTTCAAATAGGAACTGTTTTTTTTGAACTTTTTTATTATCAACGAAACAAAACAGAATCCAAGCGCGCAAACCAACGTAAACACAAACAGTAGAGATTGATCAGACAACAATAGGCAGGTAGGCAAACAGTTAAGTGAATGTGTAAAAAAAAGAACAGATTATGGAGAATAGCATTTATCATGAAAATTATTTGCATACAAATTCTTCACATAAATTAGTTATATTCATATTTATATATACTAAATACGCAGATAGACAGGTGTAAAAAGAGCAGTGAGGGAATGATCTACCACAAAACCGATCTCTAAAGTTGAATTACTGAGAAAATATAAAAATATTTCTTTATAGAAAGAATTAACGACCATGTAAAATAAAAAATACTATTAGATAAGGTAGTGATTGTTGAATGAAGATTTTCTAACAAAACGACAACAGTCGATTGTTTACACTTGCAGAGACGGTAAATCAATAATACTGACACACTAAACAAGGCAAATAGCATGACTGTTAATAGTGATAAAGACATGGAGACAATTCTTTACCAAGAATTTATAGCGGATTAAAATTTAACACTGTACGTAAAATGTAAAACCAACTTTTGATTCATTTTAGAAAAAAAATGTCTCTGAGTAATTTTAAAAGATCATTGTTAGAAGGAAGCGATTATGGTTGTGTGAGTCTGGCCGGACTGTCAGTGTAACAATTCTATTGGCCCGAAACTGACAACTGGCTGTAAACAACACCTGGAAGAAAGAATAACAGAAAGCAAGTACAGAGTGAAGAAACGAAAACCAATACCTAACAGCAACAGGCAGTAGTAACAAGAAACCGTGGAAAAGATACCACCACCAACAACAAGATATAGCAAAGATTTGAATTTTGTTGTAAAACGAAAAATAGGAAAAAAAAGGCAATTTGTGCAAATGTATAATCTGATTATTGAAAATTATTATTAATTGATAAAACTAAGTAAAAATAAAACTCGCTAGAAAATAAAAAAAACGAATAAAACAACGAGAATAAATAAATAAAAAGTGATCTGAAGAAGGCATCGAATAACGCGATGTGTTCAGAGTTATTGAATTCACTCAACGAGAAGGAAAAAAAACAATACAACAACAACGACAACAAGAAGAAGCAATATTCAAGTGGTGTAAAAGAGCATGACGAGGAGGGCATAAGAGAGAATGCACGGTTACATAAAATTCACATTAATTTTCCTTTTTTTAAAAAAAACCTATATGGTTTCTATACTTGAAAAGAAAAGAAAGTAGACGAACAAACAATGATAATAGATGTATATATATACAAATAGAGAATAAGGTATTGTTGTTTCTTGTTGTTGTTGTCTGAGTTATTTCATTACTCTCTGAAGGTTCTAACTAGACTTTTTCTGCTAAGAAAAGCAATCCAAAAAAACCCAACCAGATCACTATCGTCATAACGAATAGATATAGACTATTTCCTGTAAGTATGTAGTAGTAGGCACATTGTGTGAATAATACAACAATAATTTCATGTTTATGGATCAAATCAGTAAAAAAAAGCAACATAAAAACGAAGTAATAACAATAATAATAACAATAATAGTAATAATAATAAGAGAAGGAATTTTCCGTTGGTGTCGCTTACAAAACATACGAGAAAATCACTAGTTTTATCATGCGAATAGTTAGTGTGTGAATGAATGAATGAATGAATGAATAACAATATATACGGTCATGTAATGTGGAAAAAGAATAAATTAAATAACTGAAATGTACATCATAGGTATAGTATAATTAGACCTCCCACCTCTACACATGATATCAACAATATTCTTTAAGTAGTCCTTGGTTATGAATATAATTAGACATTGTTGAGTACAGTTGTTGGCGGTGGTCGAGGTTCCGGACCGTAGTATCGTTCAACAATATAATATCGTGTTTCCACCTGGAGAATAATGCAATTGAACAGAAAAGAATGAAGACAGTGTGAATGGAAAAGAAAATTCAAAGAACAATTAAGCCAAATGAATATTGATTGTGACAACAAAGTGTTTAACAGAAATCGATAAAGATGTATTGAAATAGAACAATTTTCGAATGTGATGACACTGAAGTGTTGATTTACTGATAAGGTTGGACTGAACTCTATTGTTTATAACGCTTGAAAATAGAGTCAGTTCGAAATCATGAAACTAATTATGCTGTAGTTTGACACAAATGTTGCAGATAACTATAACTTTCACCATCAATTTAGTCTCATTTAATAATCAGATTAATAGACCTGATTATGGGTCACACTCCAACTGTGAGGACTAATGATACTGATTGTTCGGTTAAACTGAAGTAGGTGGGGTGGGGTTCTAACCTGTAACTCAACTGCTGATAATCGAACGACTAAACTACTAAGCCATAACTCCACAAAAGTGAAGAATAGGCGGATAATTAAATGATGCACAATAAGATACACAAATTCTTCCACTAACTGTTCTTCTTTAGTTTAACGTACAGTGCCAACTATTGTTAATTATAAATGAAAGCACACAGTTGTTTCTCTTTTCTTAAATGGTAATACCAACTTTTGATGGGAGGGATCAATTTTGAGTGGAAGTAGAGTTCCGGAAGCTCGTTTAATCCTAATCAAAGCTGAGCAGCTGGAAGTTTATGCATCTCAGAGTCACGTCCCGCATTCCAGTTAGAACCCGCCCCTCTAGAAAACTTGTGACAAAATAACCACATAGGGGCAGTCTGCAAAAAAAGGACATATATCAACCAAGACTGATCACAATTTCATTGAGAATATAAACAACAAGATATTTGGAAAACCCTGAAAAATTAAACTATGGTAGTTTATTTTAAGAGATTTACAGAGATAATTTCATTGTGTTGAAGGAGTCCTTGAACAAATGATCTAAGCTGTGACATTATTTAAAACTAAAACGCACTGAACAGCTGTTAGTTATGTCCTATTATAAGATTTCATAGAAGTGAGAGAATATGACATAGCAAGGGAACAAATCCACGACACTCAAGCTTTCCGAAGAGCGTTTATAAATTAGAACCGCTGAGGTTTGCGTACAGTAGTACGTTTCCAACTTTATTCAATCGGTCATATAATGGGACGGTTACAGTTCAGTGCTTGGTCCTAAACACTGAAGGACCTAAGTTCGACTTTTGATAGTGTCGTCCATGTGTACTATTCCGGAGACGAACCAGTTGTCCAGGACCTCTTGGTTTCAGTCAGTCAGTCAGTCAGATGCAACGTAGAACTTCGTACGTAAGTACATCAGTTCATGTCGCCATACCACATCAGCACAGAGATATAATTGTCAATTCAAATCCAATAGTAGAAGAGGTAGTAAAGGTATTAGTAGTCGGAGAGGTTAAGATTAGAAGATATTATTCAAGAAGTATGATTCAGTGAGAAAAGTTTAGAAAGTCAAAACTAGAGGGGTTGAAGAATCCAGAAGATTAGGGTTTGAGAGAACACAAAGAATAAATGCACCGGCGCCATTGCGAACGATTTTGATCCATGTCATTCAACGTCTCTAGCGATCGATCATTATCATCTCACGGACCCCAACCAGGTAGTCGACAATTACCGACATGGCTAAGTCCACTCGTCAATGATTTCATGGATTTCTGCCATGTTTTGGTTTAGCCGCCCCTAACTTTCTTCCAACCTACTCCTACACTACAAAACAAAGCACGTCGAGGCAGTCGGTGGTTAGGCATACGCAACACATGTCCCAACCACTTCAACTGATGAAGTTTCATTACTTCATCGATTGATCTGCCATTCATATCTAGCACTCGGTTCCTAATAACAGCGTTGCTCACTCGGGTGTCCCACGATATACGAGCAATGCTTCGAAGTTACCTATGATCGAAAACCAGTAACCTACGAATATCTTCTACTCTCACTGGCCATGTTTCACAGCCCTAAAGTAAGACGGAGCGAACCACTGCGCAGTATACTCGTCCTTTAGTCAGCAAACGGATATCCCACCTACGCCATAAGTGACGCAGGTTGGCAAAAGCCAATCGAGCCTTCTGTATCCGAGCTGAGATTTCGTCAGTCACCAGGCCATCGGCACTGATGAGACTCCCAAGATAAGTGAAGCGCTCTATACGTTCGACTACTTCACTCCCTATCACTAGTTCAGGTGCCGATGCAACCCAGTCTTCAAGCAACATTTTGCATTTCGAGGGTGAGAACCGCATCCCGAACATGCTTGCATTGTTGCTTAGGGTGCTCAGAAGACTCTGCGTTTTGTCAGCGTCTTCACCAAGTAGGACAATGTCATCGGCATATTCTAAGTCAATAAGCGAGCCACCTGGTAGAAGGTCTACTCCTGAAAATTCAGGTGAGGATAGGGTTATTTCTAGGAGCGTGTCTATGATAAAAGTAAACAAAAATGGAGAAAGTGGACATCCCTGACGGACACCACTTGAAGTGAAGAATTCCGCTGAGAGTTCATCATAAGCTCTCACTCGACCAGTGGTGTTCGAGTAGAGAGCTTGTATAAGGTTAATGTACTTCTTTGATACACCTTTCAATGAAAGACTCTGCCGCAGAACCTCACGATCCACTGAGTCAAATGCCGCTTTTAGGTCCAGGAACATAATTATTGTCGGACGTCTAAATGTGTGTCTGTGTTCTAGGACCTGTCGTAGTGTGAAGATGTGGTCGAAAACCAGCCTGGTTTTCTCTAGTCTGCTCTTCACGACCTTTCGTTAAGCGCTGAAGTATTATTGAGGCCAGTATTTTAGATACTATATTAGTTAGACTTATTCCTCTGTGATCGTCAAAAGAAGACTTCTGTCCTTTCTTATAGGTTGGGACAATCAGTGATTGAGACCAGTCGGATGGGATTACGTCTAGTTCTCAGATTCTACCTAAGATCTCAGTCAATCTAGCTGCTAAAACTGGACCACCATCCTTAAATATCTCAGGGGTCAGTCTATCAGGAACTGCAGCTCGTCCTCGTTTCAGATTTCCTAACGCTTTCTCAACTTCATTAAGACTAGGTGGACTTACGTCGATTAACCATTCAGGACGACTAGAGATCGTGGGCAACCGAAGAGTGGCTCGTGGCCAGTTGAACTGATCCCTAGAGTGTTTTGCCCATCGATCCAGTCTCCTGGATTGAGAATGGATAATAAGACCATCCTTTTCCGGGATAGTCTCACTCACATTCGGGTTCCTAATACCAGTTTCTTTAATAAGGCAGAAAAGTTGTCTAGTGTTGCCTATCGCCGCTGCCTTTTCCATCGCTTTTGCTTTCGCCACCCACCACTGTTCGCGGTCGTTACGTAGGCTTTTTATAAGTCTGCGCCTAAGTTGACTTCGTTCTTCATCATGTTCAGAGCCAGGTGGGATGAGTTTTCGGGCATCCATCAGTTCGGTGGATGCTACTGAGATCCACGGTTTCATTCTAGCCTTATGGTCAACCTTACTAACAGATATCACTGCTGTTTCCACAGCCTTTTTGATATCATTCCAACCTGACTCCGGATGGGAATCGCTTAAATGGTCGCCTAACTGTCTTTCTAGTTGTTCCTGAAATATATTCTTCGCCCTATTATCATTAAGTAAAACCCTAAGAGGCTTTCTTACGGTGTCTTTCCTACACCCAGTAAGCTTCAAACAAATACGTGCTCGCACTAGGGCATGATCTGAATCTAGACATGTGCTCCAGAACGAGTGACAGTCCTCTATCGAACCCCTCCATCGGTGGCTGATGGCAATGTGATCTAGTTGAGTCCAACGTTGAGACGACTTTGGAGGTCGCCAGGTCAACAGATGCTTTTCCTTATGCCTAAAGTTAGTGTTTGCTAAGAATAGGCGGTTGTCTGAGCATGCTTGCAACAAACGGTCACCATTGTCTGTTCTCTGAGCCGGCACACCATAACATCCACCAAGGTGTCTTTCATTTTCACTCAGTCTACCTACTTGAGCATTGAAGTCGCCAGCCATTAATACTATATCAGAGCGCTTAGCTTTTTGGAGGAGGTCCGAAAGCTTTCTGTAAAACTCATCTTTAACCTCGTCTGAACTGCAGTCAGTGGGGGCATAGGCAGATATGACGAAGAGGCAACGGCGAGTGTCCCTATCCTTCCGAACACCTACTCTCCCGTTTAATCGGACAGCGCACAAGCGACTATCTACAGGGATCCACTCAAGGAGAGATTGTTCAGCTCTACGACTCAATGCTATGCCTACGCCAGCAAGACCCCTGGAAGCAGCATCAGGGCTACCGGATACGCGAAGAGTAAATCGAACTGCTTCTTTATTTTGATAAGGTGAAATCAGATTAATAATTTTACTAGGATCCTGTATGCGCGTTTCCGAGACGCAACATACATCGATGGCACGGGATTCTAAAGTCCTAGCTAATGATCCCTGTTGCCCTATTTGATACAATGTCCGTACATTAAATTCTCCAACATATAGGCTAGAACGAGGTTTCAAGAGACCAGGAATGACGTTTTGTGAACTCGCATCGTTTGCATTAGCTGTGCTGTGTGATAAAGGAATGTAAGAAGAGTTAGTCGTGGAGATAAGAGAGGTATGTGTGGGTGTAGGAAGGATTTGATTTTGACCAATTTGGTCTCGCGTGCTGTTACGGGTATGAGGGCGGTTATCACTTCCCGGCTGCCCACACAGTGGAAGGTTGTTTCTTGAGGGACCTGAAAAGGAAGATAGATTAGTGTTGGTCTTAAAGACCTGGGAGCGTGACCGCAGAGTCCAAGGGACAACTGCTTGAGGCCGGTCACGCACAGCCTTTTCATGAAACGTTTTTTGAGGATTAGCTCCGCTCTTAAAGGCCCTTAGTGGGCACCCTTACCCAAGGAGACGGAAATCCGTTAGGTAGGGTGAGGTGTGACATTTTTAGGGTCAACCTTTTCTAACCCATCCTTCCATGTGAGAAGGCAGCATCGCTGCAGATGCTGGTTATCCAAGGGAAACACCTTACTTCTGTCACACCCTTTATGCAGTCAGCAGTACGACTTCGCCCTCAGACCTTCGGTAGCTGCTTTTAGTCTCATCGTTCTCCAATCAACCTGCCTGGCATGGTAGAACCTTCAGGAACATATGTTCCAGCCAATATAGCTCTGTTGGGTCATCACAATAGGCAAGCCCGACCACCACGTCAAAGTAGCAGCTACGGTCGAGTCCTCTTGGTTTCGATGTTACCCTAAATAACAACAATTTGTGAGAATTACAAAATATCAGATTTTAAACCGAATATCATCTAAGTAGTTCTGATGCATACTTAAGTGCCTAAAAACAAGGATAATATTGTAATTGCTACCATTAGTATAATTAGATCAGGAAATTAACAGTTGTATATTTTTATGTAAAATCCATATATATATATATATATATTACCGAAATAGAACAGATGACTATATACAAACAGTTGCTATATATATGTATATGTTTGAGGCACACTTTTGTTTTTCGTTTTAATGTTTTCAGTACAAAGTAACTTTCATCGAATAAATCAAGTCGACTATGAAAGATAAACTACTTTGTAAGTATGCTTGTGCATACCGACATACATATACATATATATGTATATGTAAATAAGGTCACATGTATACAACCTTGTTCAAGAGTTCAAGTATGCCAAACTAAAAATAGCCAAACAAGGAAGAAAAAAGATGATAGTGTAAATATTAAAACAAGTAAAATGGAAAACAAAACGGAATCATACCTCTGGATAGTTTTCCTTCTCTTCAATTATTGCTGGTTGAAACGATGAACGTTTAACGGGGTAATTGTTAGGACAATTTGTTGCTGCTGTCGATGTCGTGGGAGGTGGCAATCGATTCGGTGAACTTGATGACATGGTATGTTCAGGTGTAGAAAGTGTATGCGAATGACGTTTACAACCAGCTGTTACAGTTGATGATGATTTATATGGATCATTATTAATGTTATTAATACTACTACAATTCCATATTCGTTCAGGAGCAGTGAATACTAATTGCCCAATAACATTTACATCCACATCATTTCCATTAATATTTAGTGGGTTTAAATTTTGAATGTCATAGTTTGGTGTTATAACCTCCTCAGTTAGATCAATGTCCATCAATGAAGATGAATCAAGATCAGATGATGAATTTGGTTCAGCAGATACAATAGGATAATTTACATTAGTTTGAGATGTGTTTAATTTATTTTCAGTTTGTGTGAAACCGTGTACAGCTTAAGAAAATAATGAAAAATCATGAAAGTATGTAAATATACATTATAAATGTACATGCTACGCTATGATGAGTGAAACATTTCATCAGTCAAGTTATTAACTTATTTGCTAGTTACACACTCGTATACTTGAGGGGGTTCAAGTCATATTCTAAAAGTTAGGCTTAGTGATATTATCCAGTTGTTCAAACCGAAGTAGCTTGTGTGGTTTGAACCCATCGAAAGCATTAATTAGCCACTGAACCACTGCTTCAAGCAGAATTATATGTAACTCAACATATATGTCACATTTAAATAGTCATGCTTTACCCCCCCTGCATATGTCAGATTAGGACTTTTTGGAAATTCAAAGTCAGTCAGTCGGTCAGTTACAACGCAGAACATCGTGTGTACGTATGTAAGTAAATCAGTTCAACTTGCCATACCACAGTATCACAGAGACGCAATTGTCAATTCAAATCCCATAGTAGTAGGTAGTAGAAGTAGTTTGAATCACATAGAAAGCGTTAGCAACTTTTGAGATCAAAGATACAACCGAAACTTCATAGTTAACTTTCAACTACTTCTAACCACTCAAAGATGTGGAGAATACCCATTTGAGTACTTGTGTTCTTTCATTATCTGCAAATAATAACTAAAGACTCTAAAGATTAACTATAAACTACAGATTCAGCTATTATTTAATGAATTTTACGCACGCTTATACAACTAAATATGTGAAAAAGTTATAGCAACGAATCACTCTTCGTGCTCGAATGCCCAGCCACTAAACCAAAGAGCTGGCATCCAATGGTTTTATTGTCTAACCTCACTCGATTCGTGATATTACGTAACCCAAATCCATTGCCTACGGTAGGTAACTGTTTCACATCCTACATGGTTGAAATCTGCTGGTTGTAGCTTCTCACTGAAACTCTAGAGGTTGCATTTTGAAGCTGCTCATTAGTGAGCACAACAATACTTATCTTCCTCCGTTAAATTAAGTTGCATCTGATTCTGTCACAACTACAACAGACTTCGATGAAAAAAGTTATCAACTGTTAAATCTATTTTTCATCAAATTACTACTCGCAATAGCAACGATAATAGTTACCAAAACCATTGTTTCATTACTTTGTCTTCTGATTATGATTTTTTCAGCATATTTTATGGTAAATTTAGAGAATCGTCTACGCCTTTATTAAATTAGATTAAGATATGTAACTCACTAGCCAAATAGTTGATTTTTAAAAATTCTACTACTGTCTAGTGGTCAATAACACGATTCAACTGCTCAAACAGAAGTATGTGTAGTAGAGTGATAGTATAGAACCATTACCGAGAAATGATTTAGACCAGGTGTTTGTGTAAGCACTAAAATCCCGTTGCCTGAAAAAACGCTGTTCAGCTGAACATATTTGATGTTTTCAGGTTAGCAGTAGTGATTGATCAGATGGATTTCCGATTATTAAAATTAATGATAAGTCCTAATCGCGGGTAATATGCTAGAAATTCAGGTGGTAGTGTTAATACGCTAGTGGCCACATCAAAAACTTGATCGATAGAATTTGACCAGTACTAAGAAGCAATTAACATTCACAGCATTGGCTACCACTCACTGATCAATCAGCTGTGAACATATCCCAAACATACAGAAGATTAGCTACGACCCAAATGTTCCACTGTTGACATCTGAATATGAAGCTAGATGACATGTGATTGAATCTACTAGGAAGTATCAGTCCCCACAGGATTACAGACAAACCTTCCTGAAGAGTGCCAAATAGCCTCGAAACTTAGGTCTGAAGTTTATTGTTGCTACCACCTCGAAAATATAACAAAATATCGTAGATATTTGAAATAATCAATTGAAACCTGATAGTTAGGTTAGGGACATCGTATCTTTGACAGAGGAGAAAATATGTATGGAGAATTGCTTCCTTATATGAATAGCATTTTATTATCACAACGAGCATGCAACTCGATGATTTGGACACATATTTGCCTGTTTATCCATCAGACCACTTTGATCGACTAAACTCCAAAAAGACAAAATTTCTAGACATAGAATATACAACTAAAAGGACTATTGATTACATACAATAGTATGAAGTTACAGAATAAAAGAAGGAAAGTATTAATTGTATATAAACTCACTTCCAGGAGCATTAGGATTTAAATGCATTAAACCAGTGGATGAGCGTAAACCAGCTGGGGGACTAAGAAACCAATCAGAACGCTTTTGTAAACGCTCCAATTGACGTCGTTTAACAGAATTAAAACCAACTGACTGAGAAGATGGTGTTCGATAAGCTGTACTCTTCAGAAATACGTAAAGATAAAATACAAATCTTGAGAAAAAGAAAACTGACTGATATTTTATGTACCACACAATATCATTTTATTTTATTTAGGAAGATTTTAAAAAAACCATAGAAGTGAATAAGATTCCCTCCGAACAAGTTAATACAATGAAAAAGCATTGAAGTTGACTGAATGACTAAAACCTTAGATCGATATGCGAAATTATTTGATTTTCTCCTTCGTATTTCCGGATATACAGTATGCCTAATAATTGATTATTTATGTTTCAATTTCTTCTTACAGATGCAGTCCTTATAGAAGTAGGATAGCAAATGGTTGGTTATACAATGGGAAATAAGTAAATGTGGATCGTTTTACAATTTGGTAAAGAAACAAAAATACAGAAAGGGTTGTGAAGATATACACATAAGACATGCGTGGATGTACTCAGATGAAATAGTAGTGTTGTTGAATTGTTATGATACACAGGTTACAAGCTTTCATTTAAAACAATAAACTTTCTTCTATCAGTTAAAAATTAAACTAGAAAGCACTTGAGAAAACTTGATTCCTCATCATAAACTTTAACAATATTTGTAAAACACGAAGAAATCTTCGTATTTTGCTGTTTTCGCTTTAACTACATACAAGTGAATGTGTTCGATTGATAAGACTATGTACCAAGAACATTCATTTTCAATTTAATAATAAATTATAATTTTGAGCAAAATGGTATGGTAATGAGCAGCTGTTTAGGTCTGTTCCTAGTAGAAATACTTTTTTGAGATTTAGAACGACCAGAATTATACTACATATTAACAACGAGATTACATTTTAAGTGAGTAAGTTGATAATTCTTATTTTATGTAAAGACGTAAATCATGAGAAATCTCATCATCATCAGTTACAGCGTTGAACTTCGTACGTAAGTACATCAGTTCAAGTTGCCATACCACACAAGCACAGAGATATAATTGTCAATTCAAATCCAATAGTAGAAGAGGTAGTAAAGGTATTAGAAGTAATCGGAGAGGTTAGGGTTCAAAGATATGATTCGAGAGGTATAATCCAGTGAGGCTAATTTAGAAAAAGATAGAGGTGATGAAGAATTCATAAGATAGAGTTTCATTGAACACCTGCGCCATTGCATACGATTTGAAGCCATGTTATTCAGGGTATCTAACCATCGATCATTATCATCTCGCGGACCCCAACCAGGTAGTCGACAACTACCGACATGGCTAAGTCCACTCGTCAATGATTTCATGGATTTCCGCCATGTTTTGGTTTGGCCGCCTCTAACTTTCTTCCAACCTACTCCTACACCACAAAACAAAGCACGTCGAGGCAGTCGGTGGTTAGGCATACGCAACACATGTCTCAACCACCTCAATTGATGAAGTTTCATTACTTCATCTATTGACCTGCCGTCCTTAACTAACACCCGTTTCCTAACAACAGCATTGCTTACTCGAGCAATGCTTCGGAGACACCTATGATCGAAAACAAGTAATCTACGAATATCTTCTACTTTGACTGGCCATGTTTCACAGCCATATATTAGGACGGAGCGAACTACTGCGCAGTACACTCGTCATTTAGTCAACAAACGGATATCTCGCCTTTGCCATAAGTGACGCAGGCTGGTAAAAGCCAACCGAGCTTTCATGAGAAATCCATTCATCCTTGGTTGTTACTGGTCTACTACTAGACGCTTTAATCAGTAAGAAAATTAAAGGAATTCTTCAAATTAACGAATACAACCGTATGAAATGATACAGCAATTCCCAGAAAATATTAGTAATAAACTTATCTCATAATAACTGTTGAGTAAAATTAGAAATTTCTTAACACCAATACTTCTAAGATGGTGACTAATGCAATTGATAGGTGATCACCATGTGAACACGGTAGGATCAACAACAATCGGATTACTAATTCAAGTAGACAATTTGCAAGAATGTCTAGAAATTATCAACTAACTTACCTTTGTTTTAGCATTATATTCTTTATTTCCAACTGATGGAGTAGATGGAACAACAGAGGGAAGTTTGAAATTCTTTGACTGATCATCTGAGTTGTTTACTGTTGTCATAGGATTTGAAAAGTCATGCGCTTTTAATGGATCTAAGTTGACTGGTGGAGTATGATGTGCAGTTTTTCCAATAGGTGTTGTAGTAACACATGTACGCTTTTCTGATGTTTGTTGAATGGGAGCATTTAGTAAGTTGGATCCTCCGGTATCTATATAAGAAAGCATTTTTAAACATGTATTATAAATAGCTCATAACTTTGATAAAGTATAGGTAACCTATAAACTCAGTCACGAACCAAATAACTCAATGGTAACGTCTGTAAATATAAAACAGCAGAATTTGTGTTTGTATCCATCAAACTAATGAGTTCTTCCAAGTGTGAGATATGTCTAGTTAACAAGCATGAAACTTATACCCAGGGTTTCCAGAGGACTACTAAATCTAAACACCTAACATTTTAAACCAATACACTCAATCATTATATCTGATCATAAGAAAAATAAAGGGCTGAACAAATAACTACCACCTTTTTGCTTACATCCCATGAAACATAAATTCCTAGGCATATGGTATGTGAGGAAAAAATCACTTTGCACAATAACTGATCCAACCTTACTTACGAAGATTGCTGATAAATTTTCTAACACTTTCTTTACATAATATAACTGCATACTTACAAGCGTATTTTTGTATAAATCAAGTTTTTGAAGAAAAGATTGATCAGTTATGTAAATCTTAATTTCTACCGAAAAAAATACAGAGATGCCAAATTTAGCAGTGAGGTAATGATTCGCCATTGATTGAGATATGTATTACGTATGACCAACCACTGCTTAACCTCAACAAATCTCATTTGGCGGCACGGCAACAGGTTGGAAGGTCAGAAGTGAAAAAACCAAGATGTTGATATCAACCTATGGAAACAGTAACTGTTGAACTGAGCCATGCAGGTGGGTGGTCGTGAGTAGTTGTAAAAAGACAACCATTCTCATACCTCTAAGTGCACACGAGAACATGTTGCTCACAATCAAACCCTTCCTTGAAGTTGGGTAAAGCTAGAGGTGGAGAAATTGAAACATGGCACCAGTCCATGAAGCAATTGACAACTGAACTGAGCCATATTAAAAGGTGTTCACTACCTGATTGGAATCGAGCAATGTCGTGTTAATCATAACCAGTGATTATGATTACTCGAAATAGTTTGCAATGGCAAAGATGCATTTATTCGTTGTCTTTCCCTTAATCCTAAGTTTTGAATCACTTATGACGCTTTCTATTTCACTAATTAATATTTTCTTGAACTGCATCGTTGATGCCTACCTAATCTTTTAGATTACCAAAAATGCTGTTACTACCTATACCCCACCTATTTTATTTCTCTATGTTCATGGGGAATAACAAACTAAACTGATACACTTACGCACAAGATAGAAAGTTACAACTGACTGACAACCGCTACTCCTACGTTTTTGTAATTACTTTAGTAAATTTCGTCTCAGTGTCCTGATATGGTGCGACAACTTGAATCAGTAGATTTATTCCCAAGGTTCTATGTGGCTTATGATTGATTAACTGACTGATAAACTTGAAGGGAACAAACTGCTTTGTGAATTACAAAAAATGCTTAATGAACGAATAAGCTACTTAGTAACTAGTGAAATAAAGGGTAATATTATTTTTTAAACTAGATAACAACAACCTATTCGATTTGTAACCAAAAAACACATATCTGCACAACACCACATAGTTTTTCAGAAACGAGATCATCATACCTATTTCAAAGGGCCGATTTTCCCGTCTTAAAAGAGTAGGTGTCAGCGTGGAGCTTGCCTCTGTATATAAAATAGTCCCATCTCCAGATATGTAACGTTCACTTTGTGAACTGATATTCTGTATGTGCGAAACATTTGGTGAAGTATTTTCAACTAGCGTATTATCACCTGGCCCAGAAGTGACCTGATTAGGTCCCAAGTTTTCTATACTGTTCGGAGTGGATGTGTTATTACAAGCTGCTTTTTCGAAAACCTCCTTGGTTACGGCTAAAAATAATACAAAACAAATTGCAAAGTTTAATATGATTCAGAGGAAGTAACTAAATCAAAATAGAAATTAGGGTTGTGAACTAATTATAAATTAGTGAGTTACTGAAAAAAAAAACAGTTGTATACCATGGCCTGGTGACTGACGAAATCTCAGCTCGGATACAGATTGGCTTTTGCCAACCTGCGTCACTTATGGCAAAGGCGAGATATCCGTTTGTTGACTAAATGACGAGTGTACTGTGCAGTGATTCGCTCCGTCTTACTTTATGGATGTGAAACATGGCCAGTCAAAGTAGAAGATATTCGTAGGTTACTGGTTTTCAATCATAGGTGTCTTCGAAGCATTGCTCGAGTAAGCAATGCTGTTGTTAGGAAACGGTTGTTAGTTAAGGACGGCAGGTCAATAGATGAAGTAATGAAACTTCATCAGTTGAGGTGGTTGGGACATGTGTTGCGTATGCCTAACCACCGACTGCCTCGACGTGCTTTGTTTTGTGGTGTAGGAGTAGGTTGGAAGAAAGTTAGAGGCGGCCAAACCAAAACATGGCGGAAATCCATGAAATCATTGACGAGTGGACTTAGCCATGTCGGTAGTTGTCGACTACCTGGTTGGGGTCCGTGAGATGATAATCATCGATGGTTAGATACCCTGAATGACATGGATCAAAATCGTTTGCAATGGCGCCGGTGCATTTATTCTCTGTGTTCTCTCAAATCCTAATCTTCTGGATTCTTCAACCCCTCTAGTTTTGACTTTCTAAGCTTTTCTCACTGAATCATACTTCTTGAATAAGATCTTCTAATCCTAACCTCTCCGATTACTTCTAATACCTTTACTACCTCTTCTACTATTGGATTTGAATTGACAGTTATATCTCTGTGCTGATGTGGTATGGCGACACGAACTGATGTACTTACGTATGAAGTTCTGGATATTTGAATGGTTCATACACTTCCTGAAACTGATAATGGTACGGGGAAACAGTACTTTTATTATACAGATTTTATTAAAAGGTCTACTCTAACCTAGTTTCTGATCAACTGAAGAGGACCAAGAAGTGTGGAGAATTGATACTTTAATAATAATCAAAAATGACGAAGAATTTTAGTTATAGAAACAGTGAGATTAAATGATATCGTTTTTCAGAATCTTTTCGGACAATATTCACAATATTTAGTCTTTGTTGCTATCACTGGTATTGCATTATTCCGATTGATTTCGTGATTCATCTTGCTGTTTCTATTTTTTTCAAGTTAATTTACTATGGCAACCTGTTAGCTTTACAGACAGCTCATCAGTATTATCCCTTTTAAGCGGTTCTCGAATATTCATACGTTACAACAGAAAAATGTAAGCTAATAAAAGAAACGTGGATTAATCAGAATCAAAACACCAACGAGAGATAAAGTAGCATTTCTAAAAATGTAAACAAACCTAACAAAGTCACAAAATTCAACAGACAGCGCAGTTCTGCTTAACAGAAGCCATAGCAATTAAGCTAAAACTTGATCTTTCTTTGTAAAATTGGTTGCCGTGGTAGCGACAATGGAGTTTCCAAATCATTCAAACCATTACAAACTGAATTAAAATTTACTAGGACATCATGTCAATATTTAACTTATCAAATTGTATGTGCACAGAATGCAACGAAATAAAAATGACTTCGTCGTTGACTGGTTCTATGCGTTATATGAAAGAAACCGATAACCATAATTCCCGAAAATTGGACACGTACCATCTTTAATGAGGTGAAATCCATGCTTTCTGCCTTCTTCCAACAGCATTCGAACGAAAAGACGCACAGATTTTTCTCCTGTCAAAGAAAAATAACAATGTGGTCAAAAAGCTATTTGAAGCGGGTGAAATCAGATCAAACTTTATATCTTATTTAGTGATGAACTTAGATTTTAATTTAGGCCCACAAATACCCTCGCGTAAGGAATGAAGACGTCAAAATGAGATGGGATAGTGTATTTTACTAGGTAAGGATGGAAAATCAAATGAAGTAGTGAATCTTCATCATTTGAAGGGGTTAAGACAGGTTAATACCTCCGACTGGAAGAAAGCTAGGTGAGACTAGACCAGAACATGGTATAAATTCATGAAGTCACTGACAAGTGGAGTGAGCCATTTTAGTAGGTGTAGACTACTTCGTTGGAGTCCACGAGACGATGGTAACTTCGAATTCTGATCTTCTGAACTCCTTATGACCTTCATATTTTTCTTCTCAATTTTATTTTACTGGATTATATCCTTTGAATAATATCTTTGAACCCTAATCTTTATGATTACCTTTACGACTAATGAATTCGAATTGACAATCGCATCTCTGTGCTAATGTGGTATGGAACTTGAACTTTACATCCAAGTTCTACGTTGAAACTGACTGACTGAATAGTGTATTTACAGAAACCACAGTCAACCAACAAGATGTGTACACTTTATCTTTAGCCTTCGATTTGGAAGACAATAGGGTTCTCGGCTATCATTTGTCACATGTCATCTAATTTTCAATAAACACTGATTGAGTCATACATTCAAATCTGCTACTCTTCTCTCCAGCAGTAACTTCTGGGTGACACTCCGCTGTATGCTACTTGAAACCCATGTTGAGTAGTACCCACCACACTGGTACGGTTGATAGTAGCAAGAGTTAGCTCACCCTCTCGAAATGCGCTAATGTAGCCACGCGTATATGGCCATAATCAGGGAAGTCTGTTTCACTACTTCCTCGTGGTGGGGGTGTTTACAAAATTAGGAGGACAGAATGAGAACATGCAGTACTCGGACTGAGTCAGTGGTATGGAGGATTCACTTAGGAAGGCTGAAAAACCCTGATTCCAAACTAATGGTGTACACAGGCTCCAGGATCCTGAGTGAACAAATGGTGTATGAACCTATTCTTGGTCACTGGCTTTCACGGAACTGCAGCTCTTAAAGCTGATTCAGTACCTTGTGGATTAGACCTGCATATCAAAGATTCGAGGAGCAGCTCCTTAAGAAAATTACCTACTTCAGCTTGGGCACCTAAGCAATATCCCACCCCACAAAAATCCAATTATTTGAGTGGTGCATAAATATTTAGGTGATCTTACTATCTCATGTGCTTATACTAATAGATACAAATCAGAATTTAATTTATTGAATAGTTAGCGAAAGCTAACAATACTGTTTTATGCTCTAACTTAAGAGTTATGCAATATGCAGCAGTACAAGGTGGTAAGTATAAGCTAACGTTCCACACCTTCGATTTTTAAGATTATTTGAGGACCGAATAGACAAAAGTTGAGGATTAAAGCGGAAACTGAAGGACAGTGTTCACAAGTGAGGTTATTAAACATTTAAAACTTGTGAATATGGAGCTTTCGACAATAGATGTAATGCATGCCATTAATATAGTCCTTCAAAAGCTTTAAACGATTGCTTTTGAAGCCAATGAAAATGAGTTATCAGGTATCAATTAGTTTAAATGAAACTGGAATCAATTACAGCTTCGAGTACTTTTTGACTATATGCTAGAATTGAGTGAACATAACACCAGACAGACAGACAGACAGATACAACGCAGAACTTCGTACGTAAGTACATCAGTTCAGGTTGCCATGCCCCATCAGCACAGAGACGCAAATGTCAGTTCAAATCCAACAGTGATAGCAATAATAGAAGTATTAGCAGTCATCGAGAAGATTAGGGAGTGAAGATATGATTCGAAAAGTATAATTCAGTAAGATAAATTTAGAAGGAGAAAGGTAGAGATTATGAGGAATGCAGAATCTTAGAATTTCATAGAACACAAAGAGTGGATGCACCATTGCAAACGATTCTGAGCCATAACACCAGAGTGAATAAAAGTATAAGTTATGATTTTTACTTAGAGATGCACAGATTAAACTAACCATGAATAAGCAATTGATGTATACGTCAAGACAAGAAGATCCGATGTTTGGATATCGGCAACACGAAATGCTCATTACTATTGTTTGTAAAAATTACACAGGCGATTATTACTCGAAAACATTCAAGTTTTTTGTCTATGCCTTTTAAGAGAGCTGGATTGTTTTTAACATATTTAAAGCCTCTAGTTGAATGAAATGGATGTGTATATATGGATATCTACTTGTAAATAAATGAGATATATGAAAACAATGTTGTTACCGTAGAACTGGACAAACCGACTATCTAACTGATGAAAAGAATTTATGGTCAAGAATGTGTCGATTGAAGTTATTTAAATGCTACGATAAAACAAAAACTCGTTCGACGAAATTTTATCAAATCTAGACTTAGGAATTTTAAGTTCTGATAAAAAGGAGAAAAGTCACGAAATATATCGACAAACGAGAGAAAACAATCTTTCAAATGCTTATGTAAATCGACTCACTTGGTACGTCTTTGGGAAATCGGAATTCGTACTTGAACTTCTCTACTCTCGAAATGCTAGTTTTTGTTTCTAGCGTGAAATATTCGATAAGCTCACGGCTGAATAGATCAGCAGAAGCAAAACCCGTTATGAGGTACTCCATAACTTTGGATGCTCGTTCAACCTGAAACAAAACAAACTTTGTTATTCAAGGAGTTTAATTACTATTGTAGCGAAATGTTAGACATAAGCATATACCTTACAGATATAAATGTGCACCTTTTCCCCAGGTGGAGATACTGGGGTGAGTAAGAAAAATCCTATATGCTGAAAAATACTCAAAAATGAAATCAGGTTGTACCCGGAAGTTAAGTAAACATTATTTTTAAATATAAAAAACTAAACAGTTGCATATGAGACTTCATGTGCATTACTACATCAAAAGTAAACAGAATATGCTGGAAGATATAAACGTTTCGAAAAATATTTTACAACAGAAAAGCTGGATTTGTTATACACGCTATCGAATATCTTTGCAATAACAATTTGCAGAGTTACGGTAAACCATCAGACTGTACGGATACTTGGAGAGTAAATCAATAAATTACGCGAGAAAGTTTTAGACATACTCACCAAGCCCTGTTTAGAAATACATAACGAAGACGTTGTAAAAGAACTAAACATTTGTTTTGGTGGGACACACTTTTATCGAGGCAAAGTACTAACCATGCGTTATTTGAAAAGGGAACCCAACATTTCTACATAGTTCTGATACAACGATTGACTGAATCCCCATTCCAAGAGACGAAGCACCAGTTTCCAAATGGAGTTTGTGAATAAATATTCAGTCAACAAATACCCTGTCGTTATCATCAAAGCCGTAATACAAACCAAATAAAATTTCTCCTAGATGTTTGCAAACACTTACTAGAATATTTAGGCTATAAAGAATCCATTTTGAGTAGAGCTTATAAAAGTTGACTCATTATTCATACATACTACCAAATCCAAATACAATGATATAAAAGGTCTGGACATTTAATTGAAATTGAAACATATATACAAGGTGTTTTTCAAAATTAATTACTTCACTGAAAGATAAAACCATGATTAATTAGGAACTATAAGACAAGCATCGCTCACTTTTCTTGGAGTAGTTGTGCAGCTAGGGAAAACAGACCCAGCGACAGATTTAGCAACAGCTTCCACAGACATAGCATTGACTTCGGTATGATAGATCATTCGAAACCAGATACCGAAGAGTAGAGCAAGTAACTGTTGGACAGGCTTCGGTTGGGAAACGATCACACTACAAATGTAGGAGCGATAATCAGAAAATACATTTTAAATGAAGTTTAGGTTATTAGTCCATTACGATATTCATGAGATGAATACAAAAGCTTAATATTCACCGTTGACCCGTAAAATAATCTGGCTAGTGATGCACAGTACTAGGTGACATAAGCGTATTGCAGAAAGTTAAGAGCAGTAAGATTAAGACATTGTATTAATCCATGGATTAACGGACTCTAGGACTAAATCGTACCTCTGGATACTGACTTCCCGGTTGGTAATATGGGTAATAACCGGTGAGATCCTATTTATTCGTTATTTCTATCTTAAGTGTGACACGAATATCAACTCATGCATCTCACTGTGTTCACTCGTTCATTTCAAACTACGTTTCTTATGTGTAGATTGTGGCTGTAGTTCATAATAGTTTCCCTAATTTATTTTTCATCTTATTGATTTCCTTTATCACTGTGTTAGTGTGAAATGTACCAGACTTCAACTATGTATTTTTAGATTGAAATAAGCCGTCAATAACTAACTAATATTGTTAGGACTAGACATTGCATAAAATTTTTAGCATGGTCGGCATTTTTCAAATCCTTACCGTACAAAAGTCGATAATATCAAAATAACCCCCTGAAAAACCCGGGTAAAAACCAAATTGATGTTTATATGATCATATTGTGATAAAAATGTCGATAACTTCATTGATATGCGCAATGATTGGCTTTGTAAATTGTACGCAGCAAGAAAATAATGAGACAGAAGTTAAACACTAACTAATCAAGATGATTATCATGACCTGATTTGAGGACCCAAAACCATTAGATTTTATGCTGCATATTCGTGAAAAAAGAGTGACGCAAACGAAAGAAAAAGAGGAGGTGAATACGTTGATATATCGACTAACTATTGTTCGTTCGGTAAGAATTGGTGTCTTCTGAAGACTCTCGGACGGGTTAAAGACCGTGACCTGTATAAATGCATACTAATAAGGTTGGTAAAAACCAAAAGATGCGGAGACTATCCCTCACTCAATTACATAATACGGTTGATAGGAACCATACATACCTGTGCATTGCTTCGATACGAGCTTGATCGTCGGGAATGTCAAGAGTAGAAAGTAGCTTCTCTTCAGCTTCAGGACCCAAAATCCCACCTTCAATATGTAACAAATATCGTTTGGCGATATTCGCAAGGGTATAGAAGTTGTAATCTGTCCATTTAATTAATCTCCCAGCTTCAAGATCGGCGATAATCTTCTTCATATCCTGTGGATTACCAGGTCTTCTGAACAAATCTGTCACAGCTACTCCCTCGCGAGCAATGTAAACCAATAAATCCTAAACTTTCAAACAGAATACAAAACACTTACCCGAATCTGAGACGGGACATTTTGTGATTTAAATGATTCACTAATCTTTACATTGAATAACACCCTAGTCACACGACGAGACAAACCATGTCTGCGACTAACACATTTCCTGATATTATCGAACAGTGGCATTTGTATTATATGCTGAGAGATGACATTATTTGGAGCAAAATCAGTGGTGAGCAAATAAGACAAGGAAACCAGGTGTGGTAACCTAGAACCGTAACCAGCGCCATTTCAGAAGTTGGGGGATTTTCATATGATCAATCTTCACTAAATTCACCATATCAAGATACGAAGAATTTTAGATTACAGATGAGAAAGTCTGAATGTGTAATGCTTTACCTTGCTTAATTTATTGATCACGTTCTATCCTTCTAAATGGATTTATAGGACGTCCGAAAACCTGAACCTCATATGCATAACAAGATTTGTGGGTAAGTTGAAAAATTTAAAACATATAATATGCTCCTCGGGCGTTTGTTATCCAGTGACCTAGTCACCTCATTATTTTTTATATCTACTGCAACAGTGACCTGAGAACTCTTTATATAACTTTCAATAACATGTAACTTACGCCTGTTACCCTTAATGGAACGTCTGCCAAGTCTAGATCTTCTAACTGTATCCGAGCAGTTCATTGTATCCCGTTCTCATTAAATAATCACGTCTTCATAATACAAATAGAAAAAGAACGAGTGAGAGTAAGTAACCTTGTCTAACACATTGTCTTCACCTCAAACGAGTCTGTGAGCACGATTTCTCAATTCAATCCATCGTTAGAGTTCCGAATGATGTTGACTATCTTCTCCGGTACGCCATAAGTTCGAAGAAGACTCTATAGTGTTTTTCTGTCCACACTATCAAATGCTTTGTCGTAGTCAATTGAGTTGATATAAAATGGTGAGTTCCATCCCTTCGAGGCTACTGTCGGTCTGAAGCCAGGATAAACGAGGAGGGTTAGGCATGGGGTTCGCGACCCTATCACACTAAAAAACTAACTAGACAAAAAACGCCTACCAGAACAGATAATTTAAACCATTTTAACTTTGCCCTGGGAGTTGGAAGAAGAATTATGACGTCTCGTGATGAAAGCCGAGTTCCCTCGTAAGTCACGATTCCGATTCCCCTTCTGACAACCAGATCAACCATTTATTTAGGTACATGGAACGTTCGTACATTGTGGGAGACTGGAAAACTATTTCTAGTTGCCGCAGAAGTGAAAAGATACAACCTAGAGGTACTTGGAATCAGTGAAACACATTGGACGCAAGTAGGACAACTAAGAGTAGCTTCAGGTGAACTGATGTTATGCTCTGGTCATGAAGAGGAAAATGCTTCACATACACAAGAAGTTGCACTGATGCTGCCTAAACAAGCACAAACGACACTGATAGGATGGGAATCTCATGGACACAGGATCGTTAAAGCATCCTTCAAAACAAAGAAACAGGACATTACAATGAACGTCATCCAATGTTAAGCATCTACCAATGACTAAAATGACGACGTTAAAGATCAATTCTACGAAAGGCTGCAGTCAATCGTCGAGAAATGTTCCCCAAAGGATTTGACGATTCTTATTAGAGACCTGAATGCCAAGGTTGGAATGGACAACACTGGATATGAAGACATCATGGGACGACATGGACTGGGAGAAAGGAACGAAAACGGTGAGAGATTTGCAAACCTATGTGCCTTCAACAAACTGGTCATCGGTGGCACAATATTCCCGCACAAACGCATACATAAAGCCACATGGATTTCACTGGACCACACTACTCAAAACCAGATTGATCATATCTGTATCAACAAAAAGTTCAGAAGGACCATAGAGGATGTGAGAACGAAGAGAGAAGCTGATGTAGCATGAGATCACCACTTGCTGGTCGCCAAAATGAAACCGAAACTAAAAAAGCGATGGATAACGGTGCAGACAACATCACAGAAGTTTAATACAGCCTTTCTTCGAGATACCGTGAAACTCAACGAATTCAAGATAGCCCTCTACAATAGGTTCCAGGCCTTTCAGGATGTACTCAATGGAGAGGAAGCAACATTGGAGAACAATTGAAAAGAGGTCAAGGAGGCAATCACTTCAACATGTCAGGAGGTCCTTGGTTGCCAGAAGCAGCATCACAAGGAATAGATCTCTGTTGGTACTCTTGAAAAAATTGAAGAAAGGAGGAACAAGAAGGCAGTAGTGAATGTCAGCCGAACAAGAGCAGAGAAAGTTACCGCACAAGCTGCACACACAGAAGCAAACAGGGAAGTAGAGAAGAGCATCACAGCTGACAAACGAAAATACGTGGAAGATCTAGCAATGATGGCGGAAAAGGCTGCAAGAGAAGGAAACTTGAAACAATTGTACGAAACAACAAAGAAGCTCGCCGGAAACTATCGTAAAGCAGAAGGACCGTTGAAAAGCAAGGAAGGCAAAGTAATCAGCAACACTGAAGACCAGCGAAATAGGTGGGTAGAGCACTTTAAGGAACTATTGAATCGAACAGCTCCACTGAACACACCCAACATCGAAGCAGCATCCACGGACCTCCCAATTAATATTGGCGCACCTATGATTGAGGATATCAGCATGGCCATCAGACAAATCAAGAGCGTCAAAGCAGCAGGACCAGACAACATTCCAGCAGAGGCAATGAAAGCAGATGTAGAAGCAACTGCGACAATATTTCACAACCTCTTCAACAAGATTTAGGATGAGAAATAAGTGCCATCAGATTGGGAAGAAGGATACCTCATCAGAATACCAAAGAAAGGAGAACTACAGAGGCATCACTCTTCTTTCAATACCAGGTAAAGTCTTCAACAGGGTATTGTTAAACAGAATGAAGGACTTCGTAGACGCCCAACTTCGAGATCAACAGGCTGGATTTCGTAAGGACCGATCGTGTGCCGGCTAAATTATAACATTGCGGATTATCGTGGATCAATCAATTGAGTGGAACTCACCACTATAAATCAACTTCATTGATTACGAGGAAACCATTCGATAGAGTGGAAAGGGAAGCACTATGTTGTCTTCTTCGACACTACCACATGCCTGAGATGATAGTCAACGTCATACTGAATTCTTATGATGGATTTAACTGTAATATAGCTAACAAACTCGTTTGAGGTGTAAACCGGTGTTAGACAAGGTTGCTTACTCTCACCCATTCTCTTTCTCCTGGTGATCGAACGGATTATGAAGACGTCGACATCTGGAGGGAAGCACAGTATCTTCCACACATTTTCGATTGTCGGCTCTGATACTCTTCTTCAACTGCCTGTTTGCTTCTGTGTATTTAGCTTGTGCCTTGACATTCTCTGCACTTTTTAGGTTGATATTGATCGCTGCCTTCTTGTTCCTTCTTTCGTGAATCTTTGAATCAACATTGTTCGATTCCTTGTCATTCTGCTTCTTGTGACCAAGAACCTCATCAAATTTTGAAGTGTTAGCCAATTCAACCACTTTCTAGTTGCCTCTACATTGAGTAGATCGTGAATGGCCTTAAACGTATAGCTAAGGGATATCCTGAATTCATTAGATTTGTCACCATCCCGATGAAGGGCATATTAAAATTTTATGTTGTTCACACTGGTGTCCTGATAAGTCTTAGTTTCATCTTGGTGACTATCATGTGACGATATGAAGCTAAGCCAGTTACTCGCTTGGTTATCACGTTCTTCGTTGCCCTTTTCAACTTTCTATTGATGAATATATGGTCCATTTGTCTCGGCGTAATGTGAGCCAGTGAAATCCATGTGGCTTTATGTATGTGTTTATGTGTGAATATGATGATACCTGTAATCAGTTTGTTCAGGACACATAGGTTTTGCAAGTAAGTCTCTTACCGATTTCGGTCCTTTCTCCGAATACTTGTGGTCCCATAGTGTTTTTGTACACAACGTTTTCATTTCCAAAATGGCGAAATATTTGACTGAGTGTTTCTCGGAGACTGACTGGGGCCTCTCAAAGAATCAATTATCAAAGCAGAACAGAGTTTTACTTTTAGGAATAACGGTTCAGGATATGCGTCTTGCCCAGTTAAATTCCAAAAAAGCAGTTGCAGGTAAGCGGCGGTTCTATTATTAATCATAAACACAAATACAAGTTATTACTTAAACAGTATTACACGTTTACTACTTCCGTAACAACAAAAAGTTTTTCCGATTCTGGAAAGGGCTCAAAATTTAATCCATAAAGCTTCCTTTCAGTCCAGACAAGGGACTCAAGCAGCGGAGAATCAAAATTCGATATGGCTGTCACCATAAATGAGTATCAACCTAAACAATACAGAAACTAAAAAAGGGTACAAAAATAGAAACTATAATAAAATACAAATATTAGCATCGCTAAATGCGATTAAACAGACGACCAAAATTAAGAAAGAAAGAGTCAATTAGGACATATTACAAATGTATACATGAAGATATTTTCCCACACAAAGCCTTTTAAAAAGGATTCTAAATCAAACCTCAACATTCCCACTGCTTTTGTTGGCGGGCGAATAGCATTAGATAACGTCCATTGTAATGCAGTCTTTCTTTCTTTCGAAGGATGATTTGGTGATCCTGAGTCCATAAGATCTCCATCCTACCAGTGCCTTTTGGGCTTGTTTCAACAGCATCAGTGCAACTCCCTGTGTGTGCGAGGCATTATCTTTTTCATGGCCGGAGTATAACAGCAGCTCTTCTGTAGCTGGTCCTTCTTGTCCAACCTATGTCTAATGGGTTTCACTGATTCAAACCACCCTTTTTCATTTCTGCAGCAATCTGGCCTCCAAACTCCAAGAACTAGGTTTAAATGGTTTGAATTATTTTTCTGGTTTGCTTAATTTTATTGACATGGTGTTCTACGGGATAGAGTTGTCAACTTAACTACCAGTCCTCTCCCTTTATCCAGGCTTTGGAATATCAGTAACCCCAGAGGGTCCTCAGGTGCAGTTAATAACGTATTAACTTGTTAGTTTTCGTAACAATCCCAAAATGTAACATTCATTAGCTGTGTGATGTTCCACACAATCATATTTTTACCTGACATCTATTGATGAACTGAGACAATTTCCAAAAGATTTTTTCAATTTTGGCATCGAAGTAAAGACCTACTCACATCACAAACTCTTTTATTTTATTGACTTCTGAGTAAAGAACATGATTTCGTTGAGGAAACTAAGAGCTAGATTATAATGCATTTGACTCGAATGAACTCCAAAAACACTTCTGGATTTTACGTCCATATTGTTTTACTATCGTTAAAAGGGGTCGCGGTGAATAAAATGTCGAAAAATTGGTCGCACCAACACTCCACAAGGGTATTGATGGAATTCGTTGTGCTAAGTACATCTTGGCTAAAAGATATCGATCGCCCTTGATCAGCACTAGGAACTCGGTGCCAGGAAACCCGCTGCAACAGTTAACCAGATTGAATGAAACGCCGTCCGACTGACCAGCCATATTCCAAACACGACTCTAACCTCCATGATTGAATTCGATGTGACGGAATTCGCGGTTTACGAAAAAAAGGACTGCCAAGCTCCGAATATCAGTGACGTTCCTACAGGGGTCATATTCCTTAGAGCAATGAGACGTTTACAAGACTTCAGGTACGATTTACTGAATATGCAATAATGCTGAACAGAACTTCACTGAGTCTAATGCCTAGCATCAAACCCACGCCACTAAAAACTGTAAAGTCTCGAACCTCGTTTTGGATATTTTTCATTCACTACTTGTTCGTTTCAATGCATGGAAAGCGCGAACGCATGCACCGCAAATCCTATTAGACAAAGCCAAAAACTTAAGAGACTTATAGCGTCGAGGCTATTCGCAGGTAGTAACACATAATTTACTGAAAAGCGTTTATTTAGATTGTAAAGAAAGAAGACAAAGACACTTTACAACTGTAACTCAATGATCATATTATAAGGATAAAATTAGGGTTTAACAAAAAAGCCACAAAAATTAACAAATTACGAGATAATTTCCAGGAAAGCACTAATGCGGGTCCATTGCAACGGCTAACCGTGTGAAAATCGCGAACGGTGATGACTTCTGAGACAATTCTCTTCCGTAGTGAGAATCCGATGAAAGCTAAGAGCACAAAACAACAGTAGAATAAGAAGATACAATACCAACTGAATTAAAGAATGGAAATACAAGTGTTTATAATGCAACAGCTTAGGTACAGTAATTACAAGCTGAATACGTACACGTACATGAAGAAACATTATACACAAAGTATGAACTTCCTTACTTTTGGTTGGCATTATATTTCATATTATGGATCCCTGATTGCTGAACGCTTTGTTCGTTTTATTCACAAAGCTGTTTTTACGATCTCAATAAGGACCTACTACAATCACGTTGCTGGCTTTTGGCATAAACAGAGCGGAGAGAATGTCACTGACACGGAAGCTACTTAATAAATGTGAAATGACATCTCGTTTACACTTGAAACGAATCCCAAAACATTACATATATGTATTGAAAGATCTATACCCTGGACTGGAAAGTAACACTTTTCTCGTTTTGATTCAGATATCAGGATACCTTAGTTTTCATACTACAGTTATCAAACGAAGTTCAGAGTAGAATAAAAGGGGTTGCATGAAGCCAAACAGCAAATGAATGCGTCAGTATGCTCGCTAAGACATTGGAAAATTTAATTGTGGAATGATCGCGGTTCCAATAGTAGTTATAGAGCACAGGAATGGAAGGAGTCAAGTGTAATCAGAACATTAGGTAGATGGTGAACTAAAAACCGGGCATTATCTTATTGAGGAGAGGAGGGAGCTTATTTCATATCTAGAGGAAACATAAAGTGATGGGTTTATCGATAGCGATACCTACGGTAAAAGCCAGCTGACGATCAACCTGAATAGTCGATGACAGTACCTGTGGAAGCTCATCCATGCTGATGTCTCCATAACCTTACTCGGTATCGATTCCCTAAAGCTCTATGAATTGCTATCCGGCTCACGTAGACTGCAATTAACTAATACTTCGTCGAATATTAAATTCAAGGTTTTTAACGCTTCAACGGATATGCTTCGAATCACTGGTGTATTTTTTGCGTAAATATTTATCTCATGTTATATTCGATAGATTTTTCAAAGTGACTGAACCGAAGAGATCTTATCTGCAATTAGGCCACATCTTCACCCATGGATACCTAGTCACGGCAAAACCTCGCTGATTGGCACTGGACAAATTAGTTTTCGCTAAGCATGAGTTTGACAGTTTGCTTGCTATATGAATAATTTCGTCTTTCTCAAAGTCCTTCGGCCTTCCCGATCCACTTGGTTCGCAAAATAGATGGCATTAGTTGAAGACTGTGCGGCGATTACAGAGCAGTAACGGCAGATATTCAATGTTCAGCCTCTGAATTTCTATACGGCACGGGGAATTTTTCACAACATGGAGCAGAGATTTTATGTATATCAGATAACGTCCGACTAACTGCGTACACTGCCTCCAAATTCAAGAGTTATTAAATAGTTCACATGTTTCATACGAGTAGATTCGGTACTCAAACCTTTGCAACATCCTTACGAAGGACCTTTTTGCATGCTTTGCCGTCACGAAAATATTTCCAAGGTTGATAGGCACCGTCAACATTGATCGTCTCAAACCATCGCACGTAATGACAGTGCCCTGCCTGATAAGTCGGGATTCAATGCCAGAGTCAACTAATTCACTAGCGGAATCCTTACGTCTCCTTCGAAATTCACGCCAGATAACTCAGAGACCTCATTGTCACGTCTGAGTCAAAAGCACGTGTCATCTGCACTATCTACGGATGAGACATCAGTCTCACTCCCAGATCAGCAGACCACAACTCCTTTGACGAGACTGCAGTCTCAAGCTCTCAAACACGAAGTACGAACGAGACTACCGTCTTAAGTTCCTGTAGCCAGGTACATCTATCTGCATGCTCTCGCAACTAGCCTCAGTAAGCAATGTATAGGGTTTAGGATTATACCCCTTACTACACCTTTTTCTTTGTTTTTTTTTATCATGAGCTCAAGCCTCCAACCATCCCTTGCTGGTACCGTTGACTTCAATCAATTTTGGCGAAATCTGGCCTGATCACCCACGCTCTTTGCAATGTACACAGTCTGTGATCTAGTTCCGATTACGTCTGGCATACGTATGGTCGCAAACTTGGTTATCATGGTTGATTCTGGCTTCTCGGCTCAATATGGTTTTCTCCCTGTAATTTTGCCCCTCTTTTCTGGAACGATTTCGGTATTCTTCTGATACCATGAAATCGCCAGCAAATATATTCTCTTGTATGGATCTACTTTTTTCTCTGTGGCGGGAACGTAATTGGTCTGTAGTGGTGATCTTAGTCAACTGCGACTCGTCCCATTACAGGCCTTCCATGAAAAGCTAGTATTTCACACAATAGGGACGCAGCAATTACTTGCCTATTAGGATTAAAGAGATAGTTAGAGACTCAGCTTGGATTGTGACTATTATATGAGGTAGCTATAAAAATAGATAACTAAAGGCATGTTCACAGGCTGCTATAATAAATGCTCGGAAAATGATATTTATCCTACCTACCAGAAACAAATGCCATTCAAATTCTGGTTCTTCAACTGGTCAGATAAAAAGAAAAAGTTTAATACTGAAGGAAATACTTTAACGCAGACTAGGCCAAGAGTCATAACAAATGAATGTTTTGTTGACAGTACGCGAAAACTCAGCAAATATAAAATAAGCCTGGAGATAGTCTCTAAAGATTATCATTTAATTTTCTTACCTAGAAATTTGACACTGAGAGTGTAGAAGCAAAACAGAGTTACGATACATCGGTCTTTTTTGCAGAATGACTGCGTCTTAGCTGTCACCATATCAAGCTTCATAAATCACAAGGAACGGAAACTGTTGTCCTAGACACTTGGGATTTCGTGATAATACAGGTAAACAGCTGACGAGAAGTCATATAGAACTGCCTAAACTACTGCAATGTTTGTAGTGTTACAATGAGAAGAATGTTATTGTAACATTAGCGAATTTCCTGATAAGTTCCAGACTAAAATAAAACGTATAAAACCAAGAACAAAACTTTAATTATGTTGGATATCCGGTGTTGCACAATACCCGGTATTTTGGACGAGTCAATAAGCCATACTAACCATTTATTTTGTTAGGCTTTATTACCGCCATATGTGTCTGGTGAACGGTTTTTCCCACTGTTAACATTCAGCTGCAATGACTTTTATCGAAGATGGTTAAAGGCTAGAATGGGAGGCACGTTTTGTTGTATTTGGGATACCTGATGCATCTATGGAGCCAGTTGCTGGTATTTAAAAAAATGAAAGGTTTGAGTTATAGATACCCACAAGAAAAGTTGAATGCACTGTGTTAATAGACAGTAGTCTTTTTTCTCAGAAACTTACTCCTTTAGCATTATCTGATGAAACATCTCCACGAGCCACAAGCAATGCATAAACTTGATCAGGACGAATGTCAGGAAATTGACGTTTTAGATTCTAAAAAATAATATATATATATATATATATACATGCACATACATAAACAAATAAGACTTAGTCAAATTAGGCGTTGAAGGTGATTTGTGTTTTTGTTCAAGTGAGAGTCACTGATCTGATAGGCGCAACAAACTCGTCACAAGAAGACTTTACAGAGACTAGTGATCCTAATTATTTGGGCCGAGAAGAGTGAGATCATAACACTGTAATTGTAACAGTATTATGGAAAATAAGTAACAGTACTTATACAGGTGATAAAATTGTATAAAGCGTCTCCGAAAATATAATCCTTGAGATACTACTGTTACGAATGTTCATAATAATGTCACTGTACCTACAGCTAAATGAGTTTAAGAATCTATTTGTCAATAAGATTTTTAGAAAAATTTCCTAGAATTCAGAAACTACCAATAAAAGACTTTATTGGTCTCCAAAGACCGTCTTTGAAGCATATTCGAACAAAGGAATAAGTTGAAAAACTGAATTCCGGAGTGGCAGAAAATTCCACAGAGAGAATTGAAATTTGAAACAAATCAGTTCAATAGTGAATTTAATTGGTGAACACGTAAACTATTATTTACTAAGGTAAATGAAATAGGAAAAATAAGTGACGCGATTAGTATATTATCTACAAACATCCATATCCTTTAAATTTTCATGTATCGAACAAATTAAATTTGTGTTAAATATATTTTACACAAGTTGATATGACTACGACTTCTAGAAGCCTACTTAACTGGGACAGCAAACTATCGAGGCCCACTAATGGAGATTTCAGTTGTTGCAAATAATTTAAAGCCTAATTCACAAGACTAAATGCATCGGTTAGATTACGACAACACACAAATAAGAAATCACAATCTGCATATAACTAGATTACATGTCCGTACAGAGTTGTGGAGATTATTGAATTTAACTGCAATCATGAACTGATCAACGTTAGACGGCCATCGAAAACCTGAAAGCACTGGATGGACGTCTCATCCAAGTATGGCGCCTCTTAGCACATCATTAACATCTCTAAACCACTGAACCGATATCTTATGGTATACAAGTCTAACTTTCATCAATCCACGTTATTACGCTACCACCTTTCATTGTCTTTGGTCGGTAACTTCCTGACATCAGACATAGTCATTTGTGATGTGGAATTGTGTTTAAAAAAATGCATAATCAACAGACAATAAACCGTATATCAACAGTTAATCATCTAACTAAAAGCTCAAAATAGGACGGATATAAAAATACTGCAAACTAGATAAATACTTATTATACGTCTCACAAGGTTCATTCTTGCCCATTTCTTGGCCTGTTGTATCTAGTCTAATTCAAAGATTTGAGTTTTCACATATAAATTGTTTCGCATGCCGTCCGTCATTTTGGTAAATAATTGTCATCCACTTAACTAATCCGAAACTGGACTCAACCATATAAACAAATACTTACAGCAATATCTAACGGTAACATTGACGTATCAGTTGTAAGAAACAATTGACCGATAGTTGTTAGGGCATCATATGCAGCAATCACCTAAAATTGAGTTTATCAGAAATACATATATCCAGAAATGATCAATACGAAAATAATGCGTACTGAGTTTATGGATTTATAGTTACTCAATTATGAAAACATTTTTACTAGTGATAGTACCATAGTTACAATTTCTAACTTATGTTTCTGACTGTCAGGACTTTGACCGATCAACAGATTACCTCAACTTAGTAATGTTAAAGGTTTTAGTGCATTTGATATGACTAGAAGTCGGATCCAAAATGCAGGTATCTTTCTATTTGAAAATCTTCAGGTTGATATATCTGCATTCTAGCTTTGATGCTCACAGTGAGACTCGTTGAGAGAGAAATCTAATGCGATAAAGGCTCACTGTAATGAAGATACGTCAAGCTGAAGTGTTTTAAGTATGGTGAGACTACTACTGACTGCTCCAAGTAGTATATTATTTTATATACACAGTTGCAATGTCGTATATTGATTGCAGGGACTGAAAATAGTCTCAGATTCTGGCAATTCTGATTTTTGGTTAATGAATAAGACGTTTTGATGGAGTTGTTAAAAGTCTTTTGTCACGTGCCTTAAAAAATGAGTATTATACTGTTCGTGATTCTATGAACGGGAGGATTATACATACAAAATTTCCGATCTTTTTATATTTCACATAAAAAAGTAATATCGCGTGCAGTAAAAGGTGCAAGTGCGTTTTTAAATGGCCGACTGCTACACCATGGAAGAAGATTATTCTTGTGGGATCTGAAACTATAAACTGGGTTAGAGGTAGCCATGAAAACCTAAAAGTATCCTCTCAGAGCCCAAGAAACTACTGATTAGAGCTTGCTATACAAAGCTTTTCTGTGAATATCTTTTTATGAGTTAGGTCAGCACTTTTAAGACCTCACCGTAAGTGACACAAATCCATAGGTTAAGGTGAGGTACGATAATTTCATGATCAATCTTTGTAACTGCATTAATACTGCAGCACCGCTGTAGATAATGGTTGTCTAAGGGAAATATCTTATTGTCGTCACATACAGACAGATACAATAAGTACTAAGGAATCGGATTATGACTTTGCTTTGTTGTTTTACAGTATTCAAATAGAACTTCCTGGTAAAGTAGGATATAAAGTGTAATCCCGATACTCAGGCGTAACCAGCATTACGAGGTAACAGCTACAATCAGATTATATACAATAAACTGACAGCTTTTTTATTGATTGTATAGGTGTCATCTTTTTTAAAAAAGTCCTTAAGATAAAATCCATGTAACACGTGACACATTAATTAATAATCCATGTGAATCTACTTACTTCACTTTTCACTTTCATTTTCTCTCCAAAATAATTTTTTAAATCATGTCCGTCTCGTGTGATTTTTTCACCAGCTTTTTTTCTATCCGCTTCTGTGGAAAGTGGACTTCGTCTGTGTACAATAAAAGCGCAATAAACACACAATAAAAAATCTTATTTCCCGTTTATGTTTAATAATATATTGAAGAGATAGAAATTCAATTTACTCTATTTTTTGTTTTAATTATATATTTACCTAATCGGTTGTTATATCATTGATTTCTCTTATTTGTGAGTATTTGCACACCGTGAGGTGCTACGTAAATTTCCAGTTATTATTTCGTTTCTAGTTCACTCTCTTATTATCAGACATATGTAACAATGCCTCATCTTGATTTACTAAGTTAGATTAGTAGACGATTTCGAGAGTATGGTTCGCTTATTTATGAACACACCGTATTTATTCTATTGAAATTTTCATTAACATTAAATTCAATGCTATTTTTAGGATAGATTCACTTGTTCACTAAATAGTCAACCAATGTTCTTCACAAAACGACCATATCATTTAAATTCAAAAGTAATCAATCAAACTATCCATCTACTTAAACTTTTCTTGTACATCTATTCACTCACGATAATTCAGTAGAACGTTAATAGTTTTCTGTTAAATTATCTATCCAACGTTACTGACATTAGCGAATCACAATCGAAAAGTGTGTAACTGATATTTGAAAGAGAATTAGTGATAAAGTACTTCTAAGATGAAATGATAACTGCTTAGAAATGTTTATAGCAAAAATATCTGAAAAGAGAAAACTAATCTCGAATGCATCAGTCATTAATTCACTTAACGGCTTTGAACATTACAGGAATGATAATGAATCCAGGACTAATGTCGATCAGTTGTGTGAATAAAAATCGTGAATATTTGCAGCCAATCTTTGGTGCCTTTCAATTACTGATTAAGTATAGAGATCAATCTAGGAACACTGTCTGTCTATATCACTCTGGCAAAAGCTAAACTAAGACAGCTGAAGATTTTTCTAGGCCAGTTTGATACAATTTCAAAAGCGAATCGCTCCACAAATGGGCAATATTTTTTTGTAAGGCAATCAGATTGTTGTATAGTCAGTCAGTAATTGATAACATGAATTATTATAATAGTCATTATAAATCAATGAAAAATAATATATAAGATTATGAATGATGAGTAATTGTTAATACCGGCTGATTAATGCTTTCAAATATTCAATCAACATTCGTTCGGCCAATTTTTCAGCTAATTTATCATATAAATTCTGCTTCATATGCTTCAATGTTTCATCATAATCAGCTAATGTGCCAACCAAGTATTGTGTTGTCATATCATCTGGGCGTAGCCTGTTATTCATAATTTATAGATTGATAAAAATAATAATAATAATAGTAATAACCCTACAGGTTAAATACATTTGGAGAATGAGAGAATTTAAAAAAAAATACTAAACGAAAATGCATCAACTGAAAAACTGTTGGGGATGTTAGATCCCCGAAATTCGCTTGTTAAATACCTTATTTGGGATTCTAAGTTTGCCAGCATGGGCTAATCAGTTGACCCTGAGATTTCAATTCCCATCAGGAAAATCCATGGCCGTGATTGGCTGCTGTGTATTTTAGTGTGCTATTTTCTTAACTGTCTCAAGGACGTTTCTATGATGCATAAATAGACGAGAGTTGTTTGCTTGATTGTACTGTGATTGCTGGGTGTTTGTAGAATATACTTTCTACGCTTACAAAGCCTTTTTACTTCAGCCTGGGGATTCAAGGTAGCCTACCTGGACGCTGATAAAAGTCTCGTTCGCGTTTATTGACTAAGGTAAACTCGTAATAGCCTCAAGCATACTTAGTGATGAACATAATAAAAACAACGGTAAGAATTTCTATGAATAAAATAAAAACAGTTTAAACAAAAATTGTTGTTCACAAGATCGTATAGGTGTAGATATGTTGTTATGATTTACACACATAGACATACATGCTCATACACTGCTGCTACTGTGAATATTTTTGAATACGGTTAGTCTTTTGTAAAAACATACTAATCGGTAATCAACAAATGTAAGCAAGCACTTTTGTATTGTGTTGATATTTAGAATTTGCTTGCATTGTAATTATGCCCTGATAAGTTTACATTAACATCTATGTATCATGATGTCAATCGGAAATCAACTTATAGACGTCTGCGAACAGTGTGATCAATATTATGTACTCTATCTATATAGAATCAATCGATCAAATGTAACTCTGAGATTGATATGGAAAATAAAGAAATATAATTAGTTACTGTTTTTACAAGAGGATGAAAGTGCCTTAGTTAGTGTACATAAATGTTAAACAATGCATTGATGAAATTTCAGAAAATTATGAATTACTTTCTTAAACTGTAGATGACTATTAACCAGATTGAAACTGTAATTACCGTTTTTCCACCAGTTACTTTCAAATGTAAAACACACCAAATACAATGAGTATATGCAATGGTAACAATCAAGAGGGACAATAGTCATTTAACTAACATCAATACGTACGACGGAAGGTACTAAGAGTGCAAATAAACAGTCAAAACAAGAGGCACGTTACTGACTGTTAAACCATAGGGATTTTTACAATGAAATTAAAACGGAACAATTATTATTTACATAATATACATTCGTACACTTACCATTGAGATGTCATAATCACGCCTAATACACGGTTTAAATCCATGAATACTGTTTCTTCAGCATAAGCTATCCTATACGAAGAATATATGAATATAAATAATCGATTGAATCATTAAAATAGATTGCTGAGCGATTGCTAGGGTTCAAACATCTTCAACATAGCTAGCAGTGGAATCCAGGACGCGCATTCCGTCCTATTTGGGACTCAATATCAGGATGGTCCTGTATCCCGCCCGTTTATACTAATAATGATTGTAACTTAACGGTTATAGCGAGGCAATGCGCACAGGATGGATATATGCCGAAGGGAATGATCGATTGCGATTGAGGTATCATACAATATGTTTCCGTGACAGTTAAGATATTAAGCATGATGAAACTTCTGATGTAAAAATAGAAATCACGAAGTAATTTTTCGGGACATTGTCTCACTTAACTGGGATTATGTAAAGTATTAACATTTAGTTATGTGCCTGTTTTATTCTATGAATTAGAAGCTTTTGCTGAATGCAATAATTACTGTGATATTCTTTTCTATTTCACAATTACAACTTAGAAACGAACAAACCTGTTTACTCATAAGAAAAAAAAACAAAGTTTTGTACCACGTAATGACCATGTTGATCTGATTTGATAGATTTTGAATAGATAGTCGAATGTAAAAGATAATTTAAGTCAAACATTACTTGGAAAATTAGACAGTATAAACTTTTGATTTGTTTTGCCTCAGTTTCAAAGGTTTAGATCAGTGACGACTAATGACTTTCTCTTTCTGTACATCGAATTCAACCTAGAACCTTAAAGTTTCACATTGTCAGTTATGTATCAAACTACAATGGCGTGAGTGTCACTTTAGTTATTGTGCTTTTGTAAAATATACTCCTGACGCTTTCATAGCTGAGCTGAACTTTGAAGGATTTTCCTGTTGTGGGTTTTCTGCGTTCAGTAAGACAAGAGAAAATGTGTGCTCGCGTCAGAAAGTGATAAAAATTAAAAAAATGTGCTTCAAATAGAGTAGAAGTCTTTAACCGAGCTAATCCACCAATGGTTGACGGCGATTCAGTGCGCTATGTTTATCCAGTGCTAATAGGTTCATAACTAATTTATTCTCAACGAAAAGAGCATTTAAATAAAACTCGGTATTAAATGCTAACTGATCTTTTTCGTATGTTTTATAAAATGCCACCTTTTAGAATTCATGTAGATAGTTATTATAAATGATGTCCTAATAAATACATCATGGATATATACTATGGTAAATGATTATAATATTAGCTCTATATGGAAACAACAAAGATTAAATATACCACATTAGCACAGAGAGATCCCACTGTCAATTCAAATCCCACCGTGGTAGGTAGAGGTAGTAGGAGTATTAGAGGTAATGAAGAAGATTATGGTTCGAAGGAATTATTCAAGTAGTATAATCCAGTGAAATAAATTGAAAAAGTGTCGTCTCTGAAAGCATGTCAATGACAAAGTTGGATAGGAATGGAGAAACACTTACCATTGTTCAGCTACCTTTTCGTATTCTGATTTCAAATGACTAATTCTAGCTGATAGATTACCTTTAAGATGTGAGTCTTCAGATAATTCATCCATAATTACTGTGACAAAACTGTGCGCAATCATACAAGCACCATTTGCATTAGCTAACTGATATAATTAATGAAAGAAAAAAAGGAATAACCTTTAACCCTCAGTTCTTTTTGTATTTTATTTTATTTCTGAATGACACCATCCTATCTCAAAATGTTTTTTGTTAGAATTTTTTTATTTAATAAATTAAAGAGTTTTAAAATTGTAGATATTATTTTCTGTTAAATAATATAGAACGGTCATTACTCCCTCAATGTTCACCTTTTCACCAAAATATGAAGCCTAATAATTTACAAAGTACTAGCTCTATCGTTTTCAATATTGTTGCGGACACCGATATCATGTTCTTGACTGCGTTGTATATGGTGGTGTTTGCATCACTTATTTTTTAAATATTTCTAATCAAAGCGCATAATTTTTAACGATAGAGGGGTCAGTAGACTCGAGCGCCGGGCTAAAATTGTCAATATCAATATCAGTCAGTTACAAGTGCAGGTTCTCATAGCGCATTAGCACAGGAAGCAATTGTCGGTTCAAATCCGATAGTGGTAGAGATAGTGGAAGTATTAGCGGTAATATATTGATATATATAAGCTTGGATGAGTACTAGAATTCTGAAGAGATACCTACTGACAGTTTGTTTAAGATTAATACTCACTCATTCTATTCAAATGTATACCCAATTACACACACACATTTTCTAGCCAGGTTTTAAAGCTTAATGTAGTAGACCACTAATAAGAGATAATTATTATTACAATGGTGAAGGTTAGATAGTACACTGAGCTAGAAAATCGATGTGTATGTGTGCGTGTAAATGGGTGTAAATTTGAATAGAATGAGGACTTTTTCTCCTGTATTTAGTATCAATCTTAAATAAACTGTCAGTAAGTATTTCATTAGAATTTTAGTGCTCATCTAAGCTTATATATTGGTATTGAGAAATTTTCGCTAGTAAGGAATTCTATTAGTTCCAGATAGGATATCCAATATTATAAGAATAGTAGATAATTAGAGCTGGAACTTTCTGCTGTACTGAGAATTCTATATTAAGCTTAACATACAGTACCGAATCAAGCAATTACTATCATCATTACTAATCACAGTTAGTTTGAAACCATTTCCATCTAATTCGATTTAACAAATGGGGTAGGATTATTGACTATCATCGTTTAACAAATTCGAGGGTCAAATATAACCCAGGTTGACAAAAAGTCACTTTAGCTTTCATTATTTAAATTCTGTTCATATCTGGTATACCGCCCCACACCTACACTGACATAACTAGTTAAACACGGGAAATTATCAACGATTCCTGAGAGTTTATCACCATAAATAAAGTGAATGAAGGTAGACGTACTTAACACTTTGTAGGTGCAAGATATATGCCTAGTTTTCCTTCAAGTCTACATCTATACTACTTATATTTGTGTCTCAGTGACATAAACACACACACATACACAAAAACGAACAAATATTGCATAAACCTTAATTCATCAATGTACGATTAGATAACTTGATTGCATTTTCTTCAAATATCAGTACTATGCACATAGTAAAACGAAACATAATAATAACAATAATAATGCTAAAAGAAGATGGTAATTATTAAGCACTACTTACAATGTATTCTATATAGCATGGAAATTTCGATCTGTCTTGTATATAAGCTGCTCGATACTTTTTAATGTCATCTAGTAATCAATAAACATATAAAGTATGGAAATGACATATTACAGAATAAAATTATACGTAGTATTGTGTTGAGCCATACAAATATTATCAAGCTGGTGAGTAGTATAGTTTTTGGAGGAATAAAATATTGAACAAAACGACAGACATATTGTACCATTAAGTGCTAGCGTGGAAGCAGGGGCTTCATTGATCACCACTAGTCAACGGATTGTATATTAAAGCAGTTCAAACTTTAAATCCCATTAAGAAAATCGCATAATGTATGGTCAGATTTTAATCCGCGGACGACCTTACAGCGACAACGAAGTTACCTTGAGAAAACTAGCCTACTTACTTGGGTTTAAAGAGGAATATGAATTAGCGTAAGGAATTTGAATTAGGGCTTAGAGTTAGAAGTTAAGGTTAGGAAACAGATTCGCAGTTTTAATTGATAACAAATATAACGCGAGAATGCTGGTTAGACATATGCATGAATGGATTTCGCGCCAAAATGCCAGACCGGTTATCTTGAATTTGATTGGTTCATCCATAAGTTATAGTCTCGCCTAATGCATCATCAATATACTAAGTGTATGTACGGGAGACAAAACCATTGACACAAACTTGGTTATAGAGATTTCACCATAAGTATTTCTACTGATAACCACGATTTAAAAGCTATTATTCTACATTCATGAGATTTAACGTAATGCGTAAAACAAATAAGATCTTTAACTGTGTGACGTTGACTGGTTTATGTATTTAGATTCCATTTGGAAAATCAATTCACTGTCTAAGGTTGTACATAAGTCTTATTGATAAATGCCATCAAGAGCAGATCGCTATCAAACAATTAACAACAAATTAAACTAATTGAGCAAATGGACAAAATCCTTACCATCGTAATCTTTGACGAAAAGTGTCATCTCTTCAACGCATTGTGTAAAAAATTGCTCTCTCACTGCATTACCCAAATAATGTAATAAATTACCTTTACCAATCTGTACAAAATAATAAGTTGAAAAAACTTAGTTAACAAGTATATACATTAGAACAACACATATAAGCGATCAATATTGTTTTCGATTAGATCGTCATCAGGCTTTACTCTAATATATATGATTATGACTCATATTGTCTTTATTGGTTAAACATTGTCATGTAAATATTCATGTATATTAGAGTGAAGCCTGATGACGATCTAATCGAAAACAATATTGATCGCTTATATGTGTAGTTCTATATATATATATATATATATATATATATATATATATATATATATATATATATATATATATATATATATATATTGTTTATTTCTTGCTTTTATCATAATATAACAGGATATACAGTTTGCACAGGACTACTCAGTGTTCTCGACAGCGGTCTTTAGTAGAGATGTAAGAAATAGTTTACCGATTGAGTTCATAGAGTTAGGCGGATACGATAAGTCTAGAGCAGTAAGATTAGTTCCCGCACACACAACCGAATATCACAAATGCGGCACTACATCATAATTTAGGTTGTAAAGACATAGAGCTGATATTGCAGTAGTTAATATCTTTTATTTTGAATTAAACATGAAGTAAGATAACATGATACTTTGAAAGTGCAAATGCAACTGCGCAATAATTGATGGCCTCAAGACTATAAAATAACCTCAACTAATTGTGGAATATTGATCAGTAATAAAATGAAGTGATTGGTTATTGATCTAAATAGATGCAATGGATTTGATTGATTGTGACCAATTTGGTCTCGTGTGAGGACAGATGTTACTTCCCGGCTGCTCACACCGTGGAAGGGTTCTGGTTGTCAGAAGGGGCATCGGCCTCATGGCTTCCGAAGGAACTCGGCTTTCATTATGAGACGTCATAATTCTTGTAAATGAAGACTAACTCCCAGAGCAGAGTTTATATAGTTAGAATTATTTCTTATTGTTAACGTTTTTTAACGTTTTTTACCTATAATTGTATTTACTGGTTTACTGTTCCTGCTATTTACATTAGGAGAACGAGAAGAGAGGAGTTCTTGTTCACATTCAGGTGCATATTGCACAAAAAATTGAGATTAAAAGGTTTTCAGCAGTGTGATTATCCATCACCCGCTTGACATTGGACAATCGTCATTTTGGAAATAATTCATACTCGGACAACTTAGAATTTGTTTTGTCACGCCGATGCTATTACTGAGAACAAGATGAAACTGAACTAGTGCATCCGAAAGGATCTCGTTGTAACTCTGTCACTATTTTAATTACTCCATTATATAGCATCTTATTTCATATTTTCAATAACCGAATCCTTTCCTGCATTAAATGAGTCATTTTTCTGCTATACATAATTTATCACTCTATTAATCTATCCAGTTTTATGGACTGGATTCGTCAACACTAACTTCGTCTTTCTAAACTTATGCCACTGAATTATACTTCTTGAATATTATCTTCAAATCCTAATCTTCTCCACTAACAGTAATTCTTCTACTATCTCTAGCATTATGGGATTCGAATTGACGATCGCGTCTCAGTGCTAATGTAGTATGGCAACCTGAACTGATGTACTTACGTACCAAGTTCCACGTTGTAACTGACTGACTAACTGACTTTTCTATGGTAGTTATTACGTAACTGTGACATTAATTTTCATTCTTTAAACATGTGTCTCCTTGTCTGTTGAAATTTCTTTCACTAAGTTAATAAAAAATAGAATTATTCATCTACTTTACCGCTTTATACGTGTATGTCGTTATCGATTGCTAATATCACATAAAACAGGCATACACATTGTAAACAATCAATACTTAATTATCTCTAGATTTTAAGAAAACTACACGAAATTAATGAATTTATCTTATTCTTCTACGTTGATTGTTGTTGTTTTAATAAAATAGGGAATTTTTTTAGTTTAACATGTGTTCTATAACAAAGCAAACATAAGAGGACTTTGAATTTAAATTCAACAATCAATGTTTTGACAGCGTTTAACAGATTTTGAACAATGGAGAAAAATCCATCAATTAATTTGCACAATAATCTCAAACATTCAGAGTAGCGATTCCTTGATTGTATTTAGTTCCCTTTTAGATCAACAATTTATTGTGTTGGTCGATTTGTGAATCCAATCAAGTTAATTCATAGATTCACTGAACTTGAAAAGTTCAAAAGATCGATATATCTCATCGATATAAATGTGAAGATTCTTGACAACTAATAGTTAGGTGGACGCTAAAGAACACAAGATTTCTGAAGAAATCGGTGAATCACAAACAATGTCGAATCTGACATCATATCAACCCAACGATATGCCATATGTCACGCCAAGTGAAAATACTCTCTGTGATTTGTGACTGGTTCAGAATCATATCATGTAGGTAGTATACATATAGAATTCCGTTTACTGATAATCGCTTATATTTGTTAAGCAATAAAACAATCATTATAATAATAACAATAGGAACTAACCATTTCATTGATAGGTGTCATGACTAATACAGGCAAATCAGTAAAATAATTAGAAGATCCATCTAGTTCAGGTCCAGTTGAACGTTGCCAATCCTAAATCAATTAAAAAAATTACATCGATTATATTGAATTAGGAAAATGTTATTTATTTATTTAGCCAAAAATCAACAATTCAGTTTTAATTAGACAATTTTTTTTAATAAGTCTAATGCTTGTTTCTCACAAGTAAATATCAAGTCATACTAGATGCCACAAAAAATCAATTTCTTGACGAAGAAAATCAAATAAAAGATAGCAAGATAAAGGTTTACAGTGGAAATATTTTCATTTCAAATGCTGTTTGTTAGAATCCAGTTTTGGATATTCAAATCGAAATGATAATGCATTAGTTAAATGCAATGAATGAAAATAACACAGACCTCTTCAATTGATTCTGTGCTGTCCCCGCAGTAAATCTTGATCTGGCCGCCAAATTATTGAAAAATGCTAAGATAAATAGTTTAATCGACGCCTTAAAAGACAGTAATACCTGAGAAAAAAACGTAGGTATTGATACACTTTTCAAGATGTTATTGAGGACCAGTCATTGAAGATTTGGGGTTTACGGAGTCTAATTTAACACCGTATCAGTGGTTAAACAATTTAAAAAAGAAAGCGTTTATGGATGAATATTCATTTTCTGACTGATTAATGTTCGGCTTTTGGGTAATCATTGATTTTCCAACAAAAATGAATAATTATTTTTAGGCATTTTGAAAGGCACATACGCCATTTAGGTATTTTTTTGAAACACTCCTGTCATTAATCCTACTTACACACGAACACAATCCTCCAGAAATATCAAATTTGACCAATTTTTCGGGGTTGATATAAGTGATCAATGAATTACAAAACGAAACCAAAATAACAAGCTAATTTTTAAAATTAGGAAAGTTAAGAAAGATGAAAGCTAATGACCAGACAGCAAATAATTTGAAAATTAGGTTCAATCATAAATAAAGATATAAGCAAATCAACAATGAAAAACGTACAGAAGTATCCTTTAAGAGTGAATTTGCTAACCATGATTTAAGTCGTTCAATTGTCTTTGAAACATATCTATTAAAAAAATTAGAAGATAAAGAGAACATACAGATGGGATTACGAAATTGTTGGAAAGGATTTGAAATACCGGGTTTTCGATAATCTGGAATGAATTTCGATCACTTGATATATGAGTACCAAAAGTGGATTGGCCCAATATAGCCACTCTATCGTAAGCTTCTACAGGATAGATGGATTATAGCTGGAAATTAAGACACTCGTTTCGTCCTGTTTAGGACCCGTTAGTTGGAAGTACAGGTATCCTAGTTTTGACATTAACTCTGAGATTCCAACCCAGCACTCTTTGTCTCAAATGTCAAATGCATCTCCACAGATAGATGTAGTTGGCGAGTTTCAAAGGGGATGAAGCGTGCATCACGAATTCCAGAAGTAGACATAATCCATCTGTTCTACTCACCAATGACAACTTTTTCACACAATTCCAAGAGAGAACAGGCATTGTTGTAATAAGTGACTCCTGAATAGTGTATACAGTACAATCGGAGAAACTTGTCCCAACTTGTGTGTGAAAGATAATTCGACCAGTTGATGAAGGGGATTTGTATATCTTACTTTCTTGGTTGAAATCACGAGCCAATCTCAGCTAGAGCACAATCCAAAACATGGAAGCACTGGATAGCCGACTCGTCATAGTATGACACTTCTAAAAAGTGAGCATTCACGACCCCTACAAGCTGGAATCGAACCAGCACAGCTAGTCGAAGCTTTCAAGATTTCAGTGTTTGCCTAAATCATATCGGTTCATGGTCTCAATAAAGGGAAAAAAACTAATAATGAAGTTATAGATCATCTAGTTCATAGTTATACAAAGAACTTACTGTTTCCGAAGTGAATTCAATTTTTCGTCAGGTAACAAATTAATTGGATGTTTTAAATTCAACCGATTAAAGTCAATATTCATAAAAGGATTTTTCATGAATTCTTCAGTGCTAAAAATAAATTTTTTACGATGATCAAAGTCAAGGTAACTTACTGATAAGAATTTATCCAACCGAGTAGTTGTACAATTTCTGTATCAGACAGACCTTCAAGTACTAAACTTTCAACCTGTATGTATAAATTGTAACAATGTTCATTAACTTTACTGTTTAAACTTACATGCATTCCGATAGCTTCGTGATACATTTCAACAAATCGATCAAATATAGCATAATCTGCTGGGAAATATGTTGGGCATATATTCTGGAAAACAGTAGTAAATAGATGAACAGTTTTGAACATTTAAAGAATAAATACTAATAAGATATTTGTGTGCTCATTACAAAAACTTTGTTTCGGAAAAACTATACGAAAACATATACACGATTTAGTTGAACAGGGTTTGTTGGGGTTCTTTAAACACGCTGGTACCAATCGTTACAAATCGATGTCCATTGGGGTAACATTTAAGGGAATGCATGGTCGTCAAGTTATATCGTGAATAAATTGAAATTAGAATCCCGTAACACTGAATTATGATACAGAGGTTTCATGTCTGTAGCTTCACTCGAGGATCTAAATTTAGTAGTTTTAACCTCAGGGGAACCAAAGGGTATGGACTAGTAAGGAGTTCCATTAAAGGACAAAAAAACTGTCTGATGCACCGAGTTTTTAATGGTACTGTAAATAGGTTAAACGTAGAGTGAATACTAGCTACAGTAAATAATGGAACCAAGCACCCAGACTTGTGTGATTTTATTCAATGGAGCTACTATGCTGCAACAACAGTCTTGGCAGTTTAGAAGTGATTGTTTGCGAGTTTCTGGCTAGTTTCACCGGACCTAGTCATTTCGTAACTCTAATTGATCTCATTTCGTTTCCTTTAACGTAAACTTATCATGAATAGACGGTGCTGAAACGTTTTTGTGTCATGATAACACATAGAATGGTGGAGCAGATTAAAAGCCTGAGTTCTGATGGGATGCTATTAACGGAAAAAGTAGATGAGACTGGATAAAATCAAACTAATTTTGTAATCAACGTTTTTTGAGTTTGGTTTCTACAGAGAAAAAAAATTATTACAGAATTTAAGAGATGTAATCTGTGCCCAGAATTTTTATTATAGCCATTCCAGTACACACAGACAGAATAAATTTAACCTTGAAGTGTTTTATTTTCACATTTCTAATAAAAAAATATGATCATACGTGTTTTGCTTCCCAACATAAATCAATATGAAGATTTCTCTGAGAATTTCGTTTCAGTAAATGTGTTATGCAATCAATACACATCTCACCATAATTTTTTTTTAATACAGAAGTAGTTACACAGATCAGATGTAATTTACATCTGCCGATATATTGTTCGGTAATATATACATATATGATGTAAATAATCGAGTTAGCTGCAGAAATAAGAACGTTTTAAAACGGAGGGCAGCATCGACGCTTGATTGATGGGATTCAGTCGGTACAAAGAAACAAATAACATAAATGGTAATTACGCTGTGATGAACCACTGTACAAAAGATCAAGTCCGAATGAAAATAACTTAAAAGTAATATCTATGATTGTAACCAAAAAACCGAAATCTCCTAGGGAGTATCAGCTCCCGTCAGATAGTAGATTCGCCTTATTCACGAATGTGAATCAGCACAGAACCTAAATTCAGTAGGGTTGCCTACCGACCGCCAATAGGCGTCTCATCAAATACGATGACAAAATGAGCGTGTTCAGAATGATGTGACTAAAGTTGTTTCGTAATATCTTTTAAATTTCGATTCAGTCATTGATTCGCACTTTGCAATGTTTAGATTTCCGATGTAGTTTATATTATTTCTAGTACTTTGTTCCACATATTGTAACGATTCGGTCTCTAGCAATACCGGCAGATTCAAAGTGATACGTTTGACGTAGATTCCAGCTAACTTAACCATAGTTGAATCATTAGAATTTACCAAAATTATTGTTGTATTAAGTTCATATTTGTCTTTTTTCCGTAAAAATTAGTAACAACTTATCACTTTTAGACAGCATTTCATTGTATTATATAACTAAAATACATTGACTCACTTTTGCTATTTTTAAATCTGCTAGTGTGTGTTGTCTGATAGCTTCATTGTGTCGAACTAGTCTATTCTTATCATTTTCATTGTCCAATGAGCTTCCAAACACTCTATTTATATCAAAGTAAATAGAAAATTATCCTATGAAAAACTGACAGAAAACCTGTCAGACAATAGTTTTGGCCATCATAAAAAGTTGACTTATTCAAGAAGAAAATAGTCAATTGATCATTTCATAAGTCATAACAGTGGCCATCGAGTAAACAGTCTTGGGGTTAAGGAAAGGGTGCCAGGTAAAGAGTTAGCGTTTTTTTAGCGAGTCAATTTTGTACGGAATGAGGTCTCCAACCCCAAGCCCAACCCTCATCCTTTATCCGGGCTTGGAACCGGGGCGGCTCCAGGCGGAGTTTGCCATGTAAAAGTAGAAAATAAATTGGTGGGCTACTAAATTCTGAGATGATCTGGACACCTATTACGTATGCTCAGCCACCACCTACATAGAAAAGTGATATTGTCTGGTACAGGAGTAGATTGGGAAAAGCTAGGGGTGGCTAAATTAAAACATGACACCAGTCCATGAGGAGATTGATAGCTAAACTAAGCCATATTAATAGGTGTACACTAACTGATCAGGTTCGAGTGACAATCATAACCAGCGGTCAGAGACTTTGAGTGATATTGGTCAAAATAGTCTGTAATGAGAACGAAGCATTTATTCATTGTCTTTCCTCGAGTCCTAAGTTTTTGAATCACCTATAATGCCTTCTGTTTCACTGCATTTTTGATGCCTAATCTTTTATATTACCACAAATAATGTAACTACCTACACTACTCTGGAATTCGCTTCACCAAATTCATGTCGTTATGTTAATATGTAATGACAGCTTGAATTGATGTACGTACGTACTAGGTTCTTCGTTACATTTGACTGACTAACCACGAGAGCTGTTGCCTAGAACAAAACTGTTCAGATTCTAGAAAGCGTCTTTGGATGTACTTGCCTAGATAACCCATTAACTAAATGGCTGAAGGTATATCTACTTTAACAATCTTGCAGATTTCGTAAGCATTTGAATTTTCCCAATGTTATTATTTAGGACTAAAGTTAATCATTTTTCATAAAATCATATATAGGTCATAGGTAAGTTGTCTTAACATTGTCATTCAGCTAGCTATAAGTCTTAATAAATTTAGCCAAGGAGTCTAAAAACATCCCTTTTGTCCTTTCTGAAATACATCAGCTGGATGCATCTGGATCGTGTGAATCTAAGTAGTAATGGCAAGGCACACATTCCATCAAACCAAATAACGATAGGGATTGGTAAATTCAATTTGGAAACTCGCTAGCAGGGAAGTAAATGATTTCATAAAAAAAAGTAAATACCACTCGTTGAACAATTAACACTCTGATGCAAAACGTTTTAGTATTTAAAGTGAATGACACGGAGTTTGATATTTTACGTAAAAACGTTAAGTTTAAGATCCAAGTGCTCTCGGCTGATGAGGTTATAGCAAGACGAAATGCACCTACTGGACTAAAATTTTAGTTATTTATTTGATTTGAGACACATAAATGTTGGTACAAGTAGGTATTAAAATATTTGTGCGCTACACAATAAAAATGAGTTTGCGCAGAGAGAGAAAAAGACCGGAGTATGAAATGCAAAATACGGATAGAAATGAACGTATGAGAGTTAAATAATAATAATAATAATAATAATGGGGGAGACAGTTTCGATTTTCTCATTTAAAAAACTATAAGTATACTAATGTTTTGGACTTCCATCTAACCTTACTATTGGAATATAATCTATTTTCCTGTTCAACCGTGTTCTGTTTTGAGATAACGTCTCGAGTGAGCTGGTGTCTGAGAATAATGAATATTAGGAATAGCTGGGTTTTTGGCAAATAACGCACGATGTAGAATTCACTGGGACCACATTCGTAGAACATGTCCGAGCCATCGAAGTTGGTGTTTCAAGATGGTGACATCAATTGCATTACAGTTGCTGCGTCCAAACACACGCTGCCGAACCTCGGTATTACTAACATGGTGTTACAACTGAATATCAGCAATCCTTAGGAAATAACCATGATCAAACACAGAAGGTTTTCTAGGATCTTCAACTCAGAGAAACCAAGTTTCAAAAGCATAGACCAAAAGTGTTCTCACCGACACATTGTAGCCGCGATCTTTTACGTCCGGGCTAACAGCATCAAGGCTTTTACTACATGTGAGTCAGTTTCACCACGAACGCTACCACCACCACCATCACCACTTACACAGTAACCCAGCTGCATCAATTCCTCGAGTACTTCTATCTCCTCACTACCAAAAGTGAGTGCAAGTTCAGGATCCTACCAGTTTCGTAAAAGTACTTTGCATTTATAAGGTGAAAAGCAAATGTCACACCTATGGACACCGATTACCAACAAAAAAAACAACCATTACCTGCATCCATCAAACCTGATTCCAGAATATCTTCGTTAGCGAAATTGGAGAGCGATGGTGAGATTGGGAAACCCCGCCTAACCTCACACTTGAATGAAACGAATTGTGAATCACACTTTCTGAAGCCACATAGTCTATTCAAACTGGCCTCCTTCAGCGTTCGCACACTAACAGAAGTCGGATAACAGACAGAGTTGGTTATGTCTTCAGAAAGTTTGAAAATGGATGTTTCTTGTCTAACCGAGACTAGCTACATACTGCGCATTCGCTCTCTGTCTGTCTCCTCGAAAAGCTAGTTTCACGTGTGTTTGTCTGAGAACCCTAAGGCATCTTTACGTAGTCTTGCTGAGGTTAAGCTAATCTGTTGGATCCACATTAACAGTTTATTATGTGCTGTTAGATTTAAAAGCTCCATCAAAGTGAGGAGAAACCATGGTAAGAAACGATGCCTATTAGTTATTTCCTACTACGCCTCGACGGGTTGCATCCCGGATGCAATCAAAACTGAGGTTTACCACCAGTAAAGTGACCCAGTCTAATATTATGCTTCAGTGGCCAACAAACTCGTCGTCCTAAACGGATCGATGTCAGTAAATTGGTTGCAGCTTCTGTCGCAACTAAGTATCATAACGAGCTAGCTATCGATCCTTTCGGAAAGTACAGATTAGCACTGGTTGCAATCGCACGAAGCCATGAAGATGGCTACAGCCATATTTGGATCGATACGGTAGCTGTTGGACTTAACGTCACTTATCTATCTTTGTTTCGGATACTCTTCGGAGTAACTGTTACACCAACCGGCTTCTTACTGGGATACGCATCAAGAGGTTTTACATCGTCACGGTCACATACTCGGCCTTCAACAGCTTCCAACCCGATATAATTGACAACTCTCTTATATTCCGGGCGTGCGTTAGATAGAAACGAAGAATCCTCATGTCTCGCACGCAGACCACTAGTAGCTTCCGTATTATGTCCTGTTTTAGCCCGATAAGCTAATCTTCCGAACCTACTACTAGCTATCTTAGCGCGAGACATAATAAATTCCGTCAACTCATTGAAATTAGGCTCTCTCTCCTCTTCGTCCCACTTGATTCCCAACTCTGCCCACTGGGCTTGCATTCGACGAGGTAAGAGCCTGACTATTCGTTCTAAAGTAACCAAGGAATGAAGTTCCGTTGTACAATTTAGCTGTTCTAAGGTTAAAGCAGCATTCTGCATTTTAATAGCCAAATTCGTCAATTCTTCAGGATCATTAAAATCTGCGTTCCCGGTTCTAAATATGTCCTCTAAGGTTTCACGGGCTATTACATGCGACTGTCCAAAGAGCTGTTTTAAGATGGTCTTAGCTCTCTTATATCCCGCTTGTGGATCCATTATAATACAACCTTCGATCGCATTTTTTGCCCTTCCTTTACAAGAGTGAATTAAGTATAATAAACGCAAATTTTCATCTTTTATTCTTGGTTCTATAAACGTTTCTATTTGGCGCATAAATCTAAAGTAGTTGCGAGACCTTCCATCAAAAAATGAAAGTTCGACCTTAGGTAGTTCTAAACCTACTATCGGTGTCTTAAGTATCTGATCCGTCTCTGGTACCTTAGAACTCTCACTTAAGCCTAGTTCCTTAACGCCTGCCAAAGGTGACTTACAATAATAAGTATCAGACATAACATCGTTTCCAGAAGACTTTAAGTAGCATAACATGGGATCAATATTTATCTCTCCATCTCCTGATACAGAGGAGGTTTGATCAGCATTCGTCATCGTCGGTAACTTATTTGTCACATCAGTGACATCCAGATTATTATCAACGTCATCATGATTCCGTTCTGTCAGACAAGTCGCGTCGATTCGGTCTGCACTAGCATCCGTAGAGTGGAACTCTTCCATTTTTGTATAACTCATATCACTACATGAAGGAACAGCATTAGTATCGCAATTCAAAACTAATATACTCACTTGTTGTTCTTCATGTTCCGTTTCAGAGACACACGACATATGCACATCAATAGCATCGTTATCATGCAACACTGTAAACTGACTGTTACCATCAGACGCTTCCTTCTCATCATCACTTGACTGACAGTCAACCGGAGTTGGAACACTTACAGTTACACAACCTTGTGTATCCTCAATCAACTTAACATTCGTGACGAGGTCCGATGACGTCGAAACACTAGAAGGCTCATTCGATGAAGTTGATCGACTAGTCACTATAAGTGGACTGCTGACACTTTCTATCTCCTTATTATCGCTGTCACTACTAAGATTCTGATGGCTACTATTTCCATTGCTAGTCATAGCATCCGAAAGAGAATGAGGTTTAGGCTTCTTAATAATAGTAGCATCATGTTGTCTCCTAGGCTTCTTAGCCTTTACAGTACCACCATCACTTATCCTAGAATTAACTCTAGGTCCAGTTATATAATTTACCCTAAATGAAGGGTTCCAAAAATAGGCTTTATTCCGTCCAGACAATCCTGCCTGGGCCTTCTTCGTATTTACTGAACTCATTAACCTCTGATTACTCGAATCCAAATAACCGTTCCAGGCTTTTCGAGCAGCTAAGAGGCTTTTATCATCACACACTTCGGATCCATCTTGATGCCTACACTTTTCACCTTTTTCTTTCTTTTCCATACTTAGAAAAGCCTGGAACGGTTATTTGGATTCGAGTAATCAGAGGTTAATGAGTTCAGTAAATATGAAGAAGGCCCAGGCAGGATTGTCTGGACGGAATAAAGCCTATTTTTGGAACCCTTCATTTAGGGTAAATTATATAACTGGACCTAGAGTTAATTCTAGGATAAGTGATGGTGGTACTGTAAAGGCTAAGAAGCCTAGGAGACAACATGATGCTACTATTATTAAGAAGCCTAAACCTCATTCTCTTTCGGATGCTATGACTAGCAATGGAAATAGTAGCCATCAGAATCTTAGTAGTGACAGCGATAATAAGGAGATAGAAAGTGTCAGCAGTCCACTTATAGTGACTAGTCGATCAACTTCATCGAATGAGCCTTCTAGTGTTTCGACGTCATCGGACCTCGTCACGAATGTTAAGTTGATTGAGGATACACAAGGTTGTGTAACTGTAAGTGTTCCAACTCCGGTTGACTGTCAGTCAAGTGATGATGAGAAGGAAGCGTCTGATGGTAACAGTCAGTTTACAGTGTTGCATGATAACGATGCTATTGATGTGCATATGTCGTGTGTCTCTGAAACGGAACATGAAGAACAACAAGTGAGTATATTAGTTTTGAATTGCGATACTAATGCTGTTCCTTCATGTAGTGATATGAGTTATACAAAAATGGAAGAGTTCCACTCTACGGATGCTAGTGCAGACCGAATCGACGCGACTTGTCTGACAGAACGGAATCATGATGACGTTGATAATAATCTGGATGTCACTGATGTGACAAATAAGTTACCGACGATGACGAATGCTGATCAAACCTCCTCTGTATCAGGAGATGGAGAGATAAATATTGATCCCATGTTATGCTACTTAAAGTCTTCTGGAAACGATGTTATGTCTGATACTTATTATTGTAAGTCACCTTTGGCAGGCGTTAAGGAACTAGGCTTAAGTGAGAGTTCTAAGGTACCAGAGACGGATCAGATACTTAAGACACCGATAGTAGGTTTAGAACTACCTAAGGTCGAACTTTCATTTTTTGATGGAAGGTCTCGCAACTACTTTAGATTTATGCGCCAAATAGAAACGTTTATAGAACCAAGAATAAAAGATGAAAATTTGCGTTTATTATACTTAATTCACTCTTGTAAAGGAAGGGCAAAAAATGCGATCGAAGGTTGTATTATAATGGATCCACAAGCGGGATATAAGAGAGCTAAGACCATCTTAAAACAGCTCTTTGGACAGTCGCATGTAATAGCCCGTGAAACCTTAGAGGACATATTTAGAACCGGGAACGCAGATTTTAATGATCCTGAAGAATTGACGAATTTGGCTATTAAAATGCAGAATGCTGCTTTAACCTTAGAACAGCTAAATTGTACAACGGAACTTCATTCCTTGGTTACTTTAGAACGAATAGTCAGGCTCTTACCTCGTCGAATGCAAGCCCAGTGGGCAGAGTTGGGAATCAAGTGGGACGAAGAGGAGAGAGAGCCTAATTTCAATGAGTTGACGGAATTTATTATGTCTCGCGCTAAGATAGCTAGTAGTAGGTTCGGAAGATTAGCTTATCGGGCTAAAACAGGACATAATACGGAAGCTACTAGTGGTCTGCGTGCGAGACATGAGGATTCTTCGTTTCTATCTAACGCACGCCCGGAATATAAGAGAGTTGTCAATTATATCGGGTTGGAAGCTGTTGAAGGCCGAGTATGTGACCGTGACGATGTAAAACCTCTTGATGCGTATCCCAGTAAGAAGCCGGTTGGTGTAACAGTTACTCCGAAGAGTATCCGAAACAAAGATAGATAAGTGACGTTAAGTCCAACAGCTACCGTATCGATCCAAATATGGCTGTAGCCATCTTCATGGCTTCGTGCGATTGCAACCAGTGCTAATCTGTACTTTCCGAAAGGATCGATAGCTAGCTCGTTATGATACTTAGTTGCGACAGAAGCTGCAACCAATTTACTGACATCGATCCGTTTAGGACGACGAGTTTGTTGGCCACTGAAGCATAATATTAGACTGGGTCACTTTACTGGTGGTAAACCTCAGTTTTGATTGCATCCGGGATGCAACCCGTCGAGGCGTAGTAGGAAATAACTAATAGGCATCGTTTCTTACCATGGTTTCTCCTCACTTTGATGGAGCTTTTAAATCTAACAGCACATAATAAACTGTTAATGTGGATCCAACAGATTAGCTTAACCTCAGCAAGACTACGTAAAGATGCCTTAGGGTTCTCAGACAAACACACGTGAAACTAGCTTTTCGAGGAGACAGACAGAGAGCGAATGCGCAGTATGTAGCTAGTCTCGGTTAGACAAGAAACATCCATTTTCAAACTTTCTGAAGACATAACCAACTCTGTCTGTTATCCGACTTCTGTTAGTGTGTGAACGCTGAAGGAGGCCAGTTTGAATAGACTATGTGGCTTCAGAAAGTGTGATTCACAATTCGTATTCAGTGGTAGCATTCAAAATTTCGACCAGTCAGAAACCTCAGATCGTTTAGATAGGACAAGATTTCCACCATAGGCGAGCTGTTTTATGAGTTAGAGGGTGAGGAATACTAAAGATTGGAATAAACAAGCAACGTGATGTAAAATAAAAACTAATGTTACCAAATAATTGTAAGCAGGATATATGGGAGTGACGGAAGGTGTGGGCATAAACATTTCCAGTTATCATCATCATTTAGATTGTGTTTGGGCTATGATACTGTCTAGGTGCTAACACTGAAGCAGTTAATTTTCGTAGAGGGTCACTCCCATAGCCTTTACCCAAGAGGCTTAGTCCATAAGGCAGTGGAGCAACATCAGGAGCTGGAGCCCCATGGTAGACAGCGACCAACAATATGTTCACACGCTATTCGTTCCGTTACGATCTTAGAGCCTTAGTATGCCACCAGGGTTTTTCAACTCACCTAGGTCGATCCTCCATAAGCATATAAATGTTAGCAATGATTAAAAATACTGAAGTATATGTCAAAGTGTTATCTAACCTAAAAAATGATCGATTTAATCATGAAAAATGGCAGTAATAAGAATGAATAAATTTATTGAAATTCCATAAAACTAATTCAACTCACTTATTCTTTATAGTATTAAATATACTGTCAAACAATAGTTTTTTCCATTGTTTCGGTCGTCCGTCTGGCATAAAACCATGTTTTTCTGATCGTTTCCGCCAAATAACATCAGTTCTAATTATTTAAAACACGATAAACATCATTACTCTATATCAGAAAAGATGTTCATTAAAATTGAGTTCAGCTTACAGAAGTAGTTTAATATCAAGGACAACGATCAAGGAAGAATTAAAAATAAACTGCTGTATGTTGTATGTTAAATATACAAATAATTGAGAGAGTGAAACTGTGTGAAGTATGGGAGGCATGTTTAGAAATCGAAGATCTATGCCTCTCTTTACGTAATACTTATGAATAAAGATAACTAGCTTAGTAAAGCTCAGGTAGAAAGTGAAAACATAAGAAATTACAACAAGATTGTGGAAAAAATGTTACGCAAAAACTTTAGATACGATGGTCAAGCAACATTGAGGTATTTCTTTAAATGTGAAAATTTGGTTTGAACTTTTTCGGCATAGTTGGATATTGTCGTGAGCTAGGATAGTGAGAACTGTAGGCAACATTAATCCCATTAAACCACACAATAATTATTCCAAAGAGAAGACACCTTTATGACATGGTCAAAGTCAACGGGTCAAACGACTGAATTGCATAACAAACAGAATTTTCGAAGATTGCATCATGTCATACAGTGCGATTACATACCAAAATACTGGCAATCAAAAGAAAATTAAGTACAATGTCAAACAACTGGAACAAACATTAAAATTACCTTTCTTCACGGTCAATAACACGTACACAATTAACAACAAAGCGATTGTGAGTGATTACTGCACTAGTCAGACGAGACCCAAGAATAATTATTTTATGTCTAAACGTTTCATTTAAATTTTCAAGCTCACGGAAAAAGGCACGTAGTGTCTATGGAATAGAGAGAAAAATATAGAATTGAAATAATTAAAAATTCAAGCACATACATCTAGATCCTCCATAGACTTTTGTCGATACACTTCAAACATCAGTTCATCTCGGATTCCTTCTAAGTCCTGCATCCTGAATGGAAAAAGTAATTAAAAAGACAAGGATTTACAGTTTATGACCTTCCAAAAGGTTTTCTGCTTCCAGATAATTTCGAGCCTGTTCAAATGTTTCAGGGGCTTTGACTAGATAACTCATATTTTCCATAGCAGCACCAAGCTATACAACTATGCATCAATAATAAGAGAACACTCACTTGACTATATTTGGTTGAAAGATTTTTTAATTCATGCAGCTCTTGTGATAAGCCAGACAAACCGGATAATGATGATCCCAATTGAATAAGTCTATATTATAATAAAGAGAAGTAAAATTTACCTGTTCCTACATGTTTGTGATTCAGCGAGGGCAGTATCCAACTTTTCCAAGCCAATTTTACTACCGTCTAACTGACTGTATAAAGCCATCTTTAACTGAGCTTCTGTAGCAGTCTGCACAAAACGAATATGTGGATATATACAAGACAGTAGAACCGACCTTTTGATTCAGAAATTTAGATTTAATTACATCTATTTTATCTAGTTGTTCTGGCTTCTGAGAAAAATTTAATTAAATATACACAAACTAACTTGAAAATGATCAGAAACTCTCTTTAATGCAGTAGCACGCGCTTTTTCTTCTAATTCGGATAGATGGAAAGATTGCACACTCATTACTAAACACAGAAAGTATTCCTGAAAAAAATTTAGGGAATGTCATATTAAACTTCTGGATCTGTTGTTTTCAAAGGGTAGATTTAACATATTTTAAAAATTTTATGCACCTAGTAATAACAACAAAAGCGTATATGAATGAACCATTTTGAGAGCTTTAAAAACATTAAAAGTCCTTAATATGATTTACCACAAAATTTGTTTGTTAAGGTGTTACTCATACTGGATCGAAGACTACACCATAGTATTGTACAGAGTTTTGACACACAGGTGTGTACTTGGCTTTGTTTCTTTGCAAAACGGAAGGCGATGAGCTATCACTGTTGACTAAAACCAACACCAATGCTCTGGACTAAATCACACTCCTATCGTAATCAAGTGGAGAGACAAACCTGTTTTTTACGATTGCAGTGCATTATATGGATGTGGTCAAAATTTCACAACCACATTCTGACAGCAAATATATAGACGGATCGAAAATACGAGAGAAACAACTATAATATAGACATCATGGTAAAGAGTAAGAACCCGATGTTTGTAGCTGTCAAGGGTATCATATTTTAGGTGCTCTTTCTTTCTTTTTTGATATACTCGGATTTCTATTACAATATCACACAGTACCGATACAATTCCCAAGACATAAATGTCCGGGTCTTCTTTAGTGATTTCTTAACTATTGTTAGATCACGCAAAGTAATATCAGTTTGATGAACTTGTTTTATGAGTAGCAAGTGCTTATACACTTTACATGTTTGGCATACGGTCATCGTTTTTGATGAAGAAACTAAACTTGCACACACATTTCGAGTCTTGTTCAAACGTGTACAATTATGCTCTGAGAAAACCGGGAACAGGTGTGTAAAACAAGTCAGCTGAATAAATGGTAACCACATTTACCCTCACCAAATCTTATGTCAATAGACCCGAAAACCGAACGCCAATAGAAATGGTATATTCAACAAATTTTATGACATTACAATAAAAAAAAGAGACCTATATATGGGAGACAAACGGGTTCGAAAAAAGCTACACAAAGGAACATTCAATCACATAAAAAGAGACGTGATATGCAGGCCGCTTTTTGACAAATGAAAGTAGAGAGGAAATAGCGAATATTGAACTAGGATAGAAAATACTAGCACTTTTAGAGAAATAATATCTAAGATATCACGTCTACTTTACAGATTGCTATTCCGCAGGGGTGACTAACTCCACCACTAAGCATACTGCTTAATGCAACCACAGTTGCAGTTCCCTTAGTTTTTTTAGACACAACGCTAGAAGGATTTTCCTATGTGTCATTGTATCAAAACCATCTTTAGATCAACGTACATTGGACACCGAAATGGTAGAAATGTTAGTTCTGGTGATTTTGCGTTTTCTGATCTAAATGTTTAGATCATGGACCTTCGGCTTATGTTTTGAACAATGTTATCAACTCGCACTATAAATAAAAAGGGACTTTCCTAAAAACAATATCTCAAGCACTAAATCAATCTTTTTTAACGATCTTGTTTCAGACATTTTGACTCCAGATAACTCACGGTCACTATACGCTGTAGCACTGTAGTTGACTGCTTTTTGTCTATTCTGTGATCAAGCTGCTTATCGGCTTTTACTGTATGAGTTGATAAAATGAATTTATCTCACTATATCTGTAGGACCGTAAACAATTACGTTGTACCTTATTTTGTAAACACTTGTAGTTCGGTAATACTTCAACCTAAATGAGCAATGACATTCGACCCCTCCAGAAGCCAAAAACTTTAATGCGTACTGAGACTATGGTATATGTCTCACAAGCGACAGCTACGCTTCCTAAACCTCAGCAGGCAAACGAAATTTATGAAAACAACAAAACTTCAGAATTCTTATTAGCAAGGTTAGCTTTCGAATGAACATCATTGATAAAAAAACTCGCATTTCACAAGCCTAACTTAATTTATATAGTTTTATGAGTGTGAAAAAACTAACCTTATCTCACTATCCAATAAGCTGCACAGTCAAGGTTAGACCTACAAACGTAACGTAAGAACTACATTTAGCACCAGCCTCATCCAATATCCAATATATTCGCAACACGCTTCTTTTTGGACGCTACTAATTTTTCGTGATTTTTTCCTGCTGTTTGAGCACGGTTACGGGTTTATACTTGAAAAAATTGCGATTTACCAGCAACTCTACTGCTTTAATGCCTGTCAACTTGGTAGTTGTTTGTTGGTTTGTGTTAGCGATCCCGATTATACTACCCGGATAACTTTTTGCTCAGTATCCTTCGGCAATATACAACGATCGAACAGTCCCTAAGGTCAGAAGCTGGATTGAACATGTAGTAAAATATATTTTGACAAAACAAGTTGAATGCGAAAGTACCCTATACATAAAGCTTACTCATAATTTTCACACAAGGCTATTCGAGAAACTCCTCCAGCTATCCAGAGCTGATTGGTTAAAAGTGCGCTAATCAGCGCATTTTAAAATACGTCTGCTTACGACATGCTTAAATCCAATCAATATCCTACCACTAGTTTTTATATCTTGTGATCCAAGTAAGTGCATTTGCTTTAGGTCAGTAAGGTTTCTGGATACCAGCCGTTATCACACTTCCAGGCAGGAGGTTCGTCAAATACAATGTAATGTCCGAATACTAAGAGAGGACGACTGTATCCAGAACTAGATCAACAACTAAGCTAGTTAGCTGGTAGTGGATAAAGTGTGAGGAGACCAAAATTTAGGAATAGAGGAAGAAACGGCAACGACAATAGACGATATTAGAACGAGTTAATAATATGTAATACGAAACATGCACCAGACAGTCAGTTAAAGTGGTAGATGTTTAGCCGTCAGTGAGTACTTTTTTTCAAGGAGAAAATAAGTGTCGCTTTTTAAGAACTACTCCAAAGGACAACAGCGTTTCTTCACGCTAGTTTTGGTTGCTTTTTACTATAAGTGAATTAAATTTCAAGTTTCAGTATCATAAATGTACGATCTGTTCCTATATGCATAATAGTCTATGAAGTCGACTTATGAAGCTATCCCTTGAATCGGCTCTCGTCACACTGAATGGGGAAGCATCCTAACTTCTGAATCAGTAATGAGCGTGCAGCAGTTCGAGTTCGAATTATTTTCCTCGCTAAACCGGGTGCTTGGTACGGAGCGCATACGCATTACCGCCTACCACGTAGATTCAAATGGTTTAGTTGAACGGTTTCATCGCCAACGTAAGGACGCTCTTCGAGCACACAGAAACAACAGTTGGCACTAAACGTTACAGTTTGTCCTCTCAGGTATCAGAACGAACTCAAAGGTGAATATTCAATGTTCTGCCGCACAACATTGCGTCTGCCTGGGAGATTTTTACGCCACGGAACAGTAATAACCTAAATAAATCAAAATACATCTAACTGAATTCATGCGAACACTGCCTCCTGTGTCAACTCGAATTCGGCATCGAGAATTATCTACCTATTCACATGCTTTCATACAAGTCGATTCGGTACGCGAACCCTTGCAACAGACTAACGAAGGATCTTTTCACGTGATTTCTCGTCGTGAAAAGAGACATGTCAGCGTCGAGATCATCAGCATTGATCGTCTCAAGCCAGCACACGGAGGTGGCTTCGGATGAGACTTCAGGCCCACGAGGTACGTACGAGACTACCGCCTCACATTACAGTCTCCAAGTACATCTGCATGTATGTTTCCGCGACTAAACACCCAAGCAGCGAAGGGTACGCCATAGTACCTTATTCTCATGACATATGTATGCTACACCCTTCTCTTCTTCTTTCGTTTTGTGCCCTGAGCTCGCTTCTACAACCATCGCCGAGTCAATATCGGTGACTTCAGTTAATCTTGGCAAAAGCTGGCCTGTTCACTTACATTCTTGTCAATGCATTCAGTCGATGTTCTAGCTCCGAATATATCTGGCATACTTATGGTTTCAAACTTTTTCATTCTCGTCGCAGCTGGCTTCTTCGCCCAATCTGATTCGGTCCTACGTCTGCAGCATCTTCTGGTCCGAGCACCTACGAACACAATTTTCAGACTGTGGACACGAGCCACGCTGGTGTTGCACGTCAACTCGAGTATTAAACCCGGCAAGTTACCACTCATACGGTTCGACATAGAAGAATTTCGTTGACACTTCGAGCCTTATTTGTCACCTCCTGTTCGTCAATCCTTCAGTACCTGAACCTCATGTTGGCCGACCACCTCCACACACGAACCTCCTACGTATCGAAAGTGTAAACCCTATCTAGGGAGAAGGGGGATGTAGTGGAAAATTTCTTCGAAGGAAACGCAATTAATTGAAATAAAACACTCATTATTGTACTCGTTTTGTCTAACTGTACTAAAAACACCTACTTACGCGCAACCTTCTTTTTTGCGTTGCTGACATCATACATAAGTTGCTGCTCGTTGTATCGCCAACTTTCTCCCTCAAATATAATCTATATCACAGATATATTTGTATTCATTTTGACGGAGCAGTTATTAGTATTTAGTGGTGATCATTGCCAATCTCGACTCGGCCACTACTAAATTGAATAATTATTCATTATGAAAAAGCACTGAAGGCACGATGCTCTTTGGATCCCTTAAATGTCTCAAGGATCCAATACGCTAAGGCCAAGAAGCCTAAAATAAACTACACTGTAATTTTCTACCCGCTGAGTACGATACCTGGATTTCATTTAGTCTGTGTCGACTATCTTTGGGGAGTTCTGAATTCACTTTGCAACACGTAACACAAAGGAAATTCATTGATCTCGAAGCTGTCAGACTTAGCAGTTTTGCAATTAAAATATTGTAAAGGATTACAGAAAAGGTCTTTGTGATCTTCTAAACCAGCAAATCGAGAAATAGTGAAGAACATGGTTTCAATTTGGCGTTTTCAGCCCAGGTAACTTACTTATAGCAAAGGCGCGACTAATGAAGTCGTTTGATAGTGGGGATTCAGAGGGCATTTGATGGCCTTATTAAGATACTCGACATCAGGCCAGCGATCTTTATGTGTGATCAAAACATTGTTTATGTAAATTAGTTAGTACCTCTTTTTATTCTCAAATACGTTTTTGGTGATCTTGTGCTTTACAGCTGTGCAGATTGAATACAGACATTCTCAAAGACGTCTTTGCTAAAATATTTTCAGTTTTGTTTTCATTACAGAATATCCGAAACCGTACCGAAAAACAGGAAGCGACCTGGAAGTAATCAAATGATATTCGAAATTGAATACCGAACAAGTTAATAGCTATCATTTTGAGTAGATATATATCAGTATAACTACCAAGACTGTTGTGGTTACCAATAAAATAACAGTTTGTAACCATTTTATTTTCGCCATAAATTTATAAACCAATGTGCGGTAGATTAATGAAAAAGGGACTGGTCATCAAACGTGAACTATTAGGCACAGCCTATCTACCATTAAATACGCATTTTTTTCATGTTATGCATATATACATGTATATATTTATAAATACGTATATACAAATATTATTATATGATTTGTATTTATCATATAATCAGTCTAACTAGGGTCAGTTCTGTTTGGATCTTTAATGTGATAGGCTAATTAAATGTAAGTACCTGACGCTTCAGATGATCCTATCTCCGAGTCAGTTCAACTTAAAGAAATGCAGATAATAATTGTTAGTGATCCGTCTTGAAGGTTACTGTATACTCCAGTTGAACAGGAATGATGTAACCTCTTGGCTTATATTGGAGTCACTGGTATGGGCAAACCTGAGGAAGAAAACCTTGTAAATATGATACATGGTGTATCGTTTTAACCATTTTTCAATTAATAGTTAATTTGCCTTTTTATAAGATTGATACTGTATAATGTGTTTTGACCTGATTTGATAAAATTGAACCTATACTTGAATCATTCTAGTGTTTAGTTTGGAAAATCTTGGGAAACTACGAATGTGGTTGCAAGAATTTGTATTCCTAGTTGCAGAGTTAGGCAGACCCGCAGATTAACTATCTATCAAGTAGAATTACTTGATATATTGATAGATGAAAAATATGTGTTGAGCTTCGCATTTGATAAAAAATGGTACACAATGATTTTACAGACTGAATGGCACGTAGTTGGTCTGTGATGGTGATCATAGTCAATCTCGACTTGACACGCTACATTTGGTGAGCAGACGTTTCGTCCGAAGAAGTTAATTATGTTGAGTCTATTGTCAATCTATACACATCGTTTTACTTATCTGTTGCATATATCATGTCGATACCATTCAATAAATATTATACTTGCAACAACGTTTGGAAATGGTAGATGGCTTTAGGAATACTAATAACAGACCCCTAGGTGCAGGTTATTGCATTTTAACCTGTCTACTTCCCGTTACCTCAGAATGCTCGTTTACTTTACGTGAACAATTTTTGAACTAACGCTAGGTACCTAGTAGCCTCAGGTGCCCAATTTTAAGTAGTATTGTCAGGTAACAGATCTCGAGCTACAGCTATTCGAATAAACGCAGCAAATGGCTAGGCCATACTGACCTATGGTAAACGACAACCTGAATAATCGACGACAGTATCTGTGCACGTGAATCTATGCTAATGTTCCCACAATCGTACTCGGTACTGATTCGAAACAGCTCTATGAATTGCTACTCAATTAACATAGGCTGCTTATTCGATACTTCTTCAAATATTAAATTCAAGGGTTTTAACGCTTCAGTGGGTGTGCACTGAATCACTGGTGTATTTTCTGCGTGAATATTTACCTCATGTTATATTTGATAAATGTTTCAACATTTCTGGACCGGGGAGATCCTATTGGCCATTAATTATGTGGTAAACAACATCGTAAAGCCTGGACACCCAGTCACAGCAAAACGACTGGCACTGGACAAATTAGTTTACATTAAGCGTGAGTTTGACAGTTTACATGCTATATGTATTATTTCATCTTTCTCACAGTTCTTTGGACTTCGCTCCCCACTAGGTTCGCAAAAAAGATAGCATTAGTTGGAGACCATGCAGTGACTGCAGAGTAGAAACGGCAGATATTTAATGTTCCTCTTCTGAATTTGTATACTGCACGACGTTGCATCTGCCGGGGGAATTTTTCTCTCGGCGGAGCAGCAACTTCATTTATATCAGATAACGTACAGCGACTATCTGCGTACATGTGATTGCTGCCTCCAGTGACAGCTCAAATACAGCATCGACCAGTCGCTGTTCCTCGAGAGTCATTTACATGTTCACATGTTTCATACGAGTAGATTCGATACGAAAATCGCAGTAACAGCTTTATCAAAGAATAGACAAAAAGCAGTCAACTACAGTGCTACAGCGTATAGTGACCGTGAGTTATCTGGAGTCAAAATGTCTGAAACAAGATCGTTAAAAAAGATTGATTTAGTGCTTGAGATATTGTTTTTAGGAAAGTCCCTTTTTATTTATAGTGCGAGTTGATAACATTGTTCAAAACATAAGCCGAAGGTCCATGATCTAAACATTTAGATCAGAAAACGCAAAATCACCAGAACTAACATTTCTACCATTTCGGTGTCCAATGTACGTTGATCTAAAGATGGTTTTGATACAATGACACATAGGAAAATCCTTCTAGCGTTGTGTCTAAAAAAACTAAGGGAACTGCAACTGTGGTTGCATTAAGCAGTATGCTCAGTAGTGAAGTTAGGCAGTCCTACAGAATAGAGATATACAATCTGTTTGTGCTGTTGTTTTGATTCGGCTTTTTGTTAAATCGCCAGCACTAGTGAACTGTTGATATTTTACACTCGTTTCTAATAATGTGATTTGATCGTTGCTCGTCGGTTTGCTAATTGGGCTTTTTTTTAGGTAAAATGATATATTTTATAGTTCTTTGTGTTTCTTATATTTCTCTGACAATTTATTTTTTATTCTTATTTTTCCCTGTATATTTAACTATTTCTTGTTTAGAATAACGAAGGTTAACTTATATTTGTATTGTATTTATTATAAAAGTTCGTAATTCACGATTCATAGCTATCCTGCAATTATTTTAAATTTAAGCCGTACAATAATTTATAATTTTTGGAACAACTTTTCAAAAATTGTTCAAAATTAAAATCAAACGGAAAAAATATTTAAGCAGAAAATGGAAACTCAATCTCAGAATAGAAAACACAATTGGAAAGACGAGTATCAAGCGCAAATTTTGAATTATTATGGCATTGGTGTCATCATTATAAGTAGTATTGCTTTTTATACAAATTTACAGCCTACTGATTTCTACAGTTTTTTTTAGAAAACAGTAGTAGTATTAGTGTCAGTGTTAAGAAAGTGTATACTATTAAAATGAACATAAATAATAATAATAATAATCAAATACATATAGATATACTCAAGAGAATTATATCTGCATTAGTTATGCATAATGAGAATAATATTAGTTCTTTTGTCAAATTAAATTATTTTATACGATTTTCATGAATGGTTGTATATAAGGAATGTGCATCAGCTGCAATTGTATAAGCCAGACTCATTAAGTGTCGCCGATATTCTTCCAGTAATGGACCTCGATTATTTTGTAATTTAGCATGTTTTGTAGTTGTTATTAGAGAATACATTGAAGAATTTAATTGACGTTCAGCTAAAAGAATCTTGATGTATAGGAATTAAGAAATATAAAAGTGTTCATTATTATTATTATTATTATTATTATTATTATTATTATTGTTTTTCATCATTAAAGTGATATTCCAAATAGTTTTATGACTAAAAAGTATGTGTTGTAAACATTTTCACACATGAACCAGTTCTTGTAGTAATTTCCTGTTGAAAAAAAATTATAGCCTCACAACAAGTGTTATTTGATACTGTGTTGTAATACTTTTCAATTCTAATTTAGCGTTGAATAAAAATACACTTGACTATTGTTAAATTCACTTCATTGCTTCTACATCCTCTCATTTTAGTATAGAAGGGAGCAATTATGCTAATCATATTTATGAATAATTGTGCTTAGTGATTGTAGTATTCAAGATTCAAGCAATGAAAAATTCAGTCACTGAAACCATCAACACTTTTTTTAAAGTTGTCAACGTTTTATATTCATAAACATCATGGAGATAAATGTGATTCATAATTTGAAGATTCAATTTGACTAGGAAATAGCTTCTACTCGATATTTGACATCAACATGACTGCCCTTAGACTTTTCACGGTTGTCTAGTTAATAAGAGAGTGTGAATATGGAATCTACTTTTTCTGGATTATTGAAACCTTCGTTCAACTGTTCAGTTTTTCAAACATGAGTTGTTTGAAAGCAATTTAACTGCCATTTCGAAATAAATATATGCACAAATAATATGACAAAATATATGACTCTTAAACTTCAAAAATGTCAGATTTCAGACAATGATCGGAGTTTATAGGTCACATTCGAGTTTTTTGTGAAACTGTTGAACTACCTGTGTGACCGTGGATGTGTGATTTTACGATCACACTATTATATATATATATATGTATATATATATATATATATATGTATATATATATATATATATATATATATATATATATATAAATTATCCACTTTGATATTTTGTTTTACTAATATAAATAATTAAAGTAAGTACAAATTATCTTCTTTATACTACTGGATTATTATAAGTGTCCAGTCCATACATCGACAAAATGAATGGAAAGACTTTCTTCAAAGCAGTAGGAAATTATTGGAAATGCGTTTGAGGAGAGTGTGTAACTTAACTGCGGATGAATTTTTCAAATGTACGTTTTTTGCTTTCAATCCATTTTTTTATACAAACTATCCTTTTTAAATATCACTTACAAGATACTGCTTATACGTGTTATCATTGTTGACAATACTGAAATTTATTGTAACTTTTTAAAAATAATTCTTACAAATCAGAGAAAAATTTAATTATTTCGGTGTGTTAGGTCTCCTAATTGGCTTTTAGTGGTCAATTTTGTCAACCAGTTTTACCAGATTTTTGAATTTATGAATTGATCTAAGCTAAACCGCCATTGGATATTTAGGAGTACTGGATGGTCGTTTCGTCCGAGCATGGGACGCCTCATTAGTACGAATCCACAACCACACTTGTGGGAATCAGATCTAGGACCTTCGGTTTCGAGCGCAATGACAACTTAGATCGGTTTTTTATTCAAACTAAATCCATCAATGTTCACCATTCCTTACTGGTTTTTTCACCATAATTTGCATTTAAGTCAAACCATATGTTCATTAGTGAACAACTAAACATTTATATTTACAAGGCAATTAATTATATTAGACTTATCAGAGAAAATTGATTTGTGTTTTATGCGTCAACCTACTCATTAAACTTTGTAAAAGAGAGTCTATGCTTCACCAGTCATTTGTCAACAACTGTACAAGAAACATAATCACATAAGTAACTACTAAACATATATAATTAAGAACAAATGAAATCGTCTTACTTTATCGCAAACATGATCACCGAATTCATTTTGAATTGCGGAAAATAAATCTTTTATTGATGTTCCAATAGTCTGTTTAAATGAATAACATATCAACAGAAATGTTTTTAATGGATAAAAGATTTTAATAACAAAAACATTTAGATTCAGTTTGAATTTGGGAGATGTTTTATTATTCAAATTATTTTTACGAAGTAGCATTAAATATTTGAGTAAAATAAAGCGAATTAAAGACAAAATATTGATATTTATTAGCAGAGGTGGATAGTGGCTGTCAGTGGAATCCAGAAAAGCATGCTTCGTTCTGTTTGGTCCTCGTCAGCTGCAAATACTTACATCTCAGAATTGAAGTTCACTCCGGGTCTCGAACCCACCTACATTAGTGATGCCTGTAGCCTGAAGGCAATATCGAGACACGATGCATATATGCCAAAGGGACTGATCAACTGCAGTTCTAAATATCAATCGGATGCTTCGAACAACCAGTACAAATGAAAAAGTATTGATCGATATTTTATTCTGGCTATCAAGAGTGAAGAAGTGAAGACGGCAGCTTTTTGAATATTTAACTTGACCTCAAGCAGATTTTATTCAAGAATTGAGATAATTCAAGGGATCATTTGACCACAAAAGTCCAATAAGATTTTTTCATCGTTCTTAAGAACTTTTCAATAATAAGCATTTATGACTTAACTTGGGATATCATTCAGCGTCTTCAAATAAAACAATGAAAATGATTGAGTAGGGTTACAAATTAGCACGCGGTGTTCTTATATGATTCTCTAGATTGTTCTAATTAATGAAACAAGTTACTACCATATTAGAAGTCATTAGACAGACTTATTTGATCAGATATACTAGCACTCAATTAAAAAAGTATTAAATCATGTACATATATATTTCAACTTGTCAGATTCAACTGCAAATTATATGATGGTTAAGTAGAAAAATACTAAAACCGTTTACAGTATTTATTGATTGAAACCGTGAATTTTTCTGATTTGGAAATTTACGTTATTGTTATCGTTTTGTTGATTTAATCATGAGAAGTTGATATAGCGTATGAAAGTTTAGGTCAATATAATTAATAAGTCTTGATTTCCTAGGCTGATGAATTATCAACAGAATTCACTATCTATAACAAATGATCTTTCAAGTTTAATCAACACTTATTTTAGATGTTGAAGTTTTGAGTCTATTCGTATGTCATGTCAAGAATATTTACATTATTAAGGGAAAGTAGGCTCCAGTCTATCGAATTCAAGCTTTAATTATCAAGTTTCATAATGTAAAAAGTTATCATTGAGCTATTCCTGTAGTGACTAACCTCTTGTGTGACTAATACAGTTTATCAGTCACTAAATAATGAGTGACCAATTCTTTATATTGGTATGTAAGACAACCTTTCGTTTCTGAATAGTTGTCCTATACTTTTATGATATCTGTTCATCGATAGCTTCACATCATGAATTTAACTACTCTGAGTAACTGTCACTCAGCCAGACACTATCTGAATCTGCACATAAAAAAATAATCTTCAGTTTATTAAAATCGAATCGTTTCCTATGAAATTTGGCAACATTTAATAAATGGAAAAATACTGCAGTCACAATTCAGCGAAACACAAACAAAAACAGCAATAAACATACTTTTATCAAACTACTATATTCTTCCGGTTTACTTGTAGTAATCTGTTGACTAACCAAACTAACAGTTTTGACAACTTTAACAGTTGCTGCGAACACTGGGTCTACATGACGCATATTATTGTTATTGTTGTTATTGATATTATTATTATTATTATTACGTTTACTTGGTGAAGCATGGCGATGATGCCTTGAATGTGATGAAACAGGTTTATCAACATTACTAATGCTAGGATTATTATTATGATGGCTGATGCGAATATTACGAGTAGGACTGTTCGACAATCTATTATTTTGATTTGAAGAATGTTGTGAAATCGATTGTGAAAGTGATGTATTGCGTGAAAGTATCGGAGTGGATTGACGATTTGCTAATCGAACACCATCAGATGAGAAACTTCTAATTTTATTCTTGTTAGAGATTAATGAACAAGATTCAATTGAAGTTGATGAATTATTGTTACCATCAATGTTCAGCTCAATTACTGGAGAAAAATAATAAAAAAGATTCAAACAAGTTAACTTTATGAGATGATTTCAAATATTTCAACTAATAATATTTATTATTATTACTAGTAAAACCTGAATAGTGTATGAATTAGACAATTGCACTGAGTCAAGTGATTAGTTGAACTATGGAATAAAGAGATATGATGCAATATGTGGGATGATATTTTGACTTATTGTTGAGTAAAATTAAATAATAATAATAATAATAACATCAAATTTCTATCTAAATAGTTAGAAAGATAGTACAGACACAAATAACTATCATCTTATACAAAAATCGATCATGATTTCACGATGAAATATAAGTTCCTGTGGCCATTTTCCTAAAATAACTATTCAGTTTACAATATCGTTTAACCTAATGGTCTAACAATTGAACGCTTTCTGTGTAATCATAAATTTCTGAAATGGTCAGGGTTACAAGTACTCTTTGTTAAAGAGTGAAATACCGTAATGAAACATGTGTCAAGTTTAGCCTGATTTTAAAACCTAACCCTAATGAATGTAAAATATACGAAAATATAATGGCCAACAGATATAAAACTGTTTCCAAAAATGTTTGATGCATTCAATAGTTATCGATGAGAATGTAGTGTTTCAGTCTAAGTGACTAATCGTTGATGATATTAAAACTTTGAAAAAAGGGAACGGAAGCAATTTAGGGGAGCTGATGGAAGTTACTGACAGAAAATGTTGGATAAATCAAAATCACTGTGAAATTAATTGATGTACACTAAATACATTTTTATTGACTAACATATTCAGTAATCACCAAAAAGACATTTTAGTACTGAAACTCAGAACTCACCTTGAGTTGGTAGTGCAGCCGGCATTGTCTGATAGTCGGTTGATATAAAGAAAAAGCAGACAGTTTCAGTGAATTAGTATATATTTTCCAAAAACAGCGTTATTTTCAGTCAAAATTCTATTTGTTTAAGCCATTTATGTCAAATGAACATCATACTCTGGAATGTCATTCTGAAACTTAAAAATGTCATCTGATAATTTATTCCACTGGTGTCTTGTAACACGATAGTGCCCTAGTTGGTATCCATTCACTAGGAGGACTTTTTTAGTTTTTTTAGGTAACCGAAATTGCCGATTTTCCACTGTTTAACAATTATGAGATGAGGGTCAAAATTCGTAACTCAAGTAGGTGATTTTAGTAGATTTGCACTCGTCGGCCAAGATGATTACGAAGTTCTTATCATCCTTCTTGACGACGTTAGCAATAGGCTACAGGAGTTTCTTCACATAGGATTGGTAGCATGTTTAACCTTACATATAAGACTCATAAATTACCTGTAAATAACCTTGATTTAATTATAGGCAGAATGTCTATACTGTTCGACAAAAGGTTAATTTAACCATGAAAACTTTGTATTTGTCGATAGTGCTTACTAAAGTTGGATAATCATATTTACGGCGATTAAAAATATCTGTATATATTAGTCGATCAAAAAATCCGTAGAAATCTCAAATATCACAAGAAGTCTGCGAAGTAGCCCTCATCAATAACATATTACTGTATAAAGAAAGGAAAACTGTAATCTGTGCAGGTAATTCGACTTCACTGAAAAAAATTCCCCATTATACTGGAACGCAGATATGTGGATGGAAAATATTGAAAAATACTAGTCAAGAATGCAAATGATTTAAAAAAAAATTAAATTGATCGCTAAATCTCGCTTCTTTAGTTTAGTTTTAAATAATTCATGCAATTATCATCATTAGTATTATTAATAATACGACTTAAAGTAAATTTACTTTTCGGTAAAATGAAGTCTTTTTCCTTAGTTCAGATTTACATCTTTTCTCAAAATCATCACTTTTGCGTTCAGTTAATGCTCGTGAATCCGATGCAAGATTGAATGTTTTCGTTGTGTTGTGATAAGCAGGTGAAGAGGGAATTTGTTTGGGTGTACGAAAATCAGGTGATTGCCCTCTCAAAGTTACTGTACTCTAAAAAAAAACGATGCACAACGAAATTGAAAATCTGTAACGAAACGTAAAGTAGTCAATAGAAAGTGTACAGAAATAAAGAAACTGGAAATCAGAATTAACCTGTTTACTGTCCCTGTGATAACAAGTACGCATAAAACAGGTTTATTTTATTCATCTCACTGTAAACAAGTAGAATTATATCTTTTGCAAATCATCTAATATTTATTGACTACAGTGCAAACGAGACTGAAAGTTGATAACATACTTTTATAACATTAGAAACTAAAATTAGTTTGGTAATATATTAGATGAAGTTATATTAATTGGTTTATATATTTTTTGAGATTAGTTTATATCACTGACTAATACCAATACAAAAATTGTTGAAAAACCAATCAGCTTTGAACTTAATTGTTTATTTCTAGTCTGACATTCCTAAGAAGTGACTGATCACCTATGATTCCGTCGGGATATGAAATTATTAATTTTAAGCAATAGATTATAACATCACATTGTCTATAAGCACAATTACAATTGACAAGTTTCTCCTGCCCTATGTGAATAACGAGAGAATCGCCTCAGTGTAGAGTCCCGTAGTACGTTTAAGTACATTTCGGATGTAATTGACAGTGGAATCGAAGACTCCTGTTTCTTCCTATTTAGGATTTGTCAACTGGGTCCATCCGTATCCCACTACTAATATTTGTTACGTATCCTAAAAATATTCGAATTAAACTCGTAACTACAACTTTTCACTTTAAACACCAAAGCGTTATCCATTGAGCTACTAGACTCAAATACTCATTAAATTGTTCAATGAACATGAAGATGTTAAATTTCTGATGATGGAGTTGTTATTTTGACGCAGACTTGACTATATTGAAGATTGAAGAACACTGTCCATAATTTGAGACTTTTCATTACTGAGCATCTACATTTCTACACAAGATAACATCAGCAACTTGTAGAATGTATGGAAATTTACCCATTAGCTTTCTATCGAAGTGAAGATATATCGTTGTAAATATGATTATACGACGTCATCGATTACTACTAAGAAACAACTTATCATATTAGATAGATTTAAATAAATATATCTCTTATTACAATTAGTTAGAGTTTTCTTTCGAAAGAGCTAGACGAAATGTTACTTAAAATAATCTATGAAAAATCACAGTCAGTCAGTAAATTCATATGAGTTTTTCTGAAAACAAAATCATTTTCGCATAAACACACCCATATTCTCATAAAAGTGATTCTTAAAAAAACAAAAAAGGGTAATTCTGATAGAGTTTTTTTCTCTGAGCTAGGTGGTTGAATCGTGAAGTTTTCATTGTTCTTCTGAATAACATCAGCTTCAACTTCCGATTTATTTGCATATAACTAACAACGCGTTATGTTGTTGACCCCGATCTTGATCGGTTATCATCAAACTATTTACAGTTTTATATACTGAAATCTGTATACTTATGATCAAGTAATAACTAGAAAACGTCTTTCAGCTCAATCTACATGCTCATTGAAAAAGCATCCTCCATTAAGACTCCAATGTATATTATATGGTTACAAAGAAATCAACAAAAAAATTCATCTTACAGATACCGAACCAAGTGTCGATGAATTTACACTTGATGTAGAAGCATTTCGTGTAGGACTACTTCTTGAAATATCATTTAATGATGGAGTATCTCGCTGGGAATTTGAATTAAGATCAAAATTCACCAAACGACTTGGAGACAGAGAATTTCTGATGGTTTTGTCAGACTTTTCTAAGTTGTTTGATAAATATGGACCTGTTGGAATATTTAATTTAGTCCATTTTATTTTATTTGCTTCATCCCATCGACTTTGTAGATTTGTAGAAGGTTTAGATGTTTGCATTTCATAATGTCTTGGTGGCTTTGGTGGTGTCAAGTTAATATGAAGTCGATTTTGATATGTTCTCTTTTAATAGGGTGATAGAAAACATAGGTGAAATAGAAACAATAAACAATTATAATCAAATTATTTGAAATACATATTTAAATATGAACAAATAAACAGGACTTTTCAGGAATTATTTACGTAAGACTAAGTTTTAATCAAAAGATATTTATTGGAAAATGCACCGATTGATAAGATTACATGATAATTTCAGCATAATACATTAGCCTCACGTATCAGATGAACGAGCATTCGGTATTATCCCTACAGAGATTGAGAATTTCTAACTTTGAAGTTTATTGATGAGAAAGTGAATTTCCTCTTTGTTGTAGGTTAAAGTAGATTTCCGTGCAGATTGTTTACATATTGTTACATGTCGCCACTGGAAAAAATGTTTCAGTAAGTTATCCTGTATGAAGTAAAAAGATAATGCAGTTTCAATAAATGTGTAATGATTCTTGACATTCTTGGATAGATAATATGAACAGTTTATTTTGTGTATGATATTATCTTTATAAAGTGGTTATACTTGTTATGCACACTCAACAGAATTCCTTTTGTTAGTTCTCAATCAAATGGAAGAAGAGTTAACTAGATTACGAAGAGATACGTTGGCAAAAATTCAAGTGAAGATAATCAGTCATCAATTAAATTCCCAGAATTGAACAGTGTTTGTTGTGGAACGATTTCTGAGATCTCGCCTTCACTTAATACGGACGATGATGAGATCAAAAGTAATAATAAAAACCTACTAGTTAAACTAAACATCTCACAAAGAGAGTAGCAAGTAACATTTACAAGATTAAATTAGTAATTTTTATCAATTTGAAAATGTTCATAGGCAAGCATCCGTCTTTATTACATTGTTAAACGTATTTGATCACAGTAAACTACTCACGAATCTAACATCTAAGGATTTTATAGTGAGTATTGATAGATTAGGCCTCCTCAAATTACTGAGTTATGTACTTTTGATTGAATAACTAAAATTTTTAAAGCAGTTTCTTATACAAAGAGAACCAACTGCATTACAAAAACTTTCAGTACTCCTGGCTACTTGATAGGAGTAACAACATTTATATAACATAATGGCAGAATTAGTAACATTTAAAAACTACAGCTTATTTTAGTTGTTATAAACAATCCTAGCCTTTTGGAAGGGTTCGTAAAAATTATTTACAAACTTATAAAACAATTTGATAATGTTGAAAGTTCATGTTAATTGATTTCTGCCTGAGAAGTGTTATGAGAAATCTTCTAATACTTCTACAAATGTGTTCGTAGATCTCAGCTTTCATAAAAAGTATGAAAAATGAAATGCAGATCACAACATTATTTGTTATGATCCATAAACTACAATTATAACATGTGAATTGTACTGCCACATTTTATAATGAATCATCCAAATGAATACTTGACAGTTTATACACTGAATTTTTTTAAATGAATATCATGTGTTTTAACTGATTCCTCTGTTTATTCAAAAGATTTTGTACATCGTCAAGAAAGAGCTCTGTTTAATAATGACAAAAATTGGAAATCTATATCATCTTTCTCACTCAGGTCGGATATGTTCTGAAAAATCAGATAATTATTCGAAGCTTGCATAAGCATAACCATAAAATGTAAATTTAGTTTTCAAAAAAGAGGATATAATTAAGAGAACTGCTTACGTTAGATTGATCATTCTGATTATGAACATCAACTAAATGGAAAAAAATATGGGTAAATGGTTATTTAGTTTCTTGAATTAAAAACTTTTAGTTCATGGTTTCAATTTTTTATTTGTTCAAAAAGTCATGAACGACATGTTAAAAGTTTATATGATAATTTATTGTCAATGTTTCTACGTAAATCCTAAATATTTCCTGAACGCACCTAATTACGCGGTCGGTAATTTATTGCCATACAAGTTAGGGTTCAGTTACAATTTACAAGATCGAAGTTTAGATGGAAACACAACTAACGGTTAAGATGTATACTTTTGTTATAGATACGTGAATAAATAACATGATCTAATCTTTTTGAATAGTTCTAGTCACTGAGAAATGGATTGACTGATTAAATAATCCAAATGCCGTATGATAAACGAAACAAATGAAAATGTTTTCATAAAAGCAACTCGAACTATTGAAAAGTTAAATAAGTAGCCTAATATGTTTACGATGATGTATGATTAACGACAATATTGATTTTCATGATAGTTTTATTCATCTCTAGACAGTTGGGATACTTTTTTGAGACAAGTCAACATATTTTTATGTTTTATACTTATTTAATGATGGTTATTATCAGAGAACAAAACGAGAGCGACACTCAGCTTCGTAAAATCGATGACTAACTAATATAATGAAATCTAGTGTATAAAATTGTTTTTATCTTTAATAAACTAACTGGATGATCAAGTTGTTGCCTGATTTCTATAAGACTAAAACTGAAGAGCTTAGTGAAGTTCATAAGAATAATTTCAACCAGAAAGTGGAAGGAGAAACACTATTAATTGAATATTTTTCATACTGAATCAACAAAGATAGATACCCTTTATGACATACAAGCATCTTACAACTCAGGGAATACAACATCACTAAAAGTATGCACATGAACTTCGAATCTTCTCTCATCACTTCAGACTTCAAAAACAAACATGAATGTAATTAATACAGCTATGAAATTTGTCACCGATATTTGTCAGATATAAGTAACATAAATGTAAAGCTTCTTCAGTATATAGAACGACTTTTTATTTAAAGTTGGATGGAATCAGGAATACTTCAGGAAATCAAAACTCTGGTTTTCATTATCCACTTCAGTGAAAACGAAACATATGAAACAAATGAGAACTAGGAGGAAATTATTGTCACTTTGTTTTTAATACAAATAATTCATTAGAACTTATCGAGGAAAAATTAGTCAGTTGTTTGAAATGTAGTGAAGAGATTGAAAGGTTTCTTAAAGGTTTTAAATTTTTAGTTTGAAAATTGTTTCCTACTAAGAATTCAATACAACCATTGGTTATTCAAAAACTGCTTCAAAAGGATTTAAGGGAATCGAGATTATTGGAACTTCGATACTCAATTGGAAATTTGTTCTACCTTACTTTATATATAAGTGTCATTGTGGTTTTCAATAATCTGCTTCAGTAAAAGTATTAAGAGATCAAGTATAGTTAAACAAAGAGGACAAATAATTTCATAATTAAGACCTAACCACCCACATCTGCTTCATAAATAAGGTCTACCAAAAGTGTACAAACACGACATTCCTCTTAAACCCATCCTGTCACTGATCATTCCATCAAATCACAAATTCGCGCTCAGGCTGGCAGCCAAGTTAGAACCAATCCATCAAAGATTAGTAGCATTTACGTTACGTGATTCATTCCAATTCTCTAACTGACTAGACGGTCTGAATGAAGCTGGAAAGTTCATGGTCTTTTTTGATTTAGAATTCTAGTTCACAAAAATGCTACTTCTTCAAAATTTTGATATAATTTGTCAAAATTCTGGTCTCTTATATTTGCCAGTGCCAGGGTTTGAAAAACTACTACTTGTATGTACGAAAGACGCAAAATTTCATTTCAATAAGACATTTTACCGTCAAATTGACGGGGTAGCAATGGAAAGTCTGTTAGTTCCAATTATGGCAGATATTTTTATAGGTTGTCTCGAAAATATGAAACTTAGACGAGCGAAAAATGAAATGACGAAACGCTCCAAACATTTTGAATACGTGTGTATTGTCTCCAGTAGTAAAAGACATGCGATTCACACTTGGAACTTTTAAATCACGCTCATCCCAAAGTAAATTGTACTTTTTCACACAAACACAATGATATGTCTAACTTTCTTGATGTTATCATGCAACAGGGGGCGGATCGAACAGTGCATCATAAAAGTATTTAGAATCGTCTTTACCTGGATTTATAGTTTTTGTCTAATTGGTTAAAAGAAAGCGTTGATCAACACACTATTATAGAGAGTTGAAAGGAAATGTACCTCTGATAAACTAGAAGAAGAATTGATGTGCCTTAAAAAACGCCTAAGAGACAACTATTACGCACTGAAATGTTTTACAGATAAATCTTCAGAAAACAAGACGAGTATGACTGTAATCAGTAAAAGCTATTTTTAAATCTCACTTCCAAAGATGATGGTGTTGCACGCACAATCAACATTAGGCTTAACATTGTATTAGCCAGGAGTTAGCAAATAGCAAAATTGCTTATATAGTATAAAAAAAAGTATTCAGTGACCTAATCAACGGTTGACAAGCAACTCTTTCATGTTATTGCCAACTGCATCTCTAAATCAACGCGTATCTGTCAAGACAGTCACATTGGCTAAACAGAAAGGAGAGAACACCTTAGATTTTTTGAGCATGTTCATAAAACGTTTACGAAAAAAGGAGGAAGATCTACTTTAAACTATGAAATCACTAAACATCTTTTGGCTACGGAACATCAGATTGATACCTAGCAATCCCTCAGGGGTATTGTTAAACAGCAAAACTCTAGTCTTTCGAAATTACTACTGAAGCTGCTGCTATTAAGCGTCTGATTTATGTGTTCAGAAAGAGATGGTGACAACTATCCCTTCATGACATCATCAGACTTTGTTCAAGTTTTTCTTTTGACCAATTGCATCATCACTTTTTATTTCGACTGCCTTCTGGATTAGTATTCTTATCTTACGCATGTTATTTTTACTTATTAACAGCGTTTATCTCTGATGTAAGCACTTGTGTTTAGCCGTTTAGACTTTTGTTATTATCAATGTTGTAGAATGTTCTGTATGTAAGGTAAATATATATACAGTACTTTATTCACGGTGTTAAAATCACTTACACCATTACTGTACTTTTGTATGAACGTAACAACTTCCAAATGAACTCTTTCATGTAAGTAGTTGAAATTCAATTTGTAATGATGATTTTGAATATTACAGACAAAATAAATTGAATTCATCTTATTCTACTAAAAGATTTATTCTTGCTCTCTTCAAAATAGTTAGTAACGAACAGAGAATGTTTTTTATGTTGTACTTTATTTTGTGGAGTACTTATTTCATACCATCTGACCAAATCTCAAAAAGAAATTTACGCGATGAACAATAAGATGCCTGTTATTATAGGAGAGTCGAGATTATTGAATTTCATTGAAATCATGAGTCAATCAATGTTAGGACACCATCCAAATCATGGGAGCACTGAACGGCTGTTTCATACCAGTATGGGACTCATCCTCAGTGCACATGCGTGGCCCCTGCAGGCGGAAACCTAACTCAAGACCTTCGGTCTCGTTCGCAAATGCCTGATCACCTGATGACTGAGCCGAAATCCAACGGTCTTAATGTTTAACTTGAATCAATGCACAATACTGAACCACCACCTCCTGCTGTCTTCGGTGGGTAACTGCCTTATACCCGACACGGTTGAACTCCAGCGGCGTCTCTTTAGAACTCCGAGAATTTACTCATGAAGCTAGTCAATAGTGAGTACGTGATAGTTGTAATTATATGGTTGTGGAGATTGCTTCAAACGGTGGCCTAACAATGATTGATTCATGGTTAACACTTTAGAATATGTTTAGATTACTTTCTCTTTTTTTCTGAATTAATAGCAGATATTGGTTAGTTAGTTCATTAGTTTGTCAGTTAAATAAATAATAATAAAATGCATGAAAAGTAAACAAAGTATTAATGGCATGAAAACAAACACGTAAACGAACGAACGAGCGAGTGGATGAACAAACAATTGTCAAACTTACCACAATTTAAATACACAGGTTCTGATGACGAAGTTGATTTATATTGTACAGTCAGCTCTCTATTAATATAAATGTAAAGAATAGTGTCAGCTAAGAAAAGGTTGATCAATCAATAAAACAATTGTAAAAAGCAAAAGCATATGTTTTGTTTTCTTTACGAAAAATGTAACAAGTGACTAACATATGAACAAATTTAACGTTCACTGTAATCCATTTAGTTAATTAAAATAAAATTAGTAAATTACTGTATTATTATAGCGAGTTGTTGTAGAAAAAAATAAGTGTTATTGATAACGCGACTTTAGATATCCTTTTCAACTAGGAAACATTGAATAACTAACTGATTTATCCACATCTTTCAGCATGCACAATTCGACTACAGCGTATCAAACCTTTGATATTCAATCTCATCCTTTACACCACTGAGTTGGCATCCATTGGTCTAAATGTCTAAATTCAGTAAGTTCCCTGAGATTGTACATTCATCTACCACTGTTTTCATTTGGTAACTGTCTTGAATTAAGACGTTTAGTAAAAATCTTAGAACTACATGGTAAGAGATAATATAGATCAACTATATGAACATTCAACCTCAGATTGTTTTTTATTTGATTACTCAAAGAAATTCATTTTATTAATGCCGAGAATTTGTAAAATTATCATACGGTGGGTGAATGATTCACACATGAAGATAACGGGTGATAGCTGAACAATACTCTGGATCGTTCGAAGTTAGCATATTAACGTAGTTAAATATCGGATCAGTGAACAAGAGGCCAGGCGAAACTGAAGGCCTACGGTTAGATTTCCGCATGCACTGCTGATGATCCTTATATTAGTACGAAACGGCCGTTCAGTAAGTGGTTCCAGGTTTCAAATGATGTCCTAATATTGATCGATTCATGATTTAAGTGAAACCCAACAATCTCTACCACCCTGTAATGAAAATAATTCTAATTAGGATTTTATGAAATATTAATAATCTCTTCTAATTAAGGACAACTATAGTAATTCATCTAAAAGACATAAAAAAAGTAATCTGAATAAAATGTTTCATAATTAGTATTAAGTCTCACGAGTAAGATGCACATTAATTACCTTATTCTAGGTTTAAGCATTGAAAATGTTGGACGTAAATTTGGATTAACATTCCAACATTGTAATAAAATTTCATACAAACCATGAGGACATTTATCTGGCCTTTCTAGACGTACACCACGAGCTATTTGTTCTACAGCTTCTGCATTAGTTAAATTAGCAAATGGTTTAACTCCTTTAGATAAAATTTCCCAAATACACACAGCTGAAATAATAAAAGAGAAAAGAATTAGGGAACTAAGTTTTTTACCTTTTTTCAAGAATTCAACAACAATAACTATCTGCAATCACCAATATCATTAATCACTAGATGGTGAACATGTTAATGTTTTACTTATCATTCGACATTGATCAAGTCCTAGCACTTAAGTTGTAATTTATTCTTTAGTATAAGCAACTTGAATTTATGTGGACTCTGTTTCAACTGATCGATTTCGACCAGGTCAACGGCGTGAGTACAAATGACTTCACTCACTAATCAGTAACCAACCAGTTGAAAATATATCAGTCTTATAGAAGGTCACTTGTGAACCGAATATATCTCATTACTAATATTGTGAACTATGAGGATCGGTGATGTAGATTCGAATTCTATTGCAAACGTCACTTCCTAAAAAATTGCAGGAAAACTTTACTAAAAAGTGCTAACTAATGCGAAATCCAAGTTTATGATATTCCATTAAAAATTTTCAACCATCTAGCGTTAAAACCAAAGTAATAAAAAACTACTGTCATCTAATTATCTTAAAATCACAGTCATTGGTTTTTATATAATCCATTATTTACCGTAATCTCTGTTATCATTCTTGTCACAGGAAATATATATATATATATATATATATATATATATATATGCGGAACAATTAATATTTCCTATTGATGAAGTTTATCTGCTTCATATTATCGTGTAAACTAATTACTCACTCTGTTAAGACATACAAAATCAACGATGTCATAGTCTTAACGAAGTGTTGATAATATCATTTTTAAAAAGTTTTGCGCAATAATGCAAAGAATTTACTAAATTACAAGACTAAAACTTTTTGTTCCAGTGAAAAATATTAACCATTGGATCCCAGTATTTTCTGTTGGTATCAATATCAGGGTTGGACTTCATAGTTTCATATAAATTAAGTGTTGGGTAGAAAATTGATAACATTAAAAAAATTATAATTTTACTTTGAAGAAGTCACTTGTATTAAGTCACGTAACATAAATTTCTACTTATTTTGATATCAGCAAAAATTATAATTAGTTGGTCATTATCAATATTTCCTGTTATCTAGACAAATTCAGTCCGTTCTTCATAGAATGTGAGATTCAGAATCGAAGATAATCCGGCAAAGAAATTTTTTGCATGCTATCAGTTATTGAAGTTCTACGCTCATATTTGTAACAATTTATTAAACATACTCGACTACTGAAAAGTAGAAAAGTTAACCATAAATATTATTCAGTTGCTTTTACCACCTCCATATGTCTTGCATCTTTCTAATATCTGTTAGGCGTAAATTTCTATCTCTCATTTCCTTAGTCCGTATATTGTTTCCACACTACTCTTTTTCTTTAATGTCTCAATCCTTACGTAACCCGAAAGTGATACTCCAAGTGATCCCTTTGCACTTTTCAATAGAGCAATATATATATATATATATATATAAAATCATTATTATAACAATGGTATTTCTTCAGTAAATGGTATTGCAGAGAAAATAATCTCTTAGTTGAATTATCTTTAATTCTCGTTGATTTGTGGCTACTTGAAGAACCATGTAACTTTTCATTGAATGTAAGCTTATTGACTGTTAAATTTGTAGTTTCTTTAGTATGATTGATTTCTGCTCTGGAATCACTGAGTGTAGACTGCTTGTAGTTGTGCTGAATAAGATAGTCTATAGCCTATGTTCTGATTATCAACTTTTGATTTCCAATGGTATGTCTAGTATGACATGACCCAGTTTGTATAGGGAGTATCAATCGATTTTTTAGTCCAGTGGAATTATTATCTCAATCATCGGTTGTATATTGTGGCAAAAAGAAAATACTTTTGTTCTACCGTTGTCATTTTTTTCCATTAATAAAGGAATGATGATAATCACTGTTCAACTGTCCCTTGCATACCTCATGTGATCGTTAGAAATGTCAATTTGTTGTGATGTTATTAAGCAAAATAACAGCAACACAGTCATTTGATTTTAAGAAGATGAATAACTATCTTTATCACAATAGCAATTAATTAATCTTTATTAAAAATTTTGAAACTATGATAATTGATTTATAAATCTAACCTAATTATAAATAATTTATTTCTTTACAATTTTCGCCTTCTATTTTTCTTTTAATTTATTTTATCTATCTTTCTTGTTAGTAAACTTTCAACTAGAATGATTTTCATGCTGAACTTTGCAAATCAAATTATTTTATACATTTCAAAAGCGCATTAGGATAAGAACAACATTGATCTGTCAGATCTGAAGCTTTTGCCGATGATCAAAGATTTATTAGGCAAGGGGTTTATGTAAGAATATAACAGGAGGTTAAGTTAATACAAAGTAGCAGATGAGAGAGTGGTAGAGACAAATAGCTGAATATTATGTTGACAGAATAAAAGTTCTCACACCGAGCTCTGTGGTATTTTCAAACGTTAATCTATGTCTAAATTACCCTAAATATATAAGTGAGCTGAAATGTTTTGGCAAGTATAAACTGAATCCTGTTCTCTAAAATGTAATGCATTATTATATCTAAACATAACTCAGATCAAAGTTGTCTTCTCACCACACTTTCAAAATGTGCAAAATAGCTTGCTTAATTCTTGATTGCTAATATGAAATCACTACTGTTGAAGGTCTAACAACAGAAAGGAGTGACAGAACACCTGTTGCTTAATTAATACGTACAAAAAGAGTACTAAGCGAATGTAGAATTGATCATCATATTATTTGAAATACTACTGACAGGATACTGTTGAGTATATTTCAACTGATACTGCATAAATAATGATCCATGTGAAATGATCATTTCTTGAAATTTAATGATTAGAATGCTATTTTTGTAAAGCGCAGTAGGCACTTATAATTCTGTTTAATTTATAACAAATTAATCAACTAGTTCAGCAGAAAAAAAATATCCTTAAAAAAATAGCCAAGCTGCGATGACAATTCTAATGAAATGAATTTATGTTTTCCAATACTTTTGCCGATCATTTGTTATACGGAAAATCTGTCAATTTTTGTTATTTAATGAAGAGAACAACTCACCGAACATCCAAACATCACTTGCTGAACTAAAACGACGTTGATGTAGACTTTCTGGAGCCATCCATTTAATAGGCATTTTTCTGCCTTGTTCAGCTAATTGGCAAAAAGAATCAAACAAATCATGAGTCCAACGAGAAATTCAACAACGCACACTTGCAGAATACGTTTCAACTGTCCATAATTTCCAATTAAATATAAACTGCCACTTCTAACTGATTAAAACGGAAGTATATGTATATTTATTGCTAACTGTTGTTGTTTGTTTACAAGATACAGTCATTAAAAGTATTTGTAAAATATTTATGTACCTATAGAATATGCATAAAACAGTGCGATATGTATTCAGGGATGATGTAAAACTTATTCAAGCCAGTCATAGAAAGGTTAGCCTTTAAGCATTGGACACATACAATTCCATTCTACAAAGCGTAACCAGAATAACTTAAATGATGTATTGCTTAGAAAAATAGATACTTTTAATCAGATACAATGATCAATAATCTTTCAATCTCGCCTATTGTTTGTTTATTATGTTCTGTGAAATAAAAAATAAAACATTAAATTTAGTAAATGTTTACCAATAATTATTAACCTAAATATTTGATAAAGTGTTCATGAAGTGATAATTTAAACTGTTTCTAATTTTAAGCAAAAGTAAAACTAAGTAGATATTTGATCATCCTGTCAAGAACCTTGAGTTGATTAACTCTATCATCCTGATGTACAACACTAAAACAAATATGGTGATTACTTTGAGCATGTTCCAAAAATTATTTGAACAAAAGAAAGATCTTTTTAAAAAAGCGAAATTACTAAACATCTCTTGGACATAGGATAACAAATCGATATCTTGAAATCTTTCAAGGTGGTTAATATGCAGCCAACTTCTAATATGCCGACATTTAACGAATCCATCCCTAACAAGCATCCAAAGCTTGATTAGGCTGGTTAGTAATCCTTCTTTATCTTGGCTGCACAAACATTTCCTCACTATGGTAGAAAACTTTGCTTAACTCTTTCTTTCAATATATTCAAGCACCTGACAAGAAATCAGCCGAACTAAAATAAATGCTTTCTATTCTGTTCAAATATACATGTCAACTCATAGTAGATAATAAGTAGTTTTTTATTAGCTTTAATGAAATATGGATTATTCGTGAAATTGAAGTCATTTAGGCAGTTTATCTTTAGCTATTCATAATATTCAAACAGACTAGTATTCATTATTTGAAAATAAAACGTTGTATATATACATTCCATCATAAACATTACACTTAAGATTGATAATAATAAATAAATGAAGATTAAATAAAAATAGAATAACAGGTTATGAGAGATAAATAAACAGAATGTTGATTTGATCAAAATATTTAAATGTGTTAAATAATGTGAATGTTCTAGAAGAAAAATTATAAAACGGCTGTGAAGTAGGTGACTGAAAATCAATTTCTGTCAAAAGTGAAATAACAGTAATGAAACAAGAATGTTACACAAACACTGCTGTTTTCAAATGTGCAACTGATTTTCTGCTGCTAATCTGCTTACTTTTATTTGTTTCAATCTTATAACCAAGTCATCATTGATGTTGTTGTTGTTGTTGTAAGTTAATTTTTTTTCAAATAACTTATCTACATTAGTTAAATTTGTTCTTCTCTCTGCATTGGAAGGCATTAGTATAGAAATTAGGTGAATTGATCAAGTTAGACATTAACACTGTCAGATGTCAGCTCAGAGGTGCAGAGATTAGGCGTCTGCGCACAATACCGAAGGTCCTAGGTTCGAATCCTTCGGAGTGCAGGAGTCGTGGATGCGCACTGCCAGTGATGAGTCCTATAACAGGACAAAACGGCCATCCAGTGCTTCCAGGTTTCTAATGTTCGTCTAACATTGATCGATTCATGGTTTCAAAATTAGGTATCTAGACGTTTCCCAGCTTAAAGTATATACACCTTATTTCGTTCTCATGATTAAGAATACGATTATAGATAGTAATAAATGGAGTGAAATTCACAAACTCAATAAATGTATGTTATTCTGCAACGATATTTATCTATTCTATTTTTATTAATCGTGAAATTTGTATGAAATATTAATATTATTATTACAAATCAGATATCTTTGATTGAATAACGTTGAAGAAAGAACCAATAAATTGGTCAATTCATTGGTTATATCTACATCTGAAATACGTGTTTATGCAAACAATGACACTATAACAATGTAAATACAAGACACTATAAATTGTAAAATGTTAACCGCATGTATAAAAGAGTAGATATAATAAATACTAAAGAAAGGGAATAATTTTGTCTGAAATGTTATAACACAATTAGGTAGGTGTATAGATAAAATCGTATGCCAATAAATTGGAATATTATAGAGAATAATTATGTTAATTTATTGTTTTAATATTCAAATGACTATAATAAATAATTGATACAGGAAAATTATCTGATATGATATTTTTTCCAGTCTCAAAGTGTGATACTGTATTCTTATTTAGACAAAAATATATACAGATTTGAATAGAGAAATAAGAAGACATATTTTGTGAGATAGTACCATTTCGTGCTTTCTCGTCAGTCACATACAAGCAACATGTTATTTGTGTAAATAAAGTTTTGAAGATAAGGTCAAAATTTCTTATTTAGCATGACATTCACTCACTAGAACCATGGTAAACAAAGGTCAACATACAGTTGTTTTTGAACACATAAAGTTGGACTTTTACGACCAATCAAGATAGCTTCAAGTAGTTTTAGTGTGTGTGGGTTTTGATTACATGTCAAATAATATGTTGCTTGTATGTGACTGACGAGAAAGCACGAAATGGTACTATCTCACAAAATATGTCTTCTTATTTCTCTATTCAAATTTATCAAAGGGAACCACTGTTTTGAATATACAGATTTGTAAATAATGTATGTAAATCACATACTACTAATTGGATGAGCATCCAAAGAAAGTGAATATTTTATAGAAAAAAAAAACAAATTGCGTCTTAGTAGTTACATTCAATGAGACGTGTTCTTTCCATCTGCTTTATGCAGAACTTGTGACAAAAATGGATATATCATGGCCATTCTCATAGGATACACAACTAAACTTTTTCATCAACTCTGTAAAATATACCATTATGAAAAACTTTAACAGAAATATAATAAGAATCCTGTGCATACGTTACATACTACTTGCCAGTTAAGTAAATCTTCTTCCTGGTGTTGATATCTGTACTAGGACTTAGACCACAAAAGAATAAAATAATGTTAGTCCTTAATAATGAACTTGGTAACTGAAGACCTTACTAACAAGGAATTAAGTAACATATCCATTGAATTATTTAGTATCTGTCTGGACTATGCAGCTCAGAGAAAAACATATTGAAATGGAATCGGTTCATGTGACAATGTGAACATCAGCACTAGGACGGAGAGGTATATAAGAGCCAACGAGTGGCAAATACCATTTCAACGAGCTGACGATAGTCCATCCATTTTGTAAAACGTATGACAAAATGGCTAAATTGTCTATTCTCTCCTGGATAAAAGATAGGGCTAATCTGTTGGCAAAAAGTTAAAACCATTTGAATTTGTTTCACGGAAACATATTTGTTTACGTCTGATATCTTTTATGATCTTTTTCACGCCGAATTCCAACCACAGTGGATAAAGATTCACATATAATAGAAAATTTTCTTGCTTTCATATTAATCGAATCGAAACGACTTATTGTTTAATTCAAATTATGTCAACATTGCTTGCTTGTTTTACGAAGTTTTGTTTTCTAATTTTCATCAACATCAAAAGATAATTTGCTCATTTGTACAAGAAATAATATCAAACGTTTCCTAAATATCGATTCTATAAATGATATCATCACTTATAATTGTTTGGTCATCGAGTAGTGATCAGGGTTATGTATTTCAAATTCTTCTCAGCGTTGATTCTGTCGATCAAGTTGCATTGTGACTACTGGTTTAAGATACTCTATATTGTGCACACTCTTGAGACGTAAGATGGTATCTTAATGTAGTCAGTAGATAATGTCTTGTAGTGCGACGTCGGGTAATGCTGAACTGAATCATCCAGGGAAGATCAGTTCCTTAACAAATGGACCTTGCTGACGAATAACAAATAGCACTAAATTTAGGTCAAGTAGACTTTCCTGTCTATCGCGTTGAATTACTAGCTTATATCTGAAACTATTACTGTCGTTGTGTCGATAAGTAATGAATAGGTAGATGTAATACGAAATTTTTAACAGGAAATTTCAATTCGACGAAACTTCTCAATAGAACCATTAAAAAATTAATGGTCATTTGTCCTCTCTGCTTCATATTAAGGTGACATTTACGCCAAAGAAGTTTAATGTTTTCATTTTAAAGTCTTTCGTTAAAAAATGTAGTCATTAGTAAGTTTAAGAGAGCCATTTTTGAGCTAATATGTGAACCGATATACGAGTTTTGGATTTAATATATTTGAGCGTAAATTGATGCTAGTTGGACAAACACAAACAAATAATCAAAGCATATTCAAGGTTACTATAAGTTGCTTGATTAGTGAATTAGTCAGGGTTTCTATTAACCTAACAAATTAACCTTGACAATTTCTATACAATGTTTTGAAAGCCGTTTTGATGTCGATTCTATGCTCCTTTTTAATTGTGCGTTGCCGTCTATGATCATGGTTTTTTATTTGCTACGTTTGTCGAGTCATTTGACATTTAGAGTGTACTAATATGTCGAGCCGAACCATCTTTTTCTAACTAACCAATTAGCTTTTTCTGCCCAAGTTACTATTAGACGACTTTTGACCTTGTTAACTATTTGTCTAAAATATTGTCTGATTTAACTTGAGTATTTGTGTGCATTGCTTGCTTCACTGATGGCATGTCTAGTCTATTTTTGGCTGATTATAATTACTTAGTCATGCCTCATTGCATTGAGTTGGCGCATTCGCCTTCCTCGATTTGCTTCGGTATGCCTGAATGCTTTTAATTCTCATGTCTGTCCGCGTAAACAATTGTGTGAAATGAACTCATTCAACTGAATCCGTATTTGGTCTCGTTTTACCACTGTTGTACAAACGAGGTTCGTAACCAAATGATGTTTAATAAGTGGATCATCACATTTAAAAGCAATTCAGCTGGACACCATTATGAAGTGAGGAATTTCACTTCTATTCTAAATTATATATCCTTTCGATTATCATATAAATCTAGGTTCATGTCTTCGCATTGAATACCTCTATCTTGTGGAGGATGAAATATTTTCAACAATTCGATATAGAAAATTACAAACTTTCACAATAATAGTTACGTAAGAATTTATTCATGAGATTAGGACAAACTATTCTCAGTACTTAAGGCAGAAAATGAAGATATTTATCGTTTAGATCATAAGAACCGACGAACACTCTAGCCTTATCTATCATTTAAATAATATATATACATGTATATATATATATATTGTTTTACTTCTCTAGGATTTCTCATTATCGGCAGACTAATATATTCTTTATGTATCTACAGAGAGTATACTTTGAGTCTCATTATCAAGCATACTTGAGAGCATCACAGCAGAACTTTGTATCGTGGTATATTATCTACATATTTATCGCTTTACGTTATATTTGAGGTAAATCGTTTACTTGAAATTCTGTTATGTGCTACGAAATACAACAACAGTTCAATCCCGACAAAGTAAGCTTAGTGTTAGCAGTGGGATGTTGGATATCCAAATTTATCATCTTAAAATGCATATTGATTTCCATCTTCATGTCGTTTCCATGCCTACGAATATGCGATAATAGTTCTTCCGGCAGTTGGCGTTCTTAAAGTCTTAGTTTTACAACTTGCATTTGATTTCATGAGCGAAATTTAGTTTTTTTACATAGTTAAGCTTCAGAAATATGCCTATATAGTTGTTCGGCTTATAGAAACATGTTTATCCAAGAAGAAACGTAACCGTTGGAAAAAATTACGGCTGCGAAACGGATTTTATTAATAGTAGGAATAACGCTCGCATAATGTCACTTATTGACCGAAGTTGGAAATGTAACCTATCGGATACTAATTTCAATGGTCTAGAAGTAAAGCGTTCTGATAAATATATGAAGAAACTCGGCTAGAAACATGGTGAATTTGTGATCGATTAGTGATAAATAGGCTGAAACTAGAATGAGAGAGATATTTGGTGTTTCTTGTTTTTCAGTGGTTGGTTAACCTAATTCAACCCATGTATTAAACTACAGTTTTCACCAAGAAACTCGAATAGATAACTAACCACATCTGGTTGTATCGTCATAGTGTTCCATTTCAGTTATAGAGCAAATTTAAAATAAATATCAGGTAAAGTATTTACTCACCTTGAAAGTCATTTTTATCTGTTAAAATAAGTGACATTCCGAAATCGGCTAGTTTCACACAATCTGGTCTTGAAACAAGAATGTTTCTGGCTGCTATATCTCTAAAACATCGAACACAAATGAGAGAATATATATCATAGGACAGACGACTCGAAGAATTAATTGGATTTTAGATTAACATTAAGAATGGATATACTTTAGCTCAAAAATATTCAGAAATCAATTTTACCGAAGATTGTAGATAAATTTCATTTTCTACTGAAACCTTTGAACTATCATTGGTTTCGTTTATTCAACCATATAAAAATGAAATTTTCTAACAGTCCACTTAATATTCCCTGGAGGTTAGCACCAGCGAGTATAAAAGATGGAAGATTCTTTTTTTTGTTCTTAAATCATTAATCTCAAATAATTGACTGATCAATAATAGTTCAAATAAGACAATGGATATTCTAACAGAAATAATAGTTGCTTTCTCTTTAAAAACTAAAGACATTACAAACTGCATAACGCATCATCTAACCAAATTGTTATTAACTTTGATGATTAACTCATAAAAAATATACAAAGACTTATTTTGGTGAATTGAACATAATTCTGTTGCGCAATGAAATTGGACAAAACAAGTCTACACAGACAGACATTGTTTTCGTAAACAAAAACGCCTGTTATGATTATTTATCAAGTAGTTATATCATATTATTTACTGAGTGAATTGAATATTTCAATTTATTATGAGAAGAATTTATTGGACACTTTTTTATATACACGTAAAAGAATGAAAAGAAACTTTGGAAATTTCAAAAACACTTAATAATATGTAGCAATGTTAGAGACAACTGTGAATGACTTAACATATCTATCATAACATGCAAATGTAATCATCGATTTATCACTAACTAATGAACATAGTCAGTATTATATGTTTCTGGTTGTTAGTGTGGCCTGCATTTTATTGACCAAGTTGTAACGAGACCATTAATCTAAGTAATTCGGCATTTAATTCATTGTAAGTTGTAAGTTGATGGTTGTAGGCAGTCAGCAGGCAATATTTAATATCAGTTTCGTGTGATATTAGTTCAAGAAACTGATATCTTATGTGATAATCAAACGAGACTCTATATGATGGTGCAGTCACAACCGGCACAATTGACTTTTTCCTAATATATCTAAGCTTTAAAGGACAAACCGAGTATGCATTTATCAACACTGCTGTTTCTTCGAACTAATATTACCAAGCTTTTACAGTGAAGTACTGAGATATGTTTATAAAAATACATAAAGAGTAATGCTTGCTCAGTGCAACCTATCATCATCCTGTGTTAATGAAAACATTGATGGTATGCAGTCTCAGCTAGATTCAAGTCAGTGATCCACTATCTGGATTATTACTGAACAAGTGCATTTGAAAACGTTCTCTATGCGCATGAGTTTAGCTAATCACTCATGGAATAATAATGTAAAGGAAAACTTAATCCTAGCCAGATTTTTGATAACTTCCAAGTATGTTTGAACAATGGATATAAAAATAGGACAGTTCTATTGTAACAAATTGAAAGTATTTTGAAGTGAATAATAACGCTTCAAAAAACTATTATAACCTCGTATAAATTCAATTAATATGATGATTTTATGCTCTAACACATCATACTTGTTGATGATAAGACGAGAATTTTTTTATGCCATGAAATTACCTGGTCCTATAATGCAAACAAGATTGGGCTACAATACAAAGTGAACAACGAATCTGGTAAAGATCAATGCTTACGTGTTTATGTTCGCATCAAATTACATAAGCCAGAAGCTTATCATTCAGTATTTGTCAATGTAAATTATTGCTATTATGCTTGGTGAAGAAGTGATCTTTGAAACTTTTAGCGTGTCTCTAGACAACATCATCAGCACTTACTGTCATAAAAAGAAGTCACCAGAACGTCTTTACAAGTAACTAACAGGTTGTTGTGTTAACTTGGGATTTTATTAGTAGTTGTTCGTTGTTCGCAAACTACTTTTGACTAATTTCCCAAACAAAGATATTTAACCTTGCAGTTTTTTGTCTTTTCGTTTATTGACTGACAGGTTCCATCTACTTTGGTGTGTTTATTGATTGATATGTGACAACAGTGATTAGTTTCTCTAGCATTCTTGCGTTCCATTTGTCCATTATTTCTGTGTTCTTCCATTAATATTTATTAACATTCACTGGCATAGCTGACGTTCAACAGTTGGTTGGTGTTTATGAAAACGCTGATGAATAGGAAAACCACTTCATACAGTGCAGTGATTCCCTCAGTTGCTGTAATTTGTTGTGTGGATATTTCGTTTGTCATATCTTACCATCGTTTCTTTTCGTTTGCATCTCAACGATCGTAACAATTGTGCGAACTTGTCAGCAATATCAATTTTTAGTGGCTTTGATAAATCAAGCTTCATCTCGAAAATTTTGTTATTGATTTTGTACATGATAATAGGTTGGACAAATATTTCTCAATCAGCTTTAAAGGGCTGGAAATTTGTCCAGAATACATCCATTTGGCATTTATTGCATTTCAGTGTGAATTGACCGATCAGTTTTCTGTTCTTTTTCCATTAACTTTCTTTAAAAAAATGTTGTGAACAATGAATATTGAAGGAACGGGACGATAACAATATAGGTTTTGTTCTCTCAACTGGATAGTTCAATCGTGAATCTTTCACTCTCTTTCTGAACAACATCATCAGCACCATTTTCAGATAACGTTAAAGTATACTAATTTTCCCATGTGCGACTGACAAACTGTCTTATGCATCTTACTCATGATCGGCTATTGCTGACCTTTAACTCGTTATCTATAGTGTTACCTCCATTGACCTGATTCTTGATCCTATAATTGTGCGAGATTTCCCTAACTGGCTGATGGGTTAGGTTGATTTCTATGTGACTGTTCAGCGGAGCCAAAATCTCCATCATCTCATAATAATATTAGTGTTATCCCCGAAAAAACAATATTTAATTTAAAAAATTTGAAAATTCTTTTGAAATATTTAGTTATTTTAGTCTTAAACTGTTTGTAATTTTCTTCCAGCAAATGTCAATAAATTTACCTGTGAACACATTTCTTAGATTCCAAACAGGCTAAAGCAGTTACAATTTGATAGGAGTATGTCAGTAATTGTGTTATGGTAAGTTCATTTCGTTTACTTATCAAATAATGACGTAACTACATGTGTGAAAAAAAATAAATAAAAATGGTTGAGATAAGATTAGTTAAGATTATACAATAACATTTTTATCAACATAAATAAAAGTAGAGGAAAACTTATTTTTTTTCTGTATAGGGGGTTTGTTAAGATCCATGAACGTTATTGATAGCACAATATGTGAAGGCCTAGAAGCACTGTTTTACCTTAGTATGAGATTCCTCGGAAGTTAGAAGAAGTGACGATATGTCGTGCATATATTAAACTGAGAATGCTTGACAGTTCTAGGCAATCAAAATAAAGGTCAGTATTTAGGTTTTAGCTATCTGAAAATCAATTACAGTGTGAATCTATATCATGAAAGAAAATTTACTCTACTTGTTGAATTAGAAACGAGACATGAAACCGTTACCGCCACTAAAAACGGGTAAGCGCTGGATAGCCATTGCGTCTCAGTATGCTCGACCGTACCAGAGACACTTTGTTAGTGCTCACCCACGACTTCGTTTGCGGAGATCAAACCCAGCACCTCCAGTCTCGCTAGCGAACACCTAGTTTCTGGATCACTGACCCAGTGGCATTCCTTGCCTTTTACTTGGGCTAGATTGCTTAGGAAAGTATCTGATGTTCCAAAAAATACACAAATGTTTCCTTTCTTAAATACTCTGATTTCTTGGGATGTAAATGATCGGTATGAGATTGTGATTGTTTTACTCCACGATTTGACTATATTTTTTAGCACATTCAGCAATTTTTCCCAATCTTGGACAGATTTTTTGGGTAGCTATTCATTTCAGGAATTTAAAGATTGAACATATCTAATGCCTTATTTTTGATGGGGACTTAAGATTCACATATTCATTGAAGTTTGTTATTTTCTTCATATCGGTCATTTTAAAATAATCATTCACTTTGCATCTAGCTAAGGAATTTAAGAAAACTTCATCATTATTATCTGATTCTGATCCTCGAATAGATTTAATAATGGATGATTTATTGTTTATTTAGTCTAAAAATTGATGGTATACATCACACTTGAATCCCGTAAAAGTATCAGCTATATTTTTTCTTTGAGCACATTCATGGAGACATTTTTCCAAATTTATTCATGAATAGATTTGCAACTGTAGGAGATAAGAGTGAACCAATCGAAATTCCATTGATCTGTCTAAATACTTTCTTTTAAAAGTATAAAGAAATGCCTTTCTAACTAGAATCTTAAGAGGTTGATGATCTCATTGTGTTCAATGAGCTAATTTCTGACAGAGTCATATGTGATTCTAATAGACAGAAAATCATATCGAAATTTCCAATAACAGGCAATCCTACTGAAAGTATGATTTAAGTGAATACATAATAAAAAGCTGTCTTCTACCGGTATTCGCAGTAAGTTGTTGCTACATTTTCTCCATTTTATAAGGCTTCGTAATAAAATCTATGAGAAATTCATTAAACAAACTAGTCACTAGTGAGCGAAAATTGACGACAGACTGACATCATCTCATGATCCTTATCACTAAAAAAATTAATAATGTCGAAGATTTAACCAAAAAAACTTAGCAATATTATTCAACTAAAACCTAATTTCTAGGTTACACTGATCACAGTACTAATGAAAATTAGAAAGCAATAACACAGGCATTTCGTTTCTAATATAACATGATATTTCTCGAGTTAACTGAAACCAGAATAGTGCCAATGAAAGCTAACTCAGTGGTTCCATTACTTAAACATTCACTGCGAGATAGAAAATTTTGCGTTCAATTACAGGTGAAGTTATGGGTGCACTCTGTTGAGTCTAACGACTTGATTCTAACTTCGATCAATGGTGTACTTTATAAGAATTCCTTGGTTTTAATTAGCATATAAAGTGAAATCAATATATAATGGCTACAATGAACTATCCCTTTGCCTCGCATCCTTATTAGAGTGAATTAAACATTTTTCATGAAACTATTAAGGCTACGCAGGTAGTCTGCTCAATAGGGTAATACTTCTGTTGAATTACTTTTAAAATGATATTACCTACTATTCATTTACCAAATTTTCAGCTAATTTAATTAATGAGAAGTTACCAATAGGCCACTTTGCACTGCTTTTTTTCATTTTCTCTCCAATATCGCAGTAATTAGTTATTCTTTAATTTTGTATAATATTCAATCCATCATGAAGAACAATCATTTGTAAATGTTAACACTAAAAAAATAGGAATTGTTTTTATTTCAATCAATGAAATCCTGTCGTCTTGTTGAATAGAGTGTAAACATTAATGATTGTGATCATACTGTGGAATGCTTCTTTCTGTAATCATCATTTCAAGCCGTTAAATAATAATTTGGTTTCACATATGAATAATTAATTACTCAATCTGAAAAAATCAATTTCAGTCTGAGATTTGTCAAGAGTTAACAGGAAAACAAGAAGACTACTTGAAGAATTCACACCTAAAAACTACTCATTTTCATTTTGTAATGCGAAAATATTAATTTTATAAAGTGAGAATGATCCAGAAATTTACAGGTAGGTTTGTTATCAGTGTTATTTGTAAAATTCTATTAAGGCCACAGATTAGTGGTAACCTTATGAAATAATGTATTCACAAGATCAATGGTAATTTCAAGTGTGCATTTAAAAATATCACCAATAATTTCAAACCAAACTAAAAATTTTTACAAACAACTGAACACAATGACATTTTGCTTAATGTTTTAGCTTACCTCTCCTAATGCAGCATATTCCATAATTAACCAGATTGGTTCATCAGAACACACACCAAATAATTTTATAATATGTGGATGATCAAATTCTCCGAGTATATCTGATCGAATGAATTTGTTTGAAAAAAAATATATATATATATAAAAAAGCATCATAAACTAACGAAAATTAACAAAGCACAGGACTAGTTGATAAAACAAAACTAACTGAATGTCATATCGACTAAAACACGTTTCCGATTGCCGCTAATAATTAAAGCGAGTCAACTTTAAAAAAAAAGTCTACTTTATAAATATTTAACGTATAACATGAAAAAAAACCGCTTAAATAAGTGAATTTCATAAATAATCATTTGTCATTAATTGCAAACGAATGAAAATTATAATCACTGAATTTTAATTCATTTGTACAAAAACAAGGAGTTGTCAGTGAATTATTTGCTTCAATAAAATTTACGATAGTGGAAAAAAATAATCAACTTAATTTCACTCTTTTTTTTTCTTTAATAGACTATCGGTATGTAATCGGTAGAGATTCAGTGATTTTGAAGTGAATTTTCACTATGATCACGTTTTTAATTCGAAAAACAATTGTGATTATAGAGTGAGAATAAAGAATATTATACAAAATTCAACTAGTGACATTCATATAATAAATGCAGCATAACTTATCGCCGAGACTGAATAGTCACCAAAGGAGACGAAACAACCTATCAGTGTTACATGTTTTTTCAGTTTGTTTGCTCTTCAACCCTAAAAATCTTCATAGTTAAAAATGTTTCATAGTTTAGATTGCAGCTTTCCAACAGCTATGACACTGAAATGTGTTGAGTTGTCTTCATAAAAAAGTATTCTGTATATCCCAATCGAATTCATTTGATTCCTATCTTTATTCAAAAATATATTTTATTTACCCTCTACTAATAACAATCAGATTAAAAAACTGTGATGTACGTATCTAGTTGAGCAATCAACACATCCCACTTATCCGATTTGTTTCATGATGGAAAACATTCAGTTTAAGAAGTCAAATAAACAAACAATGAATTTTGTATGAGTAGTTATTTCGAATGAAGGTTTTGTGTGAATTTTCCTATGTTTATTTGTTTTGTTTTGTTGTTGTTTTTTTTGTATACTTACAATAGAAACATTCACGCTGACTGAAGCAAATAAAAAGACATCATGATTGATTAATGTGGGTCAGAAAGGTTTGCCTTTTCCGGAAAATTTATTCAAGTATGTACGATCTAGTGTGACTCTATTGAGTGTTAGATTTCTAATCAATGATCAATGGTGTTTTGTTGAGAAACAAAGAAAGTCATTAATGATGTATAAGAAAAAAAACGTGAGTAAATTACAAAGCATTTTCTTATCTAATGCCACTTCTTATCTTATTCATTGTTAAAAAAAGTCAAGTTTACAATACTTGTTTTGGTCAGGAAAGCGTGAAATATGTTTTGAAAAAGTAAAACAAGCACAAGCATACTAACAGTTTGGTTAAATTGTTTCAATATATTCTAACAGTTTGAAGATTAACTTTGTTAAGGATTGATTTTACCTGGATTACAAAAGGAAGTAAGAGACTTTGGATAGATATTCAGTCTTGTATGTATGTATTATGCGAATGCATCAAGAAACCATCATTCATTGGTTCATATTAACCAGGTTCAATTTAGTTTGACTAAATGATCTGATGATCATCCGGTTGTATTAAATATGTAATTGTCCTAACTTATGACATTGATAAATCCTTTTGGTTATGATATTCTAGTATAATTTACGAGGTTGAAGATAAAATATTGTCATGACTAATTGGAACTAACACTGATGATTAACAGAACACAGTGAAAGTCAAAATTATTCACTTGGAAGTAAACAATCGCATTTGTACCCCATGAATAGAAGAACTGATTGACATCAGGTTGATAATATTATTGAAGAGCATTCGCCATACTGTTTATCATTTTCAATTAAACTGAAAAATTACCAGCCAACTAGTTAGACTGAACCAAAAACATCTAATTAACCACGAATTCCCTCTTATAAACCTTAATGACTTATAAAAACCATGGTATAATTTGTTCAGTAACAATAAACAACGATAGCATACTCATCAATAAATTTCAACTTTTAAAGCACAACATGACTGTTACACTTGTTACATTTGCTTAAAACTACTATGGGTTCACCCTAGTCGGATAACGAGAACGAAACAATGAACCAGAGTCCAGGTAGGCTACTATGATCCCTTGACCCAAATGTACTAGCAAGAAGTCTTGATATAGCGTATGACGTGTATTCTACAAACACCCAGCCAGCACACAATGAATCCAAGCACATAAATGGCGTTTATTTATACAACATAGAGGCATCTTTGGGACAGCAACAAAAATAGCGTACTAAAATAACACATCAACCAATCACAGTCAAGGATTCTCCTGGTGGGAAATGTGATCTCAAGGTCACCACTGATCAGCCCATGAAAAAAAGTCCAAAATAAAGACATTTATCAAGAGAGTTCTGAGGATCTAACATCCCCAACAATGGCATAATTTATAAGTGTGATAATAAGGCAACTAATAAAAGTAAGCCGAATTGTGTTTATGAACTGCAACTTCTGATCACAAACGAACCGTTATTTACAAGCATTAACTTTCTATCATAAAACGAACTTTTGAAACGACTTGTTGAGTTATATCTGTTGAATATCCATATTATGTTCACGCTTCTTTTTCTAGTAATCTCCATACAGCAGATTTTAGTATAGTTTCCGGTAAAAGTGAAATCCAGGACATAATTCTCGCTCTATCAGCTGTTGATGTTTATAATGATATTCGAACCTATTACCTATCAATTAAACATTACTGAATTGTCCATTAAGCTACCGACCTCTTCAATGAGCTGAAAATTATACTTTTTAGCGTTTGTATTTTCATACTGTTGATCTTTATAACTTTAGCTGGTCAGTCTTTATCAGCAAACATGCATTTAGAAGAACTGTCCCTTTACTGCTATTTAATCACACTAGAATATAGGTAGTTTCAGCTAAATTTTTCTGAATAAAACTGAATATGTGTCCTCATATATCTTCTTGTCATTAAATTAAACTTTATTATAGCTTAGGACTAGGTGATAATTACAAAATCAATTCTCCCATGTTACAAATAGCCCAACTAAAAATGATCATCTGAATAAAGTCTTTAATATGACGAGAATATATAAGCGATCATAAATTCTACTGAGCAATTTCAATTCATAATGTTTCATTTTTATTTTCTAAACTACAATATTTAAGCATAGTACTTTCAAGTAGAAGTATACACTAAATGATGTTTTCTAGAATAACAACGAACATTTGGAATAATAAATCAAATAATTGATAGGATTAAAAATACTAGATTTAATCAGATTAACTATTCTTATTAACTGTTATCATTTCTGCACGTATACATCATTCACATTATTCAACATCAATCATTAATGATGATTTTTATGTTTAATTAAACTGATAATCATGATAAATGATAAGTAGATGGAAAATGAAAATCGGATGAGTTTGATTAGTAAAAAAAGAACAGACAGACAGAACGATAACTGACAAAGTGATTATTTCTCATGAAATTATTTACGTGCATAAATTATCAAGCTCATCTTTTCTTATCATCTTCTTCTTGTTCGCTGATATAAAAAATTAGTCTGATGATAACTCATTCACTCTGTTCAAATTGGCAACTGATAAGTAGTTTGACGGAGAGAAAATGAGAATTTTACGAGAAATTAAAAGAGCAAATTATCCAGGTTTCAAGAATTAATAGCAATAGTTTTAACTGTAGAAGGAAGTAATAATAAGATTATTGTTGTCATATAATGATATGATAAATCTGCATAACCAAAGTTACATACCACCACCTTTTCAGCTTTCTTTTACTTTGATTAAAAATTCGAGAAGCTGTTCCTATTCAGGTAACGAATGAGATAACTAACTGAAAATGCTGAAAGCTTTGTTCGCCAGACATTGATCTCGATCGAGGTCTTATTCTAAACCAAAGGTCATTAGAAAGCTTTCCCTTCTTAATACGGATCAATCATCAGTGTAGATTTACCAACCCAGTAGGGATGGAACCCAAAGCTCTCAGGTCTCTCGAAGAACATGTGGCTCGGTCGGTGGCCACTGGTATGATTACAAATTATATCTAGCTGCTATATAGAGTAACAGCCATCCAATATCATCAGTAAAAACGTTTCCACCCCTGACTTGTGTGAGCCCTGCTAATTATGAATCCTTGCAAGAACTTCAATAACACTCGACTTATATTACCAGTTAGCTGATAATTAAAGTTTAAGAAATTTGAATATAGTTTACATGAATGGTTGGCTCTAACTAGATGACTATTGAAAATTATCGATTATAGCACAGATGTTTCATACTGGCTTATGACACCCAGACAGCTTTCCCTTTATCAAGATCTTGTTAGCGCAAGTTCTTGGAATTCAACCATGTCTAACGTTAACCAACATTTGTTTTGCACACTTTTACTGCATTTCCCTTTCATTTCTTGTAGGTGGACTAGTTCCCAAGAGAAAAAAGATGATAAACTGCTTCAACAAGATGAGCCAGTTCAAGGCCGAATAGTAGGCAAAATGTTGGTGAGTGTTTGTTTTTATGGGAGTTCCGTTTGTCCTTTGGAAACAAATATACCAAATGGTAAGTTTGTGTACATATTTCTATATGTCATTGACGTTTCACACTGACTCTTTGTGTTTTAACTCAAAGATCTGGTTGGGTGAGTATGTAGGAAGTTTGGAAAGGAGTTTCAGAATCAAAGAACTACCTTACATATTAGATCTAAGATTTAATGATCGTTTTGATGTTAATTATCATAATATTACTCATGGCTAACTTATTGAGAAATTCCAAGTGCTGTGGTAAGAGGTCAACAGTGTCAGAGTTCAACCATGTCAAAAGTAGGCATATATTCCAAGATTATGACAGAAGATGATTACGTAAGATCAAAAGTCAACCGAAGCTAAATATCAGGTAAACTGGAAATCAACTCATCGATGTGAAGATAATTAACTCATCGCGAGATCCGAAACCTTAAGTTTTGATTCTTGGCCTGGTCAGTTTGTGAAATCCTGATTAATCGAAAGCTGTTTGCCACATTCAGGCTCGGTTTAAAATGCTAACAAAATATTTTTTACAATAGTACACTGTAGAAAAAAAATTAAGAATTCACGGAATTTTATTTGATAGTGGCAAAGTATTTCAATAATTCAGAAAATATACATGAATCAATGAATGACATTACATTAAGCTAATTCATCATTCATAGATTTAATTTTAAAAAATGCTGTATGAAAGGTTAATCAAACAATTCCTTATACATGTATAAACATGACTAGCTGACAATCACTCACTCTATTGAGTGAGTGATGCTAGAAAAAAAATAATTGCTTTTAGTATTTCATTTATGCATACTTTAGATATTGATTGGTCTAACTTACGAGCCTCTTCTAAAAATCGCTTTCTTTCTTCATATGATGCGTCTAGTTTACATGTTTTCACTGCAACCAATAAAGTGTCGAGTTTCGGCTGAGTAAATAAGCAATAAAAAGAGTGAAAATAAGTCATTGAAAAATAGATGTATCTTCTGGAATATTCTGTTATGATATTCATTCAAACTATTCATCAAAAATAGTGTTTTAAAAATATATATAACCACTACTCAGTTTTTTTGTGTATTCGATATTTGGCTGACAGTAAAATCCGGGACTAGCATTTCCTTTTTATTTAGGTTATGTTGGATCCGATGTACTTGGACCATTGTTGTATTGTATTCAACATAGCTAGCCATAGTCCATGTTCTAAAAGAAACTTTGTAATTACCTTGTTTTGAATGCCAATCAAGTTTACACTTGCGTGTTAAGACTTGGTTTTGCATGATTGACTACGTTCAAACATTTCAGTGCATGGTGTCAAAGATGTAAAGCAAATGTCTGAAAATTGGTCAATAGAATTTATTTCCATATTTAAAGAAATAAAACTTAGACCTACATGTTAGTCTTATGAATAAAAATTTGACTGACACACTTATGTTCCTTGGTTGTATTAAAGAATTCCACTTTTTGTGTGAAATGATCCATTTAACTACATGGAATACTCTAGCTACTTAAATATTTAACCTTTTATCGATCACTATCTGAAGTTGATGAATATTTAACTTCAATTTATTTTATATTTTACTAAATATACAAATAAAAAACATATTAACTACCCAAAAACTAAATACGTCACCAATAACTAGAAATCAGAATCAGTACTAGTGAAAAACTAGATAGCACTTTAGTCTCCTCTTAATTCAGAACGCCTCAACAATGCCCACTCGATGTCATTCACAAATGTAATTCAGTCTATAAATCTTACGTTTTGACTAATAGCTCAATACTTTCAGATTTATGAGTTAGATTTTAATGATTCAATGACTTAACGTCAAAAACACATCATGATGATTGCTTTATTTTAATAATAATCAATAGTTTCAAAGGTCACGAAATTAATCGGTTGAATGGTTTCAGGTTCATATACTAAAAACTTTTTTATCATATCATTAAATTTGTTTAATCTTAATTACTTTAGTTTATTTTCTAATTTTTTTCTTGTTTGCTTTAAAAAAATTATCCAATCTAGACCACTTGTGTGAATACTCATGAAAGCTTTTTGTTTAATACATACACTGCTAAACATTTTCAAACTCATAGTTAAGATTTGATTAAACGCCAAATGAAATATTTAGAAAGTAAAATATTTAAAATCTATACAAACATCCAGGTAGTTTTTAAAACTATCATAAAATAGCTTTTCATAGAAAATTGACTTAGGTCGATCTCAATTTCTAGATATGTATAGATAAGCAACTAATAAAAAGTATGTAGGTTGTTGATAAGTAAACTTGAAAATAGTTGCATTTTTCGCATTTACATTAAAACAAACCAATTCTTACTCTCCTACAATATGATCCTTTGTACACGTCTCCAAATTGACCTTCACCAAGTACTTGTTCCAATGTTATCAAATTTCTATTTATTTCCAATCCTGCAAGTAATAAATTAAAATAGCATTGGTGTTTTGATTAATATCACATTTACGATACTCAATGTTAGTTAATTCATAATAAAGGAATGAAAAGGATTAATTTTTTTTTAAAATGAAGCACACCACGCATAAAATAGTCAAATAATAGAGAGATTCAGTCAAATATCATGATTGACAATTACAGCAGAATAATTATTCACTAACTTAGATAACCTTAAAGTGATATGCTCATGATTTATTATCATCAAACGCATTGAGTTGTATGTAGCATCAACTATTCTACATGATACATTACACTTTATAGTAAGTCAAATAATATCAAAGGTGAAAGTCTATGGAACTCAGACTGATCATTCGATCGTAAACAGAGTCACTTTATTAATCAACTTAGCTACAAATTCAAATTTAGGTAGAACATTTTTTGACTTGTATAACTGACTACAACTATTGTACGGTATGATTCAAGGGTGAAAAAGAAACAGCCGTCCAAAAATCGATAAAAGCTAATATGTTTAAACTATCTTCAGAAATGAAAAAAGTTAACGTTCATCAAGTTTTTAAAACTCTATCAACAAATATATTCCTTATTTCATTGTTCTGTCACATTCACATAGCTAAGAGTACACAAATCTCATTAATTAGTACATATTATGAGTATGAACATCAGGCAAAATAACAATCCCCATTGCTACAAATGACGGTTGCATATTTCACATATTTCTGATTGAGAGAAAAAGTAACATGAAACTCATCTGTTTTTGTAAAACTAAAACAGTTTGCATTACAAATATTCAATCTACATTGAATAGACACTTTTACAAAGTTTGGAGAGGATTCATAGCTGCAATGGATGATTTCGGTTGAATTTCGTTCTCTTAGCCGGAAAGTTTACACGTAAAGTTCTGAATGTTCTTCCAAACAACCTGACCATCACGAACATCATGTGAGATTTAGGTATTCTAATTTCCCCACATTTGACTGGGAGCCTTTTCTGTCAACTTAGTAAAAGTTCAAGAGATCTAGGTGTTCTTCCTTTTGATTGAATTTCTATTGACTAAATTATATATGTTCGCATGCTCAAGGAACTAACAAGAATTCCTGACATATTCTCCATTTTTTATGATTTTTGTGATTCGTCCCTTATCTGTTAAACAAGGACTATATCTCCCTTAGTTCTAGGTTTCTATGAGACGTTTTGATCTTATAGAACCAGTTCGGTTTAGCAAGAGGTACTACTGTTTTTTATTACTTCTTCTCAATTATTGTGGCAGTTTTCATTGATGACTTTGGTGTAGCTTAGAGAAAGAACCTGTGAAAATAAGAGTGTTTTCTTTGACCAACCTACACGTTAATTAATATTTTCTCATCAAGTTTAAACTAGTCAAAATGAATATATATATTCATTTGAGTAGTACAACTCACAAATGAATAATCAATCTTTGACAAGCTTTTTCTAGCCAGATTATTTCTCAAAGCATAACAAAAAAATTTAGGTATCATCATTCAGACTAAATCAGTTAACATGTGATCTAGGCATAATAGTGTACTACTTGCAGTGTATTACAATTTATGAAAATCAATAAGAACGTAGACTAACAAACACTCAATAAGATTTAAGTTATAGTCGACCAATAAATAAAGAGCTAACCTATATCAATGCGAAGTCAATTTTATCTACGTGTATTGATCAGCTGACTAATGTATAACATGGGGCTGATCGATATTTAGAACTGACGTGAGTAAATACCTAAACATAACCGGAATGTTTTCAGACTTTAATAAGCATATTATATCCAGCACTTTCGGTCGGTTTACTGTTCATTCAGTATATGAGCGCTGTTTATTTGAGTGCATTAGTTACCAATTGTTTTATTCAAGTATTTAAAGTTATCTGCATTTATATGCTACAAACATGCCGGTGTAGCACAGCCCAACATTTAGAGTGAAAAATGAAAAGTCAGCAAGTTAGGGTTTGAAATGAAATTTCTGGTTTAAACCGGACTAAAGTGCAGAGATAGCCCTTCAAGTGAACGGAAAAATAACCGAAAGCGAAAGATGCAATAGACTAACTGATTACTGAAAGCGATGAGAATGTAACCTTCACTGAGTTGAATACAATGCTCTTATAATTGATACTATTCGTGTAAACTTCTTTTTCTTAAAGAGCTCTTGCATTTCTTGGCATGATCATAAAAATATAAAGTTAATCATATTCATTTACACATGAAATAATCCTATGTGATTTATTCAGTGAAGAAAAAATCAATCCAGAAACAGTCGCATTAATGAATTTTGAATGAAGGAGCGGAACATTCACTATACTGGTGGAACAAACTAATCGTTATTTGGATAACACACTGGCGTATGTAGCAAAAAGGCAATAAGTTGAGTTCCTAACTTGAATAACGTCTATTCATGATTGTTTTCATAAACTAGAAACTAAACTGATCAGAGGTTATTACTCATTAGAGTAAAATAACTTTGCTTTCAGTGATCGATCAGCTAAGCGTGATAGCACAGATAGTGTTTGTAATTCGAAATCGATCCAAACATCAAATTATGCTTCTAATGAAGTCGGGCAATTACTTGTGAGTAATGAACATCACAGATGACTCTATTCATAAGAATTCTAATTATAAGCTTTGCGTTTGACTAGAATGGTCTAAGTCCTTTGACCTATTTGGCTGTTAATAAATTTTCATTGTTTAAAAAATGCCTCTATGAAAATACGAAGTAACTAATTAAGCTCGTAGGATTGTTGAAAGTCAGTTGATCGAAAATAGGGACATGAGAATTAGTCATATGGGAAATATCTCAAAATTTTATTTAGAATCCGTGAAGTGTGTCTATTGGAACAGGACATCTACGCAGAAAAAGCAGCTGTGCTAAATATAGGAAGCCATTTTCATTTTATCCAAACCTTCAGTGAGACATCACAGCGAATAACTGTGAGTTTTATGCCTTTGTAATCAGTCGACGGTGCTCATAAATAATGTCTGTATTTCGCTTGCTAACATGTAGGGAACAAGTTATGTACCTAAATACACAAATAAGGAACACCAAGTGGCAAAAGTTTTAAAAATTCCCTCCAACATGACGTATTTATCGCCTAACTGCTGTGATGACGACTTGAAAGGAAGATAAAAACTTCCGAGTAACTCAAGAATGGAACGTCTGCCAAGCTGATTTCGAACAATGTTTTATTTATTTCATGCAGTTGTCGATGAGACATCTGTTTGCTATCATCCTCACTAAAAAAGTAAGATTTGCACTTTTGAACAAAGATGAACAGTGACTAGCAGTATAATTTACTATGTGTGTTTCTTTCTATTCGGGGCTCGTCATCTGGGTGTATCTACATTTCTCAGTCGATATCTCTTACGGGACTCGAACCCAGTACCGTTCGCCTCAAACGCCATCTTGTTGACCATATAGCCGCTGATGTTTGCGGTCTGGTGAATCTTAATGTGTATACATTGGGTGTTTGCTCTTCCCATCGATGTTTATGACTGTAATCGACCTATCTGTTCCTTGAAATACTTGTCGCTTAGAAGTAATATCAAGGTAATCCACACAGGATGACTATATGCCAAAGGAGATTGATCAATGGCATTCTTAAACAATAATTAAGAGATTCAAGCAATCGGTATATGCACAAGAGTAAGATATGCCTGTAAAATGTAATTCATAGTCTTCATTTCACTTTTAGTGTTTCTACTCTTATGATTATCATCACGTAGTTTCTTTTGTTTCATACTGTCTAAACATTATCATTTAATTTTGAGTGTAAGGATTCTTGTTCTCGTTTATGAAACCAAGTATTCTTTCTCTGCAATAAATGGTACTACTAAAATAATCATTCGAACATTGAAACAAGTATGTGCTAGTGTAAGTTGTCACATTTTAATATTGGTACATCTAGAGAGAATTCGCAAGAGGATATTTATGGTGACAGTCATAGTATAAGTTGAGGAACTATACACAAGAAATGTTTCTGCTTAAAAAACTAAAAAAATAGACAACAAGTCAGTTTATTATTTAGCTGTCGACTTTGACTTAGATCATCGTTAAATTGATTACTGAGAATTTTCAATTACTACTATAATTCAGATGTTACATTAAGTACGATAATTGACCTTTTGAATGATAACTAGATTAACCTGAAGGCAAAGATTTAACTATGATTTAATTCTACCAGTTAGTTTTGCAATTTTAAAACTGAGTTTCTTCTTGCCCAGCTTCAATTGTTCACCCTTGAATGTGTCAAAACACAATGTCGAAACAAACAATATTTTTGATTTATTAAAAACTCAACTGAAATAAAATTCTTATTGCTTTTTTATTCTCTTGAAAACTTAGCTACAGATTTTGGATGGATTTTTTACAATTGAATCTAACGCATAAATAAATTTAATAATTATGACTGCTAATGAGAAATCAATCAAATTATTATAATTATTTTTATTATTATTATTAGTAGTAGTAATAATGGTTTCTAAAAAAGACTACTTACTTTGTAGTTGTGATTTATTGGTTTTACAGAGTCTGAAAATTCAATGATAAATTTAAAACAACAGTTAACTCTCACATACACAATGAACACAAAGTGTACTAAATGAATAAAAGTAATCAAAAATTCAACATCAGTACCAGCTGATAAGGAACATTTTATGAATTAATCATAATACCTATCTCTAATAAAAGTGATTTGAATTTTACAAGTCAACATGAAGTTAGCAAAAAATTCTTGTATGTTAATAAGACTGGTTTTTGCAAACAATAATGTCCTATCATAAAATTCAATGAAGGTTTGAATCTTCCAACAATATCATGTTATCATTGGGAATATATTTCCATCATACTGTTAAATATTAAAATGAGAATACTAAAAAAATTAGTTATTTTGTTGACCATTTATTAAATGATATAAAGATAGACAACGAAATGGCACTTTTGCTTTCTTAAAAATATTAATTTGTTTTTGACATTCAAATAACATTCAAATAAGATCTTATCATACAAATATATGTTATTTGAAAGTAGATTGATGTACTTATTGAATCATGTCCGTTTTGCCATCGAAGTTAATAGGAGTATGAGTTTCTGTCTGGTCAATATCATTCCGCATATTTCACCAGTCAATACATTTCAAAAAATTTTAGTTTAGAATAATTTCCTACTTATGACTAATGAAGAATAGGCAAAGCTCTGAAATTTTTCATATCTATATTTGAACAAATTTCTCAATATTCATTAACCATCCTTACTATTATTCATGGTTTAAACAAAAATCAGGAATATATTTTCAGTCAGTCACAATCAATGCCTAAGCTGAGCGCTAACCCCAGTAATTGGTGTACAATAAAACAATCATCTATAATTAACTAGATGCATAGTAGATGAACTAGAAGTAGTAATAATAATAAACAGAAGAAGTTAACGAACGCAACCTATTACAAATGAAATAACAGACTATATATAATTAATTGATTTATCAAAATGCTTTACATATTACTCTATCGATAAATCGAAAAAGCTGTAACATATAAATCCACTCTTAGGTATGTATAGATTACCGTCTTCTTGAACCTTTATAAGAACCCAAATAAATTTTTATAGTATTGAGATTATTCTTGTTTAGGGTTACTGGATTAATGTAATGAATTTTATCACAAGATAACACCGTCTTAAATACAACAACGTCTTATAGCCATAAAAACGACTGAATTTAGTGTAAATGTTCAAGGGTTACTATCTTATATCTAAGTGCTTCTTTTATGTAGTACAGTTTAACTATGTTAAGCTTTATTCAACTATTAAGGGTCGAGGGTTAGAATTTAGGGATAGTGTCAATTCATCTGTTTAATGCAATGTACAAAGACAGAATTCAGTCTTTGCTACGTTTAGCGTTATCAATAATCGTCCACGGAAGTAAAAAAAAAACAATTTTTTGGTTATCATTTTAAATGTATTGAGAATTATACTTAATACTTCTACTGCTCATAATACATACATATTTGACTCAGTCCTGGTTAGTTCAAACCTGTATATCATGATCCAAATTAAGCAGTAAAATTCACGCACACCATTATTAAGATCAAAAGTAATCAATAATATGACACAAAAGAATGAATTTCTCAACTTTTCATCATCATTATTATATTTTTTTTTGAAATTAAATTGATCACTATAAAATAAAATGCTTCTGGCATAGCCACCACATGTTTCCAAAAGGTGTGTGCAAATATTTGAACAAATAAATGATCATGCACGCACAAAAAAACTGATACTATATATATATATATATATATATATGCTAATCATAATTATTATTTGATTATTTCAGTAGTAAACTGACATATAAATTGTAATATTTATCTAATCATTTAATCGCTTAAATTCAATGTGTGTTTTTCTCTGTTTAAAAAAAGAAAAGGTGAAAAGAAAGTGTCTTATAAAAATAATACAGCTAAAAGTTGATAAATTATAAGGATGACAGAAAATTGATACAACTCAACAAAAGAGGATGATATTCTCTATAAACAAAATTCTAATTTAATGACACATGTGAAGTGAAGCTTTTGAGTGTAAACTTAAATAACTTGATCAAGTTATTTTGCGGGTACAAAAAAAAGTATGTATGTTTTAATTTTCGCAACAAAACAACTATGAGACTAATTCATTAAGTTGTATTATGTTTTATGAATTTTAAAGTGATTAATAATTCATTTTTTGATAGTAAATGAAATAAAATTTCATTGCTTTATAATAATAGTATGGTGAAAAATAGTGTTTTCACACGAATTTGGTTTTGTAATTTGTCTAATTTACAGTAGTAGTGGCTAATAACTCTTATCTGCCAACGGAGTTTCACATTCTTTTGATGTGAAATGCACTAGCAGTAACTAACTCAAGGTCAAACTTCTGTTCAATACTTCACAGTGATCACTACCAAATATTAGGAGATATTTTTCAAAGTCGAATATTAGTGGTTGAAATGTTTCATTTGGGTTTTTGAAGATTGATCGTTTGCTAGTCAACTTGTTTTATTTATTGAAGCAAACATTGGGACTGCGAAATATTTTTCTGTCTCTAGTCACTGACTCACTGTTCATATGAGTTCAGATGGGTTAACAAGTTTTCAAAACGATGAAATAACTGAAAAGCCTAAATTCTAAAGATTTTCAAGGATATTTTAAACAATTAAAAAACGAATCTGAATCAAGTGTAATGTGATAAATGAGAATAATTTTGAACATAAAAAATAAATGTTTATGATGTAAGTTTGAGTGATAAATTAACAAGTTAAATATCCATTTAATAGTATTCAACCTATCTATGCACGGTATTGTTTCAAATATATGTACTATTAGAAACGTTGGTGTAAAATATGTAGATTTTAAATTTTAGGCAAATCGACTTTACTAATTAACTTACCTAAATGGACAACCATTCGGTAAAAAATCGCTACATGTAATTCCTGAATTCATATGCCATTTCAATTCATGATTATTGATTGCATTCAATGTACCATTCGATAAAATATCATCCAATGATTCTCCACAATATCCTTCTAATAAATGTACTACAGCATCAGCTTCTTCAGGCGTGGTAAATGTGAAACTGATAAAATCAAGTTGATTATTATTATTATTATTGTTTCCTTTTGCGATTGTTGATTGTTCCATGCTAATTTTCACTTGATAACATTCATTACCTTGAATTTGTACTTTTGTAACGATCACTTGTCGAATACTGACAAAATAAGCCAAATGTCTTGGCTTACATAGGTACAGATGTGTGAATGAATAGAAAAGTTAGTATGTGTTTTAAGCATACATGTATAGAATAATAAATAAAAAGAATTGATAACTGCATAATTGAAACTATAATTTTGCTTCACTCATTACATCTTACAAATCATCCGATGAATATTTTAACTTTCTTGAAGTCTAAGATAATAATCAACCTGTTGACAGTAAGTACTATTCTGATATCTATTTCTAGTAAATCTAATCAGGATACAATTAAATTATTTAGTTTGATAAATTTAATCTGTTATCGACTCTTCAATGCAAGTTTCACAGCTATTGGAAACTAAATGTGAAATGAACTGAATGACAATCTTGCATTTTATTTCTTATTTAGTACCATGAAATTAGGAGCATAATTTTTATTCTTTATCAGAAGTAGTGATTATCCAGCTTATTTCAACAGACAGTATTATGTTATTAATGATTGTCAACAGAAAATCCCGTTTGACTCAGGTTTGATGATAATCGAGACTTTTCAGTAAGAGTTACTTACAGTATTTGTGAAACTGTTGCAGCATTGTCAGTAATCAAATAAGCGGGACAGGCTGTAGGTTTGTAGACTTTCATCGAAGTTAAAAGCAGTAGAAATCGTTCTTCATGAATAAGAATTGACTTAGTTTCTTTGCTTCTTTCTTATAATTTCGTCTCAATAAAAAACTTAGCGGTAGCTAATTTACTTGATTAAACTGATTATTTTTTTGATGTTCAATTAATTTGGTTCAAATAATATTAACTATTTCATTAGTTGGATAATGACTAACCTGATGTCCATTTTCAACGATTATAGATATTTGAAAACGCGGCCCAATAATTAAATCCACTGGTATACCCCAACCAGCCTAGAAATGTAAAAATTTAATCGTGTACAATTACAAGCACATTGTTCAAAAGTTTAAATCAATAATAGAAGCGTTTAATAGATTTTAATTTGAGAATGATAACTTCGTTACCACGATAATTGAACAAAGCAACTTTTGGTGAGATCCTTACCGTATAATTTGACAAAGTTAAGATAAAACGTTTACATATCACAGCGTTAACAATTTTTTGATAAAATTAGCTTTTAAGGTTTCTTATTTCCCTTTCGTTACTTAGTTTTAAGGAATAAAAATCATCAGTCTGTACTGGTAACTGTACATTCTGAATGGATTTCCTCGTTATTACAATTTATTAGCCTATAGAATAAAAGTTAATGGTTTCGAGTCTCACCACTAACATCAGTTAGCCAATAATTCTCAAATAGAACGAGACGCGTGTGTTGAATTCTACTGCTGGTTACAATTCAACTTCATTAAAACTTTGTGCTAATAAACATCCTGAAAATAAAAGTTATCGTCACCGTAATAATAAAAACTAGGTATTTTCAATACTGCAACTAAATTATATCCAATCACAAAAACACTAAAAGATTATGGCTAATACTTAATTAAGTAGGGAATTTAACTACGCCACTTTGGAACATTAAGCAGATCGTCCAAAGTTTGAGTTTCAGATTCCGAGATCAAAGTATTTCCAACTTCTTATGGTAGTTTGCATTTTTCCGTAAGGTATACTTACAATCAGTCAGTATTGAATAAAAAAGTTGGTACATTTGCAGTTTCAAATGAAAAATGCCCAATTAAGATTTGTGGTATGTTCGTGAGATACTGAATTGGAATTCATCTATACATAGATTTAAATGAGATATATAGTATGTTTCTGACAGCCTAGATGTAAGCTTATACTAACCAACTTCAGTTCATGTCAGAGATGCAAGACCTGTTCATGATTGAAAAATGACTATTACTTAGTATTCTACTCACAAAAAACACATTAAAAAAATCTTAAGATCTAATTTGAATAGAACAAAGAATTCTTTTAACTTTGAAGTATTTATCAAAAGTAGATAAGTATATTATTGACTTCAAGTAGTGGTTCGGTTTTACATGTATTGTCTTATGTGAAAAAAAGGTGGATTGCAAATGAATAAATAACAACGTATGTTATTTCTCTGGTTGAGCATTTATTGATAAAATTTGCCGGAAACATGACTACTAACGATGTATGTGATATTTCTAAGCTTGTAAACAGTGTAAAATTCATTTATCACAAATCTTCTTTGTTTATTTTTAACGTAGGCTAATATATGATTGGACGTAATTCATTTTCATAGTCAACAATGTGAAAATGCAAACCGTATATGATATGTTTATATATTATATTAGATACGTTTATGCACAATTTATTTTAAAACAAAAGTTTAAATAACTAAAATATCTGAAAAAAAGTACATTTATTAATTTTTTTTTGGTCATTGAGCAAAACTACTCTGAAATAACAGTTTGAAAATTTTTAACTGTATGTATGTGAATTGCTAGGAATCTATCTGACAAAACACACCAATTTTAACTAAACCTGTTAAATACACACATTTTATACGTATAATTGTTAATATCAAGATAAATAAATTATGAAATTCTGTGCATAACTGTGATTTTTTAGCGCATGTTATTTCCTACTTCTTATAGTTATGTCTAAATTAAAAATTTATCATTAAAAAAACAATGAAGTAAGCCGATACCGAAGTAAGACTGAGTCGGATGTTTCTAAATTACTTTGTTATTAAACGACTTAATAAACGCAAATGACTTTACATTTTAATTTATCGATTCAAATAAAGACGTCAATATGCATACCAGATGTCGGACTAATAACTAGAAAGTAGTAACTTGCAAATATTTTATTTAGGCTTTGGTTTTAATATCTTGGATCAACTAGCCAAGACTGCTATCATCAATCAGGATAGAAGAGAAAACACAGTAATATTATGTATGACATCGAAAAAGAAGGATTGTCATGTTAAATGAAAAGTTAGGCAATAACACTTTCTCAGAGAAATAGTGCCATCTTTCAACCAGTTTTCCTACTGAAGACTACAGAATGACCACCAGTTATTACTGTTTGTGGTGTTGAAAGTATATGACAGAGTTAAACTATAAGATATATTGCATTTCAGTGTGTTTTGTCGACTACACAATGATCAAACGAGTTTTACGCCGGCACAGTGTAAGCCATTTTTACTCTGTATACATTCTTTGAACAAATAACTATGAAACAACGTAGGTAGTACAGTTGAATATGAAATGTATTTAGGATGCATATATTTGAATCCTGATACTACTGAATTGCAGACAACAAGTAAAAGATTCGGAAAATTTATAAAACATTGGACTTTGGTACTACACCGACTCAGGTATTAAGAAGACAACTTATTTTTTGCAAGCATAAAAGGATTTAAACAAGTACATAAACATATACGTAGTACTATGCACACACGTTCAGAGGTGGCAAATAAGTAATTAACAAGAAATAATTTTGCGTAAAGGAATGATATAAATTACTTGTGCGTATACTAAATGGTACCATCAAAATATCATCAATCCAATGTGATGGCAGAAATATCTTTTGATAATTCCGTTTTCAAGTTCTGTTTTAGTTAGGCAATATAGTGTCGTTTACTCTTGGGATATTAAAGAATGTGAGCATTCTTATCAACGTATCAACTCAAGAAACTATTCTTTATACTACTTACGTGACTCTATAAGTGATTCATATAGGAACAAAATAATTTCAAATTACTTATATTTAAACCATTAACTTATTTTTGCAGTGTATAACATAGCAGTATTATGATAATTCTCTGAAGAAGCAACAGATCTCATTTCCAAATATATTTGTTGTTCAGCATGTTTCAAACGTCTTTTTTCTCGATTGATGGAAACGATAAGAGCTGTCACCATTATTTATTTATCAACACCCTAAGTGAAACAATTTTATATCATAGTTTGACATCGAGCACTGATATTTAACCTATTAGGACAAAAGCTGTATAACATCTTAATTGATCATTTATTGGAAAATTAAACCAGAAGAAATAATAAATAATAATGAAAAGTAAGTTAATAAAAGAAAAAAGTCTAGTCATTAGTAAATTTGTAGCCATCTAAATTAAGTATAAGTATTATTTTTATTTAACTCTAATTTTCAGCAATATTTGCAAAGTTCATTTCAAGTTTTCACATAAAGCAAGTCACCATTTGATAAGTAAAAATGATTGTTTCTTCATGTTACATATGCAATTAGTGAATAAAATTTAGAATGGCTCACAAATGAAAATATACGTGCTAGTAAATGATTATTCTGTTGTTACTTTTTAAATAAAAATCGCATCCTTCGATATGATAAAGATATTACTGCATTCAACTAAAGTTGCTGAAAAGATAGTAAAGCTGCTGCTCTTAAAAAGGAGCTACAATATCTGAGTTATTAAAGTTTGTAATAGCGTTGATTTTGTGTTTGATATCTCTTTGTCATAACAAACATGCCAGAAACGTTAAACAATATTACAAGTTATGTAACTAAATGTCCATGGATAATATGAAGCGAATAAGTAAGAAATATTTTTGATGATACACAGAAGTCTTATGTGTGAATTAAAAGAGATAAAGACCTTAAGTAGAAAACACCGTACAAATACTACACCAACCAAAAGTAATTCGTTGAAACTGAGTTTCTAGTTGTGACTGAAAAACTATGTGAACTACATTTGTAGTCTGATTCTGTTGTGAGTTTTGTTTGATTCAACTACTCTAGTTCAAGGTGAATAAATACATGCAGCTTTATCCTGTCAAAAAATAAAATGATAAAAAACGTATGAAACAAAACTTACTCCGAGTCGACATTTAAATATATCGCGATCAAATTGTAGCAGGACAAGGTAACGATTCAATAAGTCCAAAGCACAGTCCTCCTCTGAATAGTGAATTATCTTCGCCAAGTAACTTTGTACAGCTTTTTTAAATGCTTTACCCTAAGTTTAAAAAAATAAACGACACATTAGAAAGTTTCTAAACCAGTTACACCTGTTTTTCTCACAGTTTTCATCTTAACAAGGTTGTCATAAGTTGTCTCAGTAACTTTAAATAATATGCTTATAATGCTAAGCTATTTGCGTAGAAACAAATGAACTGAAAACATATTCGGGAAAAATCAATAGTAAGTTCTAGATCAGTTCACTTGACAAGTAACATTAGGGGTATGAACAGAAGATCTTTAAATGCAAGTACCAAAACCCACAATGCTCGCAAAATGCAGGTCGATCAAACCACCAGTTCTTTAAATTCTGTCTCTTACAAGTCCATTACACTGAAACGGGATCGTTTGTTTGCTTTTAAAAGTCTGTATAAAATGCTCAGGATTAACACCAATGAAAATAATTATCAGCCCGAAAATAAAGGCGTGAAAAACCCTAGATAATTTACCTTGAAGTTTTGAAGAACACATGGTGGAAAAAACGTTGAAACATCTCGCACCTTTTCTACCGCTTCAATTATTTCTTTAACGGATAACTGTGATGAGGTAATGAAGTTCCTGCATGCATAAATAATATATAAACATAAAATCACCTGATATTTAGACATCCTATCTCAAATGCCAATTCAACGTCTTTAATGTTTTGCAACCCAGAATAATATATATTTCTAGTCTCAAGATTGACTTTAATAAAGGTCATAAAAGATATCTACCTGCTGATGCAAATAAAAGAGAGTTGCCCTATCATTTCTCGCTGCCTCTTCAAACTTCGTGGGAAATAAATATATAGTGAGCTGAAGATCTCCATTCCCATACATTTTCTTAACCTCAGAGTACGTCAAATGCCTGCACAAAACGTGATTACAAAGCATGTTTCTGTCGCGAAGGCCTAAAATTCGAAGTCCATAAAGCTGTGGTGAAGCAGAAAGTGAAATAGATTTCATAGCCACCGAGATAATTTCCTTCAAAATTTCGTTTAGGATCAATGATTGAGATATTTACTTGTATCGTTGTTACGGAAGAACATTTCACACTAGTGTAGCCCAGTTCTGTTTGTATTCTGACTATGTCAGTATATTCTGAGATCATTTTTCCTTGGTCAGCTTGTTATTCATAAACACAATGATAGATTAAACATAATGACCTTCATGATTCAACTGGTCCCCATGAAAACACATAAACGCTTCAAAAGCGAGGTACTCCTTTACGTTACATTTATGTTCAGTATCCAATATTTCTTAACTAGCCAGTGTGATTCAAGTGATATTTTGCATTGTCTTCCTGGTGTTTCGGTACGGTTTCGAGTATTTGATAATGTCTAGTGGATAGTATTCTAGCCACTCGAGTGGGCTGGTCCTAATCACTTGGCTGTGTCACGTGATGTGAGTGAATGAGTTTGTTTTAACTAAGCAGGGTTTCTGGACACCAGATCAGGTCTTAGATTATGTAGTCACAATGCCCAGAATTATAAAGAGAAAATTCCATTTCGAAGAAGCAAATAGATGTTCTAGAAAGTGAATGGATAATGTAGGTTAAATAGAGTAGATAGTGTTGGAAGAGCAAAGCCTAGATTTAAAAGGAGAAACAGAAATGGTATTGAGCAAGATAGAATAAGTTAGTGATATCTAATGATGAGTTCGAAAAGTAAGTATCAGTATATGCATCTACAGAGAGCTTCGTGAGGTAAATTGTTATCCGTATATAAATACGTGCTTATGAAGTGTCTTCCCGAAGCAGCCTCCTGAAGGGGCTGTGGTCATCTCAACCAGAATAATATTCTAAGCTGAGACAGCTCTTTTAATGTTTCTGCTCGATCCAGGGTATTTTCACTTTAATGAGCAAAATTTTAGTCCTCAGGGTGGTTTTCTGCACAGAATCGTGCCGCAAAACAAATTTCATTTAACAGAACGTCAGTGAACACCAGGAAGAGTATTATCTCTGAGACGGTTCACTGTGAAAATGTTGATCTTGAGATTCGTCAGCCCATTTCACTCTGTTTACCCTGACGAGAAAATTTGTTTTCCCCCTATTGTATTATATTGGAGCCAATACAGAAATGCATTTATAAAGTCGATATTAGCAAACTTAGATATTTGGCGTACGTGGATTACCGTATCGAATGCTTGCTCAAAGTCAAGGATGTTTGGTCTTAGCAAGTTGTCCAGCTGTCCCATGCTATGCAGTCACTAGTTTTAACTGACAACGAACGAGTTAGGCAATCATCATTGTTCTGTTATTTCTGAAGAGTAAGCTGTGTCGTTTGAATTTCACGACGCCTTTTTCTCTTCTTTCTTATCTTCCCCTCAGTCTTACTTGAAGTAGCAATCTGTAAGGACCAGTCATCTTGATTTTCTGGTTCGATCCCCAGTTCAGATGTTTAGACTGAGTGATTTGTGCCGTAAACATAACTTCGAGATTCACTATCCAGAGCCGTTTCGAGCTTTTTCACGGTGCTGTTGTTTGAGACTAGGATAGGAATTAGACAGTTATATAATATGGGGAGGAAAATACCTGAAGTATAATTTTGGAGAGAGAAGACTAATCATAGTGAATTGAGTAAATATAAAACCAAATACACACCCAAACTTCCGATTTTATCTCTGACCGTCCTAGTGAATTGTAACTTCTGCACAACTCCAGTGAATGAATATGTGTAAGAATCCATCGGTGTGACTAGGAAGAGAACAGTTGATCGAGACTGCTTGACCCACCTCACTGTGGTTCAAGCTTGGTATGATGACGGATGAAATATTTATTGCTTTGGTTGTCTACCGATGAACGAGGACGAATGTATTTTGTTTCATAACTTAGTGATTCAATTGGCGAAAACGCTTGCAAAGATCTTCATGTATTTGTGACCTATTGCTGGGACATATCAGCGACCCATTGTTGTTTTGATTACGATTATAAACCTACAAATCCCCCCAAACTAATTTGGTTTATGTTAACAGCTTATAAGTGATACGAAATGGATTTACTTTTCATTTCAAACTTACTTTTAGTTTCCATTCTAAAATACCCATTGAGATAGTAATATGTTTCTTAAACTAAGTGGACATAAATTTGTTCCGGATGAGGTCTCAGGAAAACATTCAAAACAGTCTTAGGTGATTCTATAGTCAGTCTACGAAGCATTCCTAAAAGAAACCCTGGTTATACACACAACCCACCTTCTCCAGATTACATATGGGAAGACACAAAGTGACTTCCACATTTTATTCACTTCTAGAATATGTAATAATGAAAACACTTAGGACGTAAGCTGTAGGTGAAGTATCATGACTGTACACCGCAACCATTGTCAAGTTTCCGGTGCTAAGGGAAATGAAACTGAGGGGTCACACAATCATACTGAATTTTAAAGCTATTTAAAAGTTAATTTGTATCTCTAATACGAATTAATTCTCTGGTACTCGGAATGTCAGCTTGCTAGAGCCAACAGCTATCATTTGACAGGTCGAAAAACAAGTTTTGAAATCAGAAAAAGGAAGAAGGGAAACAGACGAACATAAATAGACGCACCAACTGGTAAGAAATAAAACTGATGGACTATCAGAGATAACTCATTGAATGAACAGAAGTTACCTAAAATAATAAGTAATAGTACTGAAAAAGAGTAATAAAATGGATACGGAAATAAGTAAAAATCCTCTCCTTTTGAACGTGTATATAGTGTCACCTTTCTAGTCAGACCACGTATACAATGATTATTATTAAATCGCCCCATACTGACACGTTCTGACCTATTATTTAGATAATCATAACCTCAGCTGGGTATTCAGTCTTTTATTACTGATTTGTCGATAACAGCTCTGTTGTAATTTGAAGTGAATCGACATTTTTAATACGTTTCACACTATCTGTTCTACTGTAATATGCAGTACAAACTCATTTAGCAAAGTTGGTTCCCTTTGATTTACCTCTTACTACTCAGAAACTCACTGTTGTACTTGCAGTAAGAGATTCATAAGCCTACTAATTGGAACGGAGACCAATATTATTGTTGGTTTTTAGATTTAGGTGGATGTACGACTAAGACTTTTTCAGATAAGCTCAGGGATTAACAGGCCTAGTTGTTTTTAAACTACACGGACAGTAATGCAGAGTATAACTTATTCCAGTTGCTTCTGATTATTAGACTGTCCGTATTCAATAAATTCAGGTCAGTCTCCGTTGAAATTCTTGAGACAATCACTAGTAAGATAATGAATGGGCAAATAGTCTTGTGAATAGAGGAAATTCACAAGAGCTAAACTGTTAGAAATAACGTTGATTTACATAATGTAGTAATGAAAGAATAGTGATCAGATGTTTTCGTGACATTTCGTAAAACACTCGTTTTTTATTGCTGTAGCTCAAGGAGTCACGAGTGATAATAACTGCCCAGATCTGCTTGTAATAGGATTTCACGGTTGAAAAAAGAATAAGTTAAAGGTTACAAACGTGAGCAGTAGACGTGGTTGGCTTTGTATAATAACATCAATATCACTGGCCAGTTACATACTGTTATATTGCAAGGAGCCGTAAGCAAACAAAATATTCTGCAGCACAAATAGGTGGATTGTGGTCATCGCTTACAAGGTAGTTTCTTCCAGCACAACCTAAAACATAGACGTTTGCCCAGTTTTCGTCTATTAAAATACCTTTTCACACGAAATGCCGTTTAAGAAGTCATACTGCGTTTCGTAGTTGATGTTCTGATTCAAAAACGTTACTACTGATTATTTCCAAGCAAGTGTAGAGTAAAGAAAATAATAATACGAATCTACCACCCCTATCATCCAGAAGAAAGTAGTATCATTACTTAAATGTTTACTAGCAACTATATATCTTTCATACACTCGTTTTCCAGACGCCTAGAGTTTACGATATTCCAAACATTATTATTTATCAGGTGATCAATAAGACTTTAGTCAGCGAGTGTTTAACCTAAATGCTACTCGTCACTGCAATTCCTTCTGTGAACGCATCTAGAAGAATTTTGCATGAACTGAGAGACTCCAACTCAAAGTCTAATTGGCTTTCAAGGTTTCTTTCACTTAACTCATTCACGGGAAGACTGAAAATTCATGGAAACACGTACTGGAAAGTCTGACAGAATTTTAAATTCCTTCTTCAAACAAAAAACATTTGGAATCGAAGTAGTACTGCGTACATTCGTACTTAAGACCTGGTTAGATGTCAGGATGCCGATAACAATGAGCTTTGTCAAACAAACAGCGAATAACAGTTAATCAACTCTTCAGCCTCCGTATCCGTACAAACGTCCTAAAAGTATGTGTACAATTCGCACAATTAGAAGAGTATGTCAGCGGCGGTACTGCAGAACTGAATAATATGGACATTTCAACCACACGTAAACATAAACTACCCTCCTGCAAAAAAATGCTGTTCTAGTCCATCATAAACATGTCATAACCATTTACTACAACCCTTATAGTATTCAAGGCTTCCAAATACCGTTGAAATGTGACTTAGATAACGTTCTGCGAAAATGCGTCTTTAGTGATAGAGTGCTTTTATTCAATCAGTCCATAAATGTATAATTTGATTAAATAGCACCAGGAAGAAATATATGACCGATTCCCCCCCCCCGGTTGAGTTTGACTTCAAGATTAGTATCTGGTTGTCGAATTTACATTCCCACTGCATAATTTTCGACATGTATTAAAGAACTAAACTCCTTTATATCTATCTTAAACTAATTCAGATGTGTATATACGACCTAGCAGTATGTAAAAGTTTTTAACCCGTCAGATGCAAATTAGTCAGGGAATAATCTCATATATTTACTGCAGAACTGTTCGCAACACTTCTCTTAACCTGTATGCTGGCTCAAATCGAAAACTACAAGGTTATACTATCCAATTTACAAAACAAATAGATGAACCTTTAGGAGTTATGGAATCAGAGGCTTGAGGCATAGCTCATGGAAGCGTCGATTGAGGGTTCAAATATGCACATATGGGCGAACTTTTCACGGCATTCGCCTTAAGTTTCCCAAATCAATCCAAAAGCTTAGTCCCATCGGAGAATTATAATGATGATTTCAATGGGAGTCATCACAGACACCCGCTTCTAAAATACAAACGCTCAAACACTATTTCATTCTTCTCCTTAAACTGTATGTGTTCCATACAGATATCTCTCCTGCTGCAATAGATTTGCTCGAGGGCCATGTTAAGACACATGAACTGAGCTTTGAAGCCATCATCATTTAATTATTTTGGTTTAACAAGAGATGTAAAACGGGCGAAAACCATAAAAATAAATCCCATAAAATATGCTGTTCGTATCACTAAAGCTAGGCTTTAAAAAAACCCCAACGAATCAACTAACAAATGTCACTACATGTATTCAAAGCTTTGTGATGATTCTGTCCGTAACAACTTTAATATCCAAAATCCCAAACGTGATCAGATCAGAAGACAGAAAAGGAGAATTTCAAAGACATACATTGAACATAGTTGGCTTGTGGAAATGTCTGGTCTGAGCTGGCTAGTTGTTGTGAAGGATGTGTAGCGAAGCACATATGAATATTTTGAATGTGACAGCTGCGGAAAAAATATTGTGGTCAGCATCAGTGTAGAAGAACTATAAAATGTTTTTTCGGGGTTTATTCATGCGACTGGTCAATTAGTCCGAAATGATAAATTTGATATTTTATGCCAGCTCGTGACTAAGATAATAATTTACCTTTAGACCTTTTCCTCCAAATTATGAAATTCTTTACTGTGAGCTTAACTTGCTACAGTTTCACACTGTCCGACCTGAGGAAGTTTTGTAATCCACTATGCGATTACAAACTCGATAAGTAACTTCTTCGGTGGTAGAAAGAATCAAGTATGGATGAACGGCGCATTGTCAACATGGGGATCTGAGAAAATTACTGTTCCCTAATTAAAGACTTTTACTCTCCTCTATACTTATTTTACGAATGATTTGCCAACTGGAGACCTATACAGTGTATTTCGGACAAGGGAATTTTACAGGAGGTCCTAAATTCACTGATTTAAAGCGAGCACCAGAAGCCTTTGTGATTATACCCTAATAAAAATGAAGTGATGCATGTGAATGACTGTGACGAATTACGCAATAGTACTATCTGAGGTTATAGATGATCGCATTAGGCAAAAGCCTTAGAACTGAGAGTTGTATAGCTTCCTCTGGCGAAGACTTCAGGGTAATATGAGCTATTCGCAAGTCAGTTGATTACTACTTGAATGAAGAAACGTTCAAGCTAAAGTACCCGACATTTATGGGGTCACATTAAAAAAATGACTCAGGCAGCAAGTCTTCTTTAAAGAGGGATGCGGATTTGTTAGAACGAACTAACGTATTTTAGAAAGACAGACTGAGACGCCTAAACTTGATTCGGTAATCTTACGATGTTACTTAACACTGACAAACCGTATATCGGACAACCATCTTGGTGTCAGTATATCTAATCTATCCCCTGTATCTAGGATTGATAATCTGAGAGTGCATTCTACGAAATTCGAGAACCGAGATAAATAAATTATTATTATTATTATTATTATTATTAAATCGCTTACGTCTGCAGTTTTGGGGGTTCGTCTCAAAATCATATATGCGTGACACACCTACAGTTCCATTCCTCAGATCAAGTAGTGGATGAGTGAAATTCTTTTTCGGAATACTTGGTATCAGAACCCTCTGATTACGCATTTAAAATGAGTTTGGATCACTGACGTACTATGAATTGAAAGAATTAATATTGGTCGATATACGGATATAAAATTTGTCTTTGTTCAATAACTGACGAACAAAATCATTTGAAGTCAGAACTACTGTGCGATAGGTCTAGCTGTCTCGATCAGCTGCTCTCTTCCTAGTTTCTTCAGCAGCATACACTCATTCATTCACTCGCAAACACATGACTGTTGGGCAAGTTACTGGATCCACGCCAAGTTGCTTAGTAGAACGGATAAAGCTAAAGTTACAATTTCGGAGTACTTTCAGGTTCCGTTGTTTCGCAATTATACTTACACAATACTAAATTTTCCTTTCCGAAACTCCTATTTCGCATATCTTGCTCTCTCAATTATCTCGTTCTTCTCTTCTAAATCCCTCACATATCATATTCAGTAATAGGGTGGCAGGCACATCTTACATTATCACAACCGGGAAAACCTAGAGAGGTATGAACCCCGTCGTCAATAGTGGGTGGAAAATCCCAGTCTCGAGCGACAGGGTTGTGAAAAAACTCAAACAGTCAGATGAAAGCATTCCTCAGGGTACTGTTCATAGTTTGTATCACTTAACTCAAACAACACTAAGTCTCAAATAGAGGAACCGAATCATTACTCTGCCGAATCCTGTTACTAAAAAGACCAGTAGGCTAAATAAGAACAGTAGAAAAAGGCATCCTAAGGTTCAGAGGTCGTACAAAAATCGCATAAGGATGACTGTATCACCTGCTAAATGCCAGTCAAAATCAGCGACTCCACTTTCGAATGCAATGTCTGCAGTAGAAATGTCGATTGTCACTGTGACACTACAGTACCTATGAGTTCATGTGGAGTCACCCCTGCCCGTGGTCCTGGTTTAGCTGTCCGTTGTGCATAGGAGGCACTGGAGAAGCCACAGGCTCTACCCAAAATCAGGTCGAAAGTCCCAACGGACAAACCGAAATCACCTGGCACTAAACTAGTGAAACAGGCGGCGAATGAAGCCGAAACTCGAACCAAAACACTGACGAAACAGCCAGATGTCGGCAATGCCCCAGTGTTTGTTAACAACACAAAACAGTGGATGCTTTTGGAGAAGGGGAATGGCAATTGCTCAACTCTCAAATGGCTAACACTCCGGGACAGTGGACTAAATTCACTTTATTTTTTTCACCTTATTTATTATTCCAGTGTCGGAAGGTAACTTACTAGAGGCTAGGGACGCCTTTTATAAAGAACAGTGGGATAAATACTGCACAATCCTGGGAACGTGCAATATCCCGAAAAAATATGTTACCTTTTCAAAGGCCAAAATGTCTCAAAAGGGAAACCCGCTCCAATGAGGGTAGAACAAGACTCGGTAAAACATGCCGAAGACATCCTTCTCTCATCCCGGAGACCATTAGTTATATTGTTCCCCCCCCCCGATCCTCTTTAGGCACGATAAATCTTGGCCAGTACGAGCGGTAGCCAGGATACCATCAGGCACCCTGGTGCAGACCACTGTGTAAGTGCATGGTCTACCCGAACTGAATGTTGGTAGCTAGGATGAAGCTCACCTGCACGACAGCTAACATGTAGCCTGTGCTTTCCCACCACGATGGCTTTTAGCATTTCTCGGCTGCCTCGCTCGTCACACCTCAAGTCCATTTAGTCAACACGTCTGATGGCTGTGGAATTCAGGATTCGAGAAGACCTAATTGAGGCGCTTCAGGCTTCGTACGGTTCGAAGAACGATCTCTCTCTCCAGACTGGATGTTATGAAAGCCGATTTAGATCTGTGAGATAACAACAGGGAGGAAAAAATAAGCTGACGAATGACTAATGATCTTGATCACCAAACCAAGGGGCAAGAAACGAAGATAATGGTCCCGCCGACTGAATTCACTGCATAGGCAAAAATTTTGCAGAGACCAGATCCCACAAAACAGGTTAACCCAGTTTAAACAACTTGTTTTAAAATCGAACAACGGCTGTTGCTGCACTGGTGCACCAGGTGATGAACCAAACCATCAACTGCCTATACAGCAACGTAAAAGGACTAAGGGGTAAGCTATTAGAAATCGGGAAAATGTGCTCTCAGATGGGTCTAAAGACCACAATCCTAAACGAAACACGGCTAACCTTCAAGATTACAGACAACGAAGTTATCTTGCAAGGTATGACACTATGCAGATGTGATATGGTACACCAGAACGGAGGCGAAGTTGCCATGTATATTACCAGATATTTAAAAGCCGAAAGACTAGATGGTACTCAACTAACCGACCTGACAGATCCATGTTGGAGTATTTTCCACATAAATAGCATGAAAAACTTGATTGGAGGGATTTACCTACAACCCTCAGGCACTAAGGCCCAGAATAAAAAATGACTGAGTCAATAATGTAAATTCCACTACTCGATTTTGGTCGAATACTCTTAGCTGGCGATTTCAAAACCCCGTCTCTAAATCTCAGCAATCAAGGTACAACCTCCTCTGGTTTGTTCCAAAGGCGACTTGGCACAGCCATTAGAAGCTCTGGGCTTACTGAGCATGTTGCAGTGCCACTAGATTGAATAAGGATGGAAAATCCTCAAACCTGGATTAGTTGTTGAAAATTAAAGCTCCTACTCGAGGATGTTCACGTCCGTACACCAATAGGAAGTAGTAGTGTTTAATATGGTCATAAACCAAACAGGCAGGATGAAAACGAGCCCTATCTTTGCTACACCAGGGCAAATTACGAGAGCTTAAGAGGAAACCTTCGACATGCTGCATGGCCAAGAGATTGGCGCAGGCTGACAGTAGACGAACATTGGCAAACAGTGAAAGATATCAACCAGAATGCTGTCGTAGACAACTGAACGCTTGCTACAGGCGAAGAGGCGAACATGGCACGATTGGAGGGTATCCTAGAAGGATTCCGATCGTATTTCTTACTTCATATTGAGAAAAAGGGGGTTTAGTAATGCGATTTATGCAGGTATCCAGAAACCCTACTGCCCCGAAACAAACGAATTCATTCAAATCACGAACATACAAACTCAGAAACCCCTGCCAACTGACTAGAATTAGACAGTCAAGTGGCTAGACCCCAATTAATTGGATACTACCGAACAACTGGAACCGTACCAAAAGTTTAGGAATCGAACGCAAATAAATCAATTGGTGTTTACCAGTTCGTGAAAAAGGTTCCGGATATATTGAACTGACATTACAAAGGACATAGGGAGCTACGCTAGGTCATTATCAAGGCGCGATTTTGACTTTCATGAAGTCGCTACTGAAAAAAGCATTAAGCCAAGTTGTTATTGTACCGGCTTTGCCTGAATCCCGGAAACATGAGGTAAAACTTTATGATGTTTGACGTAGTTCTCAGGTACGGACTAAGTCTAGCAAGAAAAACCAAAGTCGGGGTCAGCTAAGACGTCTTCGTAATGAACTGTACCGTAAGCATCATTCCAAAAAAGTCACTTGGAAAATCCTTTCAAGCAAGGACGGTATGTTATCTTTTTTCTGGACTATAAACTCATAACCTACTGTGTTCTGTCAATAATAGTTGTTTAGATACTTATGAATGTATTTAACTTAGTGCTTTAATAATTATTTTCGTTACACTTACATATGCAATAGCTCCTCCATCGTATCCTCGTGTTTGGTAGACAAAATATTGTCTCACATTTAACATACAGTGGATGGTGCATTTCAAAATACGGTTAGGATTTTAAGTAGTTATACTATAAAGCACACATTGAGAATATATTACAGTCGTTCTTTCTTACGCTGCTCTCCAATTAACTGGGAGGTGTAAAAAAGTATGTGAAAGCCACTTCGCTATGCGTATGTTGATTCTGTCAGTATAGTACCCTTAAGTATGATTTGGTATTTTAACCGAAAATATTTTCCACATAAGGTTAGGGGCAGCCAGACCAAAACATGACAGAAATCCTTGAAGTCACTGACAAATGGACTGAGTCATGTTGGTAGATGTAGACTACCTGGTTGTGGTCCGCGAGACGAAAGTCACCAATGGTTAGAGACCTTGAACGACATGGCTCAAAATCGTTTGCAATGGCGCATGTGCATCCATTCGTTGAGCTGTCTCAAATCTTAATCTTCTGGAATCGTCAGCAACTCTGTCTTTGTATTTCTAACCTTATCTCACTGAATTATACTTCTTGAGCAGTATCTTCAAACCCTAGTCTTCTTCGTTACCATTAATACCTCTACTACTTCTCTCACTATGGATTTGATTTGACTTTTGCGTCTCTGTGTTAATGTGGTATGGCAACCTGAGCTTATGTATACACGTACGAAGTTCTACTTTGCAACTGACTGACTGATTTTCCGCATAGGAATGCACGAATAACTCAAATAACAGTTATGTTTAGTGAAAATGCTAACAAGATGCAGTCTGCTGAACATCCTTGGTGAAAATGCAGAACTATGTTTTAGTGTTGCTTGGAGGTTGTTATTTTTCGATTCGACGTTAGAAAGCGGAATAATTTAATGTGTTTACAATACTTAGGGCTCATCAACCTCAATAGGTCAGTGGTATACACATCCCCAGCGTTCAAATTTCGCCAAACTCGATCTTCTTTAAGACATTTAATATCCGTTGATTTGTCAAGGTGCAACTTTACAGCATTGAAGTCCGCGTTATTTCATATTTTAACGAGCTTAGTTTACCACAAAACGGCCACACTTCGAGGCATCTATTGGAACAGGTTTGTAATGCCTTAGTCAGGTGTGAGATGGCTGTGTCATTTACAACTCTACAGCGGCAGATGTAGTCAAAGTTTTACATATACCTAGTCTTCCTAGTGTAGTGATGGTTGGTGTGAGAGCAAAGCCAAGAACAATAAAACCATAATTTGTTCACTTAAAGGGTTTCAACTACTAAGTTGTGGTATAGTGGTCCATGCATTAACCGACTTGGCAGTCTAGTGGTCAAACTTCGCTGTCTCAGCCGAAGTTAACACTGCGTAACTCCTCATGTGAAGCTATCAATATGTCCCCAGCCTGCAGGGCCTTTAAAATGGATACCAAAGCCGTCACATTATAAAACAACATTGTAGGCAGTTACATGTATCCTATCTCAGAATACCTTCTCTTTGTTGTTGATGTGCTCGCGGTATCAGTGTTTTCACTCATCACACCACCCACCATTGTCTTCTTGAAAACAAATGGGCCTTCAACAATTACTTCCGTTGTTATGAACCATCCCTGAGCAAAAATCCCTTGATTAAAGTAGGGAGCTAGTTTTTAATGAGCTAACACGAACGAAATTCGAATGTCTGTGGAGTAGAAATATGACTATCCCCTTCAAATACTGTGGAATGTAACTATCCTAGGCAAAAAATGAATGCAACATCCAAATCCGGGATGTTAGATATATAATTCCCAGTAGATCAACTTAGTACACCTATAACTAGTAACTGACAACACGTGAAAAGCTAAAAATGGTAGGGACGCCTAGAAAACTCAAACATCCTCACCCTTCACAAAGTGGTTTTCGTTAGTTGAGAAAGTACAGAACTAAATCAATTGTAAGTTGAAACAAGATAGTTCGTACTCATTCAGAACTAGCATATGCAAGCATTTATCTGAGTTAATTTCCTAGGTGTTCATACTGTTTCATCAAGAATATAGCAGTCTTATTAATTACTTGGTAACCAACGTATTGTCTTTTACGCGTGTACTCGAATAATTTGAGGTAAATACCCTAAACTCTGTGTATTGTACAAGCTTTTGCTGGTATAGGCCATGTTCAAGGTACACTTATTCCCTTTGTTTTTCTACAGATCATCAGTCTAAACCTGACAAACGCAATTCTGCTAAACCTGAAAGAACCAGCAAGGCTGATCCTGAACTGATAAGACTTGCCAAACAAATCAACCAAAGTAGGCGTGAAGTTTTCGGCGCAACGTCCAGTAGAGTGATAAGTAAAAGAACCGAGAGTGTTCTCTTTAACAAAGATTATGCCAATTTTAAGGATGATCTAAAAACTCTTATATGCTCATAATTTGCACTACGCAGTCATGATTTACCATATTAACTTTTTCTAAAATGTACAGATGTATAGCTGCCAGCTAGTAGAATGATAAAACGTAGTTGTATAAAAATTTATTTTTGCTGGTATGAGTAAATGTGAAAAATCAATGTATATAAAAATAATTTTCTTATTGGTTTTTGTGACGGGATATTATTTTAAATATTCGATATGTTGATAGAAATAGGGCAAAGCCCACTGGTACGAAAAGCGGTGTATAAATACCATATTTCTGATCATCCTACGAAAATAAAATGTAATTATTAAGTAGACAGGTAAATTGATGCAAACAAAATATTAGAAAACTTCTTCATGTGATAATCACCTATACTGCACTCTGCTTAGATTATTTCGTAAATCGCAGTAGATCCCTAAATGTGTGATTTTCGACGATGTTCGGGATTTCCAAACAAGAGTAGAACCACGCCCGCATAGCAAAATCTTATTTAGCTCATGCTAGTTTATCGCCTGTAATGGTATGTTCTGGGGAGAAATAAGAAAGCTTTGGCGCTGAGTTAGGCTAAAAAGTCTTTGAATTTCGTGGCTACGACCTAAAGTAGATTAAATCTATCATTCGTAAATAAATAATTAAGTTAGTTATATTATACCAGTTATACTAGAAACCCTATACAACATACAGTATACGAATTATGCATTTACACACTTGCTAAAAACGTACATTTCTATTTTAAAGAATTACTCCCCATAAAATGACGTTTTCTCCTAGAAGATGATATATTATTCACAACACTAAAATGGAAATTCGGTCTAGTATTATTCAATGCAATTAATAAAGTAAAGCAGCGGGTTGCACTAAATTTAATAGGCGATTTTAAGCTATCTGATAAGGTAAGTACTCCATAATAATCATACCGTTAGAGATAAATCGACATTTCTTTATCAACTTTTTTAAACGAAGATAGTAGTAAAAAGTCCACTCACCTCGAAATATAGAAGACCAAGAAGACTATGGTCGAAAAATGCACCATTTGAAGAACTTAAAGCATTGTGTGCATATTGGAATGTAACACCAAAGGAGCACATAGTCTTACTATGTGACGACTCGTTTATTACATCAGGATTTCTGAGACTATCAAGAGTTAATGACCAATTTGAACATGATTGATATACTTTATGAGCAACATCATCTCGTATGATCATATTTGGGAGACGTTGTAGTAAGTTTACTAACGATTCTATAGTTCGTTTCGTCTCAGTAAGACATTCAACAGTGCTTCGAAGAAACCACGAATTTAGCTTTTAACAAACAAAATAAAAAGACTAATAAACTCACTAGTAAACCCTAAGAAACTTATAAGATTTTAGGAAGTATTATTAAGTGAACATGTACATTGTGTTAAATAGAGAAATAGTACCAGGTGAAAATTACTGAAATGTACGTATGTATAATAACGAAACAGCCGAAACGAGCTTTTAAAATCTGTGATTGTACATGTAGATTATTATAAGAAGCATAAGTTTGTTGCAAATATTATGACTTTCCCCACAATTACACCAACAATCGAGTAAAATAGACTTGCTGAACGACTTACAGATTTCAGTTTCTTAAGTCTACATGGATTCAAAGAAATAAGTAGTCGGACTACTTATTCATTTTGGTGTGTAAGAATATTCCCTTATAAGGATTTGACTTGGAAAGTGTGTTATTTATATACACGAAGGATTTTGAGTTGCACCGAGGTTCGGGAGTGGAATTTAGTTTGTTAGTGTGTGATGAAGGTGATTGACTTCCTGTCTAGACACTTGATGAGTTTAGTTAGTTTATGACCACGGATTATACAAACAGAAAACGTAAGCTCTTTTACGAGTAATGTTTGGTCGAACGTAGTTCACAGTCGACTTGGTTTACAATACAAATAAGTAGATTAACCATTCACTGTAAAGTAGAAGAGACGCTTCCTAAACCAAATAGTGCGAAAATTAAAAAAAAAACTGTTAAACCAGTAATTTTTAGCTTTTCAGCCTGTCTACGCTAAATGAACTGATTTAGATGATACTTCGCCAACATAGTGTTTTAAAGATACATATCTAAATCAAAAAACTAACCTCCCAATTCGTTGTTTTACCATTTAAGTCCATGTTAGATTGAATATGATAAGCTTGACTATTATCTACACCCCGATCGAAATTCATCTCTTTGATTTGTGGAAAACCTAATATTGAACGTATTACATAAATCATTTTTTGTGCAATCATATTTGTTGATCCAGTTCTTGTCATGCAATCAGAAGCATCAATGGAAAACAGACCACCCCACTGAGGTACAAGCGCATAGTCGCTTATTACCATAGCTGATGATGATGATGATATGTGAAATCTCAAAGGTAAGGGACAATCAGCCACGGTTGAATTATTCCTTCTAAAAGTGTTTAATAACAAAATAAGGTGTAAACCTGGGTTGGAGTGAGCCACATCGCGATTATCTGCATAAGCTGTTTGGGGAGGTCCCAGAAATGATTCCAAATAATTGATAAGATTGGATATATCATCCTGAGAGTAAAATGTATGGTTTCCGGTTTTCGATAGTCGACTAGAAAGCGAATGAAGTAAAAGAAAAAACAAAAAGAGTAAGACCTATGGTATAATAAAATCAAGAAGGTAATCCTTACAAAACGAAGTGAAAAAGAGATCATTTTGAAACACATCGTAAAGGTATGATTTATTAAGTGCGGATTAAAAATTCAGTCGAAAAAAAGATCTTGTGGTTTCAGTCCGATTAGGTGCCTAAATCGAAAAGTAAATACTTTTTCCCCAAACCTTAACAAATCTCATTCGTATCATTACGCTGTTCTAATTTTTATCTTCACAAAGGCCTCCATCTCATCAGTATTTAAATTTCGCACCTGGTTCTGTCTTCCAAAAAAACCCAGGTTCAATATAATACATTAGTGTCCATGCAGTGTGTTATCGGTCTCTGGCCCTGATTAGAGTACGTACCGACCTGAAAAACGCTACAAACGCGTGTGAAAGCAATTCGAAAGAAAGAGGACTCTTCTGCTTTTGACCATGTTATGGCTATTATTCTGCGTACTGTTCGAAATGTCGAACTTCAACTGGATCCTTGGTCGTCGATGTACTCCAGCTAATTATTATGAAAGACTGTCAACTGTTCAGGATATCCGAAGATAGCGTGGACAAATAGATGTGGAGCAGAAGAGTTGACATTCGTCATCCACAGGAAGATTCGGTGTTTAGCTTTAGTCTTTGTTTACCAACTACTGTTCAAATCACAATAAGGATAATATAAAAAATGCCAAACGTCCATAAGATTTTCTTTTGTCATATTAGACTCAGCTTTGTAAAAGGGACCGATCGTTCATACAAACTTACCGTGGCGGATGAGGCTTATATATTAACCAAGAGCCTAAGTCCAATCAATGAAGATTTTAACTGAATTTATCATCAAGCTCGAAATAATGGAGTTTCTTGGATACATGTTCTGTCAAATGATAGACATACAACCACTTATCAAGCAGCTACAAGATTTTGATATAATGCAACGTACGGTATAGGTAATCTGCGCACACCTATCAGTTGCACTGTAAAGAAAAGTCTGGATTAAATAATAAACGAGTTATCATCATAAAATCATGTTTAAAATAGAATTATCTAATATATGAGATTTTATCGGCAAATAGTCCGTTTCCGAAAAAGTCATCTAACATAAAATGATACTTACCTTTTTTTAAACAGCTCAACATTAACTCCATAAAGCCTCTGTGAATAGAAATCCACTTGGACAAAAGGTGACCAATGTTTGAAAGCTGATCCTACATGTGCTTCTAACCATGGTATAGGATTAACCAGCATTTCATTGGTCCAATCTGATATTTCATTAGATTCTTTTACTAATTGTGAAACAGAACCGTCGAGTGTGAGTACTGTAACAGTTACATCGTATACACTAGATACAGACAATGATTCATCTATAATTTTTGAGACTCCATTGTGCTGATCACGTGAAAATTTCACAGGATTATCGTATTTTCGTACAAGTTTCTAAATAGAATTTCGAAATCAAATATTTCAATACGAGTCCATTTACAGAACAGCACATAGTTTATTAAATTTAACAAACAGAAATCACCAAATAATACTTTTGAATAATCACTATTCCATAACAACCTTCTTAAACGATACAAAGATTATTATAAAAAAAGAATTAGGTTTAAAACATACTATACCACAGAAAAATCAATTAGCTAAAATCTTGGGTTATATAAATTGAAACTTCATTACAGTGCGCAGTCGTCGGTATCAACATTCACTTGACTATTACTCCACATGGCGAGAACATGAAGACGTGAGAAGCAAGGAATACGGCTTATATCATAGTATAGAAAAGCTGTATATAATCGTTATAATAGAGTTTTCCATCTATTTAAAATTTGACTTAGAAAATTATTACTACTTTAATTACACTTTATATGGACCTTGTGGCATTTATAGTAGTAGTAAATGAATATAACTCTCCATGAAGGAATACATAGCGTCCGTGTATCGGTAAATAATACTTTCATAAGAGGCCACAGTGATAAATACATCTCACTTCAAATTTTAAGAAATCGTCAACAATGTTTCAAACAGTCGACAAATTCTTGCAGTCATACTTGACTCAAGGTTAGCTGGGTATGTATACGGTTGAAAGCGATTAGGTATATTATGCAAATTCCTTGTAAAAAAGCTTGATATAACGGTAGTATGTCCTGGGCCATTAATTCTACCCAACTAAGTTTAGAAATATTTTCTTCAGATGAGATAGTTACCCACCGAGGACAATAGGTGATAGTCGTGCAATATTGTGGGTTCATTGGAGTCAGAAATTAACACCGTTGGATACTGGCTCAGTGGTCAAGAGACTATGCGTTCATGCGCACGACCGAAGGTCCAGGCTTCGATTTCCAGTGGCGGGGTCGTAAATGCGCACCGCTGATGATTCCCATACTATGCCGAAACAGTCGTCCAGTGGTTTCGAATTTCCGACGGTGGTCTAATATTGACCAATTCATGATTTCAATCAAACAAATGACCTCATTATTTTATATAAGCATACAAACATTGTTAAAAACGGGCACCTACACATTCATGTGCCACATATCGAATTTGTGGGTGGACTTGGATGCTGTCTAGACAACCAAATCCAATCATGTGGTCTTATTAAGAGGTCATGATCTTAGTCTTTGATCTAGTAGACTAATCTACAAGGCAGTGAAGCAACGTAAGGAGATGCAGGCGCACTGTAGTCAATAACAAATAATAAGTTCAAATGCCATCGGTCGTATCAGGACCTTGAAGCCTATGTGCACCCTTGGTTTGAAATCAGTGAGAGCGGACTCTCGGTCGTACTAGGGCATTTAGGGGCTAAATCACTAAGCGCTGAACAGTTGATCTGTCTTAGTATGTAACTCCTCGGCAAGGCATATTCACGACCTCACCACCAGGAATGAAATTCAGGACCTTTAGCTCTCACGGGTGTCATTTAACCTTTAGACCAAAAAAGGCACCCAATAAATTCAATGTCTAAATCCAGTCAACTCGCAGTTTTCCCCAACCAACTTTCAATGTCGCTGGTGGATAACCGCTATATGCGCAACACAGTTGAACCCAACTATATAGTGTAATCCTTGTATATAACCCCATTACGGAGCAAAGATATGATTCGAGAAGTATAATTCAGCGAGATAACTTTAGAAAGATAGAGATTATGAGAAATTCAGGTTAGAATTAAAATGCACACAAACAGTGGATGCGCCTGCGCCATTGCAAACGATTCTGAGGCATGTCGTTCAAGGTCTCTAGCCATCGATTATTATCATCTCGCGGACCCCAACCAGGTAGTCGAAAATTACCGACATGGCTAAATCCACTTGTCAGTGACTTCGTGGATTTCTGCCCTGTTTTAGTTTGGCCGCCATTAACTTTCTTCCAACCTACTCCTACACCACAAAACAAAGCTCGTCGAGGCAGTCGTCGGTCGTGCATTCGTAACACATCTCCCAATCACCTAAACTGCTGAAGTTTCAATACTTCATCTATTGAACTGCCATCCTTACCCAGTACTCGTTTCCTAACGATTGCACTGCTTACCCGATTGTTCCAGAATAAACGAACAATGCATCAAAAACAACTATGATCGAATACTAATAACCTACGAATGTTCTCTACTCTGACCAGCCATGTTTCGCATCCATATAGTAGGACGTAGCGATAGAGCGCAACAGACTCGTCTTTTTGTTAGCCGACGCCATAAGTGATGCAGGTTGGCGAAAGACAATCGAGTTTTCTGTATCCGTGCTGAGATTTCGTCAGTCACCAGGCCATCAGCACTGACGAGACTCCTCAGACAAGTGAAGCGGTCAACACGCTCAACTACTTCACTTCCTATCACTAGTTCAGGTGCCGATGAAACCCAATCTTGAGGCAACATTTTGCATTTCGAGGGTGAGGACCGCATCCCGAACATGCTTGCCTTGTTGCTGAGGGTAGTCAGAAGACTCTGCAATTTCACAGCATCTTCACCAAATAGGACTGTGTTATCTGCGTATTCTAAGTCAACAAGCGTGTCTCCTGGTAAAAGGTCCACTCCTGAAGAGTCGGACGATGATAATTTTAACTCTAAAAGCATTTTAAAGGACAAAGTTAAACAAGAATAGGGAAAGTTGACGTCCCTGACGCACAACACTTGAAGTAAAGAATACCGATGACAGTTCGCCATAAGCTCTTACTCGACCAGTGGTGTTGGTACACCTTTTAATGACAGACACTGCCACAGAACCTCACAATCAAAAGAGTCAAATGCCTCTTTAAGGTTGGGAAATACTACTGTTGTGGGGCGTATGAACGTGTGTCTTTGTTCTAGGACCTGACGTAGAGTGCATATTCGGTCTATGCATCCACGTCCATCCATCCACCATCCTTTTCCAAAATAGTCTCACTCACATTTGGGTTCTTAGTAACAGTTTCCTTGATGAGTCCTAATAGTTGCCTACTGTTGCCGATCGCCGCTGCCTTTTCCATCGCTTTTGCTTTCGCCACCCACCACCGTTCGCGATCGTTACGTAGGCTTTTTATAAGTCTGCGCCTAAGTTGACTTCGTTCTTCATCATGTTCAGAGCCAGGTGAGATGAGTTTTCGGGCATACATCAGATCGGTGGATGCTACTGAGATCCACGGCTTCATTCTAGCCTTATGGTCAACCTTACTTGCAGATATCACTGCTGTTTCCACAGGCTTTTTGATATCATTCCATCCTGCTTCCGGATGGGAATCACTTAAATGGTTGCCTAACTGTCTTTTTAGTTGTTCCTGAAATATATTCTTCGCCTTATTATCATTAAGTAAAACCCTAAGAGGATTCCTGACGGCGTCTTTCCTACGTCCAGTAAGATTCAAACAAATACGCGCTCGCACTAGGGCATGATCTGAATCTAAACATGTGCCCCAGAACGAGCGACAGTCTTCTATCGAACCCCTCCATCGGTGGCTGATGGCAATGTGATCTAGTTGGGTCCAACGTTGAGACGACTTTGGAGGTCGCCAGGTCAACAGATGCTTCTCCTTGTGCCTTAAGTTAGTCTTTGCTAGGAATAGGCGGTTTTCTGAGCATACTTGCAACAGAAGGTCGCCATTGTCTGTTCTCTGAGCCGCGACACCATAACATCCACCTAGGTCTCTCTCCTGCACACTTAGTCTACCTACTTGAGCATTAAAGTCACCAGCCATTATTACTATATCAGAGCGCCTAGCTTTTTGGAGGAGGTCCGAAAGCTTTCTGTAATACTCATCTTTCACCTTGTCTGAACTGCAGTCAGTGGAGGCATAGACAGATATGACGAAGAGGCAACGGCGAGTGTCCCTATCTTTCCGATTCCTTACTGTCCTGTTTAGTCGGACAGAGCACAAGTGACTATCTACTGGGATCCAGTCAAGGAGAGATTGTTCAGCTCTACGACTCAATGCTATGCCTACGCAAGCAAGACCCCTGGAAGCAGCATCAGGGCTACCGGATACACGAAGAGTAAATCGAGCTGCTTCTTCGTTTTGACAAGGTGGAATCAGGTTAATGACCTTACTAGGATCCTGTATGCGCGTTTCCGAGACGCAGCATACATCGATGGCACGAGATTCTAAAGTCCTAGCTAAGGAAGCCTGTTGCCCTATTTGACACAATGTCCGTACATTAAAAGCTCCAACATGTAGTCTAGAGCGGGGTTTCAAGAGACCAGGAACGACGTTTCGTGATCTCGCTTCGTCTGCATTAGCGGTGCAGTGAGAAAAGAGAGTGTGAGTAGAGTTAGTCGTGGAGATAAGAGAGGTACTAGGGGGTGTAGGAAGGATTTGATTTCGACCAATTTTGTCTCTCGTACTGTTACGGGTATGAGGGCGGTTATCACTTCCCGGCTGAAATATATGTCGAGTGCGTTATTTAAATGAATTCAACGGCTACTGTATTTAATCTAATATAATGGTCGTGATTTTTCGACAAAAATGCGGTGATTAACGGTGAAAATTAGTCACCAATCAACACTGTACCGAGACCAGTTCGTAGCATAAAAACCTTCAAAAATCGAATCGCTTACATCTATAACTACCATTGTAAATGTGTTACAGAGTAAATTAACTCACCATAAGATGACTGGTTTGTATGAAGACATTGTCTAATAAGTATTTCATATGTAATGCTAGTAATTCTGAAATGTGGCTATTTCCACTTGACATGATTGTTTGTGGAATGAAAACGTAGATTAAATTCAAATGCAGTAAATTTCTAACAATTGAAAATGGTTTCATTGATGTAATATGTTTTTTGAAATTTATTCCATCTAACCATAAATCATTGTTGTTGTTGACTATTGGTAACAGTATGAAATGATAAACAGATGAACTATTGTTCGTTTTTTGTTCAATAAGACGATCACTATCAATGAAAAAAAAAGTCAACTATTGCAATAATCGAGTCAAAATCAAAATCAAATATAACATTGTGGATATGTTTAATGATAAAATGGAATTATTCATTCAATTCATTCTATCAACAGATTGTCAAATAGTAGTTATTATGCGTAAAAAAGAAAACTATCTGTAAAACAAGTAAATGTCCAGATAGTTAAGAATATTATCAATGAAATTCGGTTTTGTTTTTAATTAACCGAGTGAAATACAAAAATCACAGAAATTTTTCATACGGTTGTCATATATCCTGTTACCTGAAGGTTCCAAAATATCTACACACTCATGATTATTCTATAAATTTGAAGGCAGAGACAAGAAATAATGACAGAAATGCCATTTACCAAACGCAACAAGTATTTTCTTGATATAAATATACTGGCACTTGTTTAATAAAAGTACGTACGTGAAACAACTACAAACATTTTTAAACTGATCATGTATAGGACGGGCTACACAGGAAGTTAATCCAATAGTGTCAATATCTCTAGAACATCATTAAGTCCATTTTATTACAGCAGCGCAGCTGAAAGTAATTAAAACACACCGAGCAGCAATCACGTCTTCAGTTAAATATTGTTGGTATCTAGCAGCTGATATACCTAGTGATGATGACAACGTTCATGCTGTACTTTGAACAGAAAGCCAAAAGTAGCACGTAGTGCAGAGTCTTTCTAAAGTTACTGCTGAAAAGACGTGTCAGATCCGGATGCATGTGCAGTCTGAGTGTATTGAAGACTAGAAGATATGTGGAAGAAGACAGCCAATAATTCAATTGTTTTTTCAAATGGGAGTTTGCAGATAACATGTACACATTATGGCTAGCAAACTGTCTTCAAGTGATATGCACAGATGAACTCAGTCTACTAGTTTTACTTGACTATTATTTGGAACAAACTGCTGTGCAAGGAATTACGTAACTATTTTGTAATCTGTTCAACAAGAATAACATAGACTATGGAAAAGTTGATTTGACACTGTTCAAAATATTTAGTCGTGGAATGTTGAGTGACTAACTATATCACTGATCGTAAAATTGTCATCGCACTTGAAATTATAATTTGCTTTCCCCTTTGATTCAAGTCACCAAATCGGACCATAATATCCTTCGTTATAACAACAGCTGAACAAATATCTAGTAAAAGCAAGATTTGGAAGTTATACGCTAAGTCATTACCTGACCAATAATTGAAAAGACTGCACAATTCTGTCATAAAAAAGTTTAACTAGCAGGTATACAGTGAAGATTTCACAGAAATTAATGTTCCATCTCATACAGCTAATGCTGTTTTGTTGCATAGGTATTATAACCACGGCTTTTGTTAGTGTACGGTATATATGTTTGGAGCAGGAAAACGATATGAATGTTTGCTTATTCAACCAATTTCATTCGAGAGGGTTGTTCAATGATTACTTCTACGTCTACCATCAAAGTGATAGTAAACTTTTCATTTGATAAAATATCGTGCTTGTGTGTTTAACTAATCGACAACCATTTTTGTGTCAATAATCCAATAATCAATATTCGAGCTATAATGTTCAAATATGATTGAGCGATCCAGTATAAAATCATAAGTTTGGAAATTACTTAATAGTCAGTAGATTAGTTAGTTCATCAAGCTGTTTTATCCCGAAAGTTACTCTTTTAATCGAAAGAAAGGCTAAACTTATCAATGCTGTTCTAAGAGCTGATAAATCTCAAAACTACTACTGACATTACTAATATCAGTAGGTTCTATTCGTCTGTATCAGGAGTGAAACAGTTGTCATCAACTTCTATTTTATTTACATATATACATTGGTACAAACAGGCACCTATACATTCATGTGTCACACAAATTATTGAATTTGTGAGTGAACCGGGATACTGCTCAGACGCCCAAAGTGAAGCAGGTGGTGTAACTAGGGGGTCACGATCCAAGCCTTTGACCCAAAATGTCTAATCCACAAGTCAGTGGAGTAACGCAACGAGACGCACAGTCCCATCGTATTCGGTGACCAGCAATAGGCTCCAAACGTCGTTCGTTCCATTAGGACCTTGGAGCTCATGTCCACCATTGGTTTTGAATCAGGGTTTTCCAACTCTTTCGGTTAGATCCTGTATAACCACCAACCAGTTCGGATACTCGCCCTTCGACATCTCAATTGATCCCGGTTGAGGTCATGGGTGTGCACTGCCAAAGTCTCATTCTGTTAGTGGGACATAGATGGAATTAAAGCATGACTAAGTCGCTACGCGCTGACTGGCTAATTTCCTATGCAATCAGCGCCTGACCGAAGCTTGGAGAACAGGATAGAAAATTCTCGTATCATTAGCTGCATGCTGATTGGTTAAATCTAATCCAGCCGATCACGTGAATTTTCTTCCAGAAGCTTTCTCATGTAAATGCTATAAATAGACTAGCGTTGTATTTATTTTTGCCTTCTTGCCTTCTTTACCTTGGCTTTCGCCATCACCTCCGGCTTCTTATTCCTTGCTATTTTGGAATATAATCTTTCCTGTTCAACTGTGTTTTGATTTGGGGGATTTGTCCAGTGTTTTGTGTCAAAGAATACTAAGCAATAAGATTTAGCCGGGAATTATCTAAGCAACCGTTACAACACATTCTATGATACAACAACCACCCAGTGATCTTTAGCGTTCAAAAGTAACTCAACTGAAATAAATCTATGACGAATACAACCTACAAATTAAGCTAAACTCCATAAAGCCGCTTCAATTTAGGTTTATATGTCTTTACAATTCACTAGTCCCACTGAAATTTTTCGATTTAATCATGTCATCTACAGAACAAAACGATATGAATTTTGTGAATAAATTTTGTAACTATACTCCCTAGAAGACTATGAATCTACAAAAGCCTATCATAATGATCTAAGATTTCCAGCCATGTTTTTCTTATTAGAGTGGATATTAAAAGCTACTTAATCAAGTTACACACTGGCAACCAATTTGCCTAATTCAATTTCCAAAAACGTTAAACAAATTTAATAGAGGTTGATTTTAGTCGAAGTACCACTGGAAATTAGCGAGCAACAAATAGCTGAATTGTCCCATACTACGAGGAAATAACTATTTAATGCACTCTAGTTTCCAACGGTACGTCAATTGAACTCGTTCTATAACTAACACAGCCTACAAATTTTCAGATTAACCAAATATTATTTGTTTACTTTTCATGGTTCTTTATGGTTTCTTTTATATTGAACACATTCAATAAGCTTAAATTCTTTTCAAATGTGATCCAAAAATTAAGAATATCATTTGGAAGTGATTTTGTATATGTTTGGATTTCTAACTGATTCATCATTTGTCTGGTATTTACATGATAATTAATGAAAATTTTATCAGATGCATTTTCCTCCATCATTGTTTGTTGCTTCAAATTAAAACGAGCAAATATTTCACTAATTTGATTTAATTTTTGATCATCAAGTTCAGTATGAAAATTGAGAACATTGATCTGAAGAAAAGTAATAAAATAAAAATAAACAAATCATAACCTATTCACAACAATCCGTGACAGTGAAGTTTATCATGATTCTAACTGTCCCTGAATCGTTCAGCATATATTATTGTGGCTACAGCATACTACCTTGTTCTTAAAGTTAGTGCAAATATGTTTGTAGAATAACAGAGAAACCTGACTGATCATCAAGAAACCAAACAACTTGTCAATACGATCTTTTCAGTGAGTAACAAAAACTGAGCAATATTATTATACTACTTAGTTTATTGACCATCTTAAGCAACTACAGTGAGTGTTTTGACTAAATAGTACTGATACATCCAAGAAACAACCAGTTAATAATAAAAACACAAATTTCAGTAACAGTCCTTATGTTTTTGCTTTGTTGTGTGAAGAATAGTTGCTGAATTACTAAAGAAGAATTATTAATATAATCAACATGTTCACCCTCCATTTGGTTCGTTCGTTTAATTAAAATAACTTGCAAAACTGGGTTTAATTGTAACCACTCCAATGGTATACCAATATTATTTAAACTGATTAGATCTACTTTTACCATCTGATAACTACTTCTTACTCACCCGGTTGCACAATTACTGCTAGCAATTCGTTCGCATATTGATTTATTCCAACTGACTACTATCAGGATAATGTAGATAATAAAATTTATCCTAGAGTCAGCTTGTAGTTGATCAAATAGAGAATTTTTCCCTCTGAAACAGGTATCACTATTTAAGCATAATCATAAAATATCACCAACGAACTGATGTAAACCATTGCTTCCCTCACTTATTTGTATATGTGACAATTAACGGTACTAAGTAAACTTCCGAATCGACGTACCGGTTGAGATTGTATATTGAAATAACACATTCGGACTAAATTAGCCGAAACCAAGATACAGGTTGATTGGAGTTTTAGGGATACAAGCAGCAAACTCAAAGTCCAGAGGTAAAGTCGTACTGCTGATTGCATCGTTGTAACGACAGTACGACGTTTTCTAGACACAACCAGAATCTACAGCGATGCTATCTTCCCACAACGGAAGGAGTATGTTAGAAAAATCGCCTCTAAAAATAACATCATACCATCCTCCACGGATTTCAGTCGTCAAGTACAGATTAAATAAATTAAAGCCTGCTCACAAAAGGCATGTAGTTGGCCCCAACCACCTAAATTCGGTGATCATAAACTCAAGTTGACAACACCATCCTCCAAACCTAGTTTTCTTTTCAGACAACTCCAGTAGTATTGTGTTGTGGTGTAGGTTGGGAATAATGACCAATCCAATATAAGGCAAGAACACCTCGTTAAAGATGAAATATTACCTCTACTTATATTTCCAAGGTCAAGTATCTATCAGCTACCTTTGACTTCTCCTATAAGTGCCGTCATTGCTCAGGATCAAATATTGCGAAATGCTATCACATATATCATGCATGCAATCGCAACAAGTGAATGAGTTTTGAATGTCTGTTTCAACAGTCGAAAATTGATTCATTTAGTCGTTATTTTGTATGATCACTAGTGCGATGTGGGTAGTTCACTGTATGGAGTATGCACCATTCAACCTGCAATTCGTAGGCTACAACTGCAAAAAACAGATATCGATTTATTCAACCAGATATCTTATAAATGAATACACATATAACCCTAAATACAAACACTGAAACTGCAAAATCAAGTACACATACTTTTATTCTCTAAATAAACTTTTTTTTATGTTTTTGAGCAGAATAATCGCTTAACAAGCTTTTTTTATCCTAAGCACATGAATGAGATACAAAACAAGGGTAAATACACTTGGCTGCATTAACTAAATGAGATTTTTTCAAAAACATAAACAAACAGGCAAACAGATCATACTTACTGGTACAGTTATTTCAACTTTACGTGCGCTTAATAGTTGAATCTCATCATACGGCAATGCAGCATGATAAGGTGTAGTGGTTTTCCACCATAAAGGTATTCCAATAATAATTGTGACCAATAAATAGAATACAGAAGTGATAACCGTTTTAAATTTCTCTTCCCACGTTACTTGATAGTTCAGTAATTCCGGATAGCTTTCAAAAGATGTTTTAGATTTAGATGATAATTTAAACGAATCGAGTACCATCGCTATCACCACTGTAAACTAAACAAAAAAAAGCAACATAAAGAAAAATATGCGGCGAATAATGATATATATGTACTAGACTAGACAAACAAATTCTGCATTGAGTATGTAAGTAAGTTGCACTACTGCATGTACATTTATATAATTCAGTAGTTAAGCACTCGGTCTTCCGAAAAAGACTATAATTTTGAACTCTCAATTGCTATACAATAGAGAAACAATGATATGGTTGTTACATTCTAAGTAGAAAATTGAAATTGCTTCTTTAGAGAATATGATATTTTCAGTGCATGCCTGTTGGTGATATGAGCCAGTAGGTAGATAGGCATTGACATAGAGCCTGGCATAAAGATATGGACATAATTAAATGTGGTTTTGGGAAAAAATTATAGAATTCGGATGTATAGTTGGAACTCCCTCTCTACTGAGCGCAGTACGGCTTAACAATACTTGAATCCGCACAAATACCAGACGATCCTGGTCTGGTCAAGAGTTATAACAAAAGAGAAGAGTTTTTTAAGTGCTTCCTGATTTTTACACTAACTGAAATCGGCTCCTGATGAGAAATAATCTTGAGAAATCATTTACCATTGAGGATTCCTTACATAATTATCCTATAAATTTGTTGAATACATATATTCATGTGAATATGGTCCAATGATTATAATAATCAAAATTCAGCTATGGAATCACAAACCGGAATCAGCATTTACCTGAGTTATGAATGTCGAGTACTTTTTGCTTACCGGCAAACAAAACGTTCAAAGCTTGGTAAATGAATGTTGAAATGCTTAATGAATAAGATTAATAGTTTGTTAATTAATGAGATGATATACGATGATAACATAAGTAACATTCTCAACAAATAACACACTAGGAGAGAGAAGAAATCAAAGGCTAAATGTACCATATTTATTTGTTTACATAATAAAACAGTTTGTGTAACAAAAGCAAGCATTACAAATGATCTTCACTTGAATCGAAAGTCAAATTTTCAACATATTCTGAAAATCTAGAAATATCATCATTATTATCATCAATTTCACTATTCTTCTCCAAAGTTAAAGATTGAAATCTTGAAGTATTAGATTGATTTACACGACTTAATCGGCAAACTTCGGAATAAGCAGGATCTACAGGAACTTGTACTGGTGGCTTGACTTCATGATCAGGGTCTAGGATATATGTGACATCTGAGTCGAAACCTCTTAGGTCTCCACATGCAATGAACGGTAATAGAGCTTGCTGAGAAGAATTAACCTATGAAATAAATAAAAATGTGCGAAAATCGTTGAGCTAACTCACCTACTGTTTTCTTAATGACGAGAGTATTAAGGTCATTTTATTCATGTAATTAATGAACTACTTAATAATTCAACAGAAGAATTCATGTAACACAGATAAATGTTTAAATTAACAAGCTGAAAAAAATGACATCTGAATGAAGTTGCACTATTTTGAGCTCATCATTTATATAGCACTGACCGGTAACAAAAACATTAAATGTGAAGTATTTTGATATATATACATACATATATATATATATATATATATATATATATATATATATATATATACCTTTGAAACTTCACTAGACAGCGAGATGGATAAGTAATTGACAGCAACCATCATTCTGTTTGTATGAAATACGATCAGGAGTACTCATAATGCTCAGTCAGTCAGTCAGCTAAAACGTGGAACTTCGTACGTACGTACGTCAGTTCAAGTTGTCATACAACGTAAAGCAGAGATGAAATAGTCAATTCAAATATCATAGTGGTAGAAGTAGTATAAGTATGAGCAGCAATCAAAAAGATTATGGCCCGAAAATCATATTCAAGAAGTATACTCAAGTGAAATAGATTTGACACGAGAAAGATGAAGCCCATGACTTTGGGATTAGAATTTGGATAGACACAAAAAATGGATGCACCTGCGCCGTTGCAAACGGTTTTGAGCCATGTCCTTCAGGATCTCTAACCATCGATTATTATCATCTCGCGGACCCCAACCAGGCATTCGACATCTACCGACATGATTCAGTCCGCTTGTCAGTGACTTCATGTATATCTGCCATGTTTTGGTCTGGCCACAGCTAGCTTTCGTCCAACCGATTCATATATCGCAAAACATAGCTCGACGAGGCGGTCGGTGGTTAGGCATGACAAAACACCTCAAACGGTGAAGTTTCATTACTTCTTGGCACACCTGGGACCACCTTTGGAGTTGACTGGCATTCACGCGTTTCTGTTTGTTTCCTTTCTGGATCGTATACACTGCGTCGCGCCTCTCGGTGACGACGTACGGTCCCTCCCACTTCGGGATCAGCTTACCTGACCCTGGCCCTCTTCCTGTGGTATATTTCCGTTCTCTACACTTCACCTGGTCTCCCACTTCAAACGGTCTCCAGTTCTTTCTCTCCTGTTCTGACTTCTCCATGTCTGATGTTTGTTTCTCTCTCACATTCCTGATTGCTTGTCTCCGCTCTGTTCTCAATCTTGTTGTATTCCATCTCTGTTGTTGCGGCCAGGTTTTATCATGCGTTGGTAGTCTCGGCCGTCTGCCGTACATCAGCTGGAACGGTGACTTCCTGGTTGTTCCCTGTGCTGAGGCACGATGTGCCAGCAAGATTAATGGTAATTCTTTCTCCCAGTCACCCCCTTTAGATGCTAGCCATTCCTTTAGCGTTCGGTTATTCCTTTCTGTTAACCCATTCGTCTGTGGATGATACGGCGTTGTTCGTACTCTCTTGATACCTAACTGTTTTAGACGGGACTTGAACTCATCACTCTCGAAACAGGGACCTTGATCGGTTAATATTATCTTTGGTATCCCATGGTCAGCCACAATGTGCCGCATTACCGCTTCCGTCACCGTCCTTGCACGTTGGTCCGCCATCGGCACGGCATTTACCCATCGTGTGGCATGCTCAGTCATCACCAGCAGGTACTGGTTACCACTTGTCGTCTGCGGGAACGGTCCCATAACATCTACTGACCACAAATCACCAACTGCTGTTACTGGAATTGACTGCAATGGCGGTCGTATGCATCGATCCCCTTTCATTAGTTGACATCGCTGGCACGCTAATACATATCATGCAACATCGTCTCTCATACCTGGCCAGTACGCACTTTGCCGCAGCAAATCAGTTGTCCGTGCAATACCCGTGTGCGCTACCTGGTGACATTCACGAATCATCTCCTGGAGCAGATCTTTTGGGATTATTGCTACACAATTCTCGTCATCATCCCGCCAGGTCAAGGCTCCGTATCCGTTCACTCTCAGTCTCTCCTTCTGTCTCAGCAACACTGTTAATTCTTTGTCTGTTCCACTCTTGTCGACATCTCCCTCTTTTATCACTCTGATTACCTCTCGAAGGTTAGGGTCGGCTTTCTGATGTCGAACGAGTTCTAGGGGGTCTCCCTCTAGGCCGTTAACTGCACACGCTACCTCTGGAAGTTCGGCTTCGGCGTCCGGTCTTGGCAAATAATCTGCCATTACATTTTCCTCCCCCTGGCACATGCCCGATGCTAAAATCATACTCCTGCAGACGTAGCATCCATCGAGCCAACTTCCCCCGGGGGTCTTTTGCTATTTTCAACCATTGTAGGGGCTTATGATCCGTCTCGATGTGAAATCGCCGACCCAGTAGATATGGTCTCCATTTGTCTACCGCCCATACAATCGCTAAACACTCTTTTTCTACTGTGGAATACTTCTGTTCCGTCGGCGTAAGGACATGGCCGGTATACTCCACCACCCTGTCAGACTGCCTCAAGACGGCACCTATACCGTGATCGCTCGCATTAGTGGCCACTGTAAATGGCTTCTCGGGTTCCGGCAGTCTCAGCGTCATTTTGCGGTCATCTAACAGCTCTTTGATTCGGTCGAAGGTTTGTTGAGCGGTCTCTGTCCACGTAAACTTCGCATTGCGTAGCACTTTATATAGAGGTGCTGCTATATCGTTGAAGTTCTTCACGAATCTGCTGTAGAACGCCGCTCTTCCCAGGAACTATCTTAACTTCCTTTTTGAGTTGGGAACTGCAATATTCTTTATCGTTAGAATCTTTTCCGGCAGTGGTTTTATTTCTCCATTGCCTACTTTATGCCCCAGCAACGTGACGCTTCTTTTTGCTATCTCAGACTTGTCTTTGTTAATTCGTAAACCAAACTCATCAATTCGCCTTAGGACCGCCTCCACGTGCCTCACATGTTCTGCCTCTGTCCGACTGTATACGACCAAATCATCGCCATACACCTCGACATTCTCCAGGTTTCTGAGCAGCAATGTCATTAGTCTTCGAAACGTAAACGGTGCACCCGCCAATCCAAAGGGCGTTCGTTTAAATTGATACTGCTTCTCCCGTACGGTAAATGCCGTTTTGCTGCGATCACTGTCTTTTATTGGTAGCTGCCAATAGCCCGACCGTAAATCTAACACTGCGAACACCGTAGCACTCTGTAGACGATCTAATGTCTCCACTATTGTTGGCATTGCACATGGTTTTAGTTCTGTCACGTTATTCAGTTCCCTAAAGTCAACACAGAATCTATACTTTCCATTCGGCTTCTTTACCAAAAGTACCGGCGAGCTGTACGGGCGATCTGCTTCTTCAATTATACCTGCCTTTAACATCTCCTGTACCCGCTGGTTTATCTCAGCTTCCAAATGTACGGGGACCCGTCGTGTTGTGAAGATTGTCACTTCTTCGTTCTTCATCGGAATTTCATGTTTAACCTTATTACAAAACCCGTACGGTTCTCCGTCTCCCGTGAACAACTTCGTATATTTCGTGAGCACCTCGTTAATGTTCTGCTTCTTTTCATTGTCCTATTTTGCTACTCTAACTTCAGCCACCTCGCTGCTTTCATGTATTGTCAGTGTGCCGTACTTTGTAATCACCTTCTTGCTTCTTGTATCAATAATTGCTCCTACTTCTCCCAAGAAATCTGCTCCTAGTATTGGTCTCGACAAGTTCGTAGTTACCACAAAGGGAAACTGTATTTCCGAATTGC